TCACAAAATAGTTCCCTTACCGGGTCTGTATACTTCGTGACTTTGTTCCCGGTTACCGGGTCTGTATACACTTCGTTTATAGAAACCCTCCCGTCTCAGAAAGGGTAGGCCTAAATATAAAAGCTTTTTTTTTTTTGCGAAGTGTACAGAGTCAGTAACCGGGAACAAAGCCACGAAGTACAGACCCGGTAGGGGAACTCTTTTGTGATTTAGAAAAGTTTCAGCGCCCAGACCCGGTAGTTTGTGTGTGAGAGAGAGAGAGCAGGGGGAAGTGCTAGCAAAATGTATATATATCGAAGTGGCTAGCCGTACTTAAGTCTAGGTTTGGCCCTATCGACTCAAGCCTGTTAAGTACACAGGTCTCATTAGATCTAGATCTAGTAATTATTCAGGTTCAAATACATGCAAGTCAGTAAGGCACCTTTTGGTTTTGTCTGAAATACAAATACTTAAGGCATTGCAAAATAAAAATTTCATTTACAATTCAGCCATCAATATTAAGTACGGCTAACCTGACAGTCTAGCTGTCCTAGTAAGTACGGCTAGACTGACAGTCTACCCGTACTTAAGTACGGCTAGACTGACAGTCTAGCCGTACTTATCTTGGGCCCTATTAACATTAGAAAACAGGAGGTTTGAAATACATGCACTGTCATTAAGGCACCTGGTTTCATCTCAAATACAAATACTTTAGGTACTGCACACTAAAAATGTATGTTTACAATTCAGTAGGCCTATTTTTTGTAAATGGTCAGTCTAGACATCATATTAAGAATTTATAAGTACCCTAAGTACGGCTAGACTGCAAGTCTAGCCGTACTTAAGTACAGCTAGACTGCCAGTCTAGCCGTCATTAAGTACAGCTAGCCTCTTCCAATGTATATATGATATATGACATGCCCCAGTTGGCAGGAGGGAACGAGAGAAAGCTAGTGTGGGAAATAGGTGGGGAGAAAGAAAGATAGAGACAAACAAAGAAAAAGAGAATGCGAGCGATACGCAGACAGAGGAGAGAGAGAGAGAAATAGAGAGGGTGACTGCTCGATTGAAATTATGACATTGTTATTGTTCTTTTCTTCAAATTGTGATTTTCTTCCAACTCGAAAACGGGGGAAAAATGATTATTCATCGAAAAGACATCCGCAATCTTCATTTAGATCTAGGCTAGCTCGAAACTATATCAATGATTTATGTCTGTCTGTCTAGATCTAGATCTAGACCTAGGCCATGCCATAGATCTAGAATAGAAGAACCTAAGTCTACCCTGAGCCAAGAGGGTGCTGAAACTTTCCGAAATCACAAAAGTGTTCCCCTACCGGGTCTGTATACTTTGTGACTTTGTTCCCGGCTACCGAGTCTGTATACACTCCCATTTTTTTGTTGCTTTTTTTAAAGGGTTTTAGGGCCCTGAACCTGAACACGATTTTGGCATTGAAAAATGTTGCTGCACAATCTAGATCTAGAATCTAGTCTAAAATTAAAATAGAGTAGTGTAGGCTAATACTGTCTTCACTGTAGGCCTACACACTGAAGCCACGTTCCCATGTGTAGGCCAACAGTGCGTAATGCGTATTGCCCTTTTCCATGTGTGCGTGTGATTTGTCAGTTTGTTCTTTGGCACTAAACACTTCACAGTTGAGCTTGCTTGTCAAGTCAGCCAAAATGTTCTAAACAGGAAGATGAGGTTGAAGACATGGCCATTATTGGACTCATGTAGATCGATTACTATCTTAAAAGAGAATGAGAAAAAGACAACACAGGTGGCGGGTAGGCCTACATGAAATATTGCTACAAAGGAGTTTGATGTGTACCACCATCTTGTGAAAGAATTAAAACTGGAAGACTCAGAACAATTCCATCAGTACTTTCGCTTGACCAGAGCCAGAGAACAAATGCAGCAAGTTTTCTTCTTTATATAGAATCTAGGGCCTCATATGACAAAAGTAAACCTAACAATATTTGGAAGTCTTAACACCATCCTTGTGGTCCTTCCTCAACGGATAAAAAATGGCAGGATTTTGTCTCACAAGATCAATTGATTGATCATGAACATCATCAGGGACAAAATTTCTTGGCATTTTATGATGTTAGCTTGATGAAAACGAAACAGGAGGAACATGTTCTTGTAAATCACCCGTAAATTTTTAGCTTCCGGTGTCCACATAGCTGCATTATGCGTATTGAAACGATGCCTTGATCATTCGAATACGCATCACACACACATGGATACACTATAGTTAAATTTCCCTTTAAACGTTCTTTACGTACACATGGAAACGGGACTTTATTCTGTCAGTAATTAGCAGAATCGACCAGACCAGATCATACAGATGAAGAATGCACTAGAAGTACACGCACAAGTTAGGAAGAGATAATAAGCTACCATACAGTCTTAGTCTTTTTTACTTTTTCGGTCACTGGTGAGTGATGAGTTAAATTGTAGCCTGACTTTACTAGTTAGGGTAGGCTCTAATTTGAACATGTGGTGGCCATGGCATTTATCATAATTGACTATGATCACATCTGGGTTTTTTTTAACATTTGGGGGAGGGGTGTTGTACATTTTTAGTTTCAGACCCACACTACATAGATGTAGGCCTACTAGTACTGTTTTGGGGGCTTACCTGCTATATTTTTTGCTACAGAACACACATATATGACCACTTTTTAACCTTTACAAATCAATTGTTTTCAAGAAAATATCAAACCTAATTGAAAAACATCGAATTTTGGTGAAATAGGCACACTTCAGGGGGACTCCGACATAATAACCCATGTTGTTATAACAAATGAAATATTACTACACAATTGCACCTTATATTGTTAGTTGTAATATAATACTATACTATAAAATAAACACATCTCATATATATATATAGTTTGCAATTGGAATGTGAAGTAATCTGTCGGAGGCAGAGCTTTGGAAAACGAAACAGGAGGAACATGTTCTTGTGCTTACAATAATGTCTAAAGACTAACAGGGATGGAGTATTGCTGCTGAAAAAAAAATTACGTTTTAGACTAAATTTTATGCATTTGACGTTTTCTACCATTACTGCTATTGCTTGTTTCACTTCTGTCTGTCAGCGTAAAAAAAATGCTAGCCCATTTATTAATTTACCTGCCCTAAAACTTTGCCTGGCACTTCTGCAGGCCAGCGACCATTCAAAAATTTTAAAAATCTTAATTCAGTAATAAAAAGGTTTTTCTCTTTGGGCTCAACGAAGGATGTGTACACTGTAGGATCACTAAAATAAGTGACTTGTAGGCTAATAACCTGACCTACAAATTGCTCATTTTAAGACACCGATACCACCCTGCCCCCACATTTTAGTGTAAGCTTGCAGATTTCATCTCCCCACTATCTAGATGTCTCCATGTGAGTCTCGAAAACTACTCACCCTCACATCGTCTCTTGACTTGTGTTTTTTCTGGTGTACGGAAGAGAGGAAAAGATGTTAACTTTTTTATGTTTTAGGTGTATGCTGTAAATGCCCTTTAAAAAGTTTGACGCGCACAGGCTAACATCAACGAAAATGTGTCAGAACCTTTGTTTGCAGTGACCTTTATGAGTGGGCTTTTAGCATTTGTTGGTATGCAAAGATCAGAAAAGATACAGATCGATTTCATTTTACCTTGTTTTAACTCTGGTCTGACAAAAGGGGATGAGCTATATACAGTTACCTGTTTGAAAAAAAATCAGTATTCACAAGTCTTTTTTCCCCCCAAAAGGTAGCCTGAATGTAAAAATATAATGGTGTATAGTGCAGCAATTATTTCAAGGGGTTTTTTTTGTTTGTTTTTTCAGTCTTAGGTGGCCAATATGCCAAGAACAAGAAGAAGAAGAAGAGACAGACCATGGCAAAATCCAGGTACATTAGAATGTATTCTTTCTTTGAAAATCTATCAGCTACATTTGAACTCCTTTTACACTTTGTTTATGGTAGTGTTGTTTTCTGTTTGTGTTACCATGATGCTTTTTCTTGTTGGTAGACTAAGCTAAGTATCTAATCTTTTCAAATTTTTGTTTATTGTACAGGGTATATATTGTCGACAGCAGAATCACTATCGACTTTTCAACTGGTATACAAATTTTCAATCTTTTCCTTCACATATGACCATATTTTAGTTGAGCTGAACCATTGACTTTTTGTTTTTATTTATTTTCTTTTTTTTAAAATGTTTATTGAGTTGATTTCTTGAATTTATGCAATAGCACATTTGTAATATTTTCGTTTATCAGGTCAACAAGCCGAAGCTGACGCAGACACAAATGTGTGGAACCAGGGAAGTCAAACGAGCACCAGGGGTAGAAACCACAGGGAATGGAGGCCACGTCAAAGAACAGATTATAGGGCACAGGGTATGTTGTTGACAACAGAATTACTATGGACTTTTCAACTAGTATACACTTTTTAAATCTTTTCCTGACATATGACCTTACTTTAGCTGAGCTGAACCACTGTTTGGGCTTTTTAACCCTAGAAGCGCTCAGCATTTCACCGGAAGTAACCCGCCAAATATACCCCGCCCCCACGGCCGATCAGTTGTAAACATGGGGGTTTGGCGGGGGGAATCAGCTGAGATACCTGAGATGTATACCTGCTACTGAAAATGACCATTAAATACCTGCTACTGAAAATGACCATTTACGGCTCAACAGATGATAAAAGGCATATAAAACCATATATTTTCTTTAAGCTGATAGAATAAGCCATTCAAAAATGACAAGCAATCAAATAAATAGAAACGAAGCGCAGAACCCGATAGACTCAACATTAGTACATCGGCACGGCGAAACAAGTGATAACACATAGCGCGTAGTCGCTCAGCGGGACCGCGTCACTTTATCGATCGATATCTCGACCAAGAGGCGCTCTATGACATGAGGTCAAGATAACTTGCAAAGTCATTGTTCACTATTTATAACTTTGACCTGTAATTGACTACGTCATTTTCCATATAAGGAATACTGGAATTTTCCATTGAAAAAGGTCAGCGTCTGTGCCCTTTATATAGGGTGTTCGCACTTCCCGGGTAGCCCGGTTCACGCCCTTTGTATAGGGCCTGCGTGCTTCCAGGGTTAAGATATTTTTTATTGAGTTGATTGCTTGAAATTATGCGATAGCACATTTGTAACGTTTTCTTTTGTCAGGTCAACGAGCCAATGAAGATGCTGACACAAATGTGTGGAACCAGGGAAGTCAAGCAAGTACCAGGGGTAGAAACCTCAGGGAAAGGAGGCCACGTCAAAGATCAGATTATTCAACACCAGTTCAGAATACACGGCCTTCCCGTCAGCAGGCGGTTGCTAGTACTTCCTCTGAATCTTCTAGAAGTGCCAGTGATGAAAACAGTACTTTCACCGCTGCTAGGACAGTCCCTCACATTGCCTCAAGACCGTCAAGCTCTTCTCAAGGAACATCTTCAGGATCACGCCAGACCACAGCAAGTAAGGCAGGAATTTACCATATCATAACAGCATGCCTGTGAAAAAATTGTTTATTAAGTAATTCTTTCAACACCTAAATATAGACTGGCTTATTTGCTTTGATGGTTAGGGTCTTGGCTGTTGATTGTAGAAGTGAGTAACTGTTTATCTGCTGGGGTGTTATTTCCCATTAAGCCAGGGTTGGCTCATAAAAACCGTAATGATAATAATAGGTAGAATTTGCATACACAAATTCCCACTCAACGGAAATCTCTATGCCCTTTACAATCTATACTATTACCCCAGCAGACCTGATAGCATTCTGAAACAATGTCAACTTCCTGGGAAGCATAAAGTGCAAGCTGCCATTTATAGGTGAAAAAACATTAACATACTGACAAGATCTTTTGCTGTCTATGGCTGGGCACCCATTCCCATGTGGGCGAAGTGAGGAAAATTTATGTATAGGGCCTTTCCCAAGGACACAACGTTGGGCCCACAGCTTGTACCCCTTACCTGCAACCTCACGGTTACGAGTCCGGTAGCCTAACCAATAGACAACTGGCGCCTTAAAAACATCCACTCTTCCAAACAGTTCTTTCAAAGGTTTAGATTGTGTGTCAGGCTGATACAAATGTGGTTCATTTAAGCACAGCAAGAAATATGATACTGGTAAGTTAAAGGAAAGGAAAGGTCTGATGGTTATGACAGTCATTGTCCATGGTTATGCAATTATGTGGTTCATTTTGTCTCCAAACCCTTAAATGAACTTTTTGCATGCATTTTATTTATAAAAAGCAGTTTTTGAGTCTTTAATGCTATATCAATTTTTTGTTTCATTATTTCATCCTTTCTTTTGAATTCCAGGAACAGAATCTGACATCCCAGGATATTACTACGATGAGGAGTCTAAGAATTATTACAAAATCTTGCCAGATCAAATGTCTGGGACCAGCTTCCTGACTAGGACGAAAATAAGGGAGCAAAATGCTGAAAAACAACGGCAGATTGACGAGAAAGCTTTTCTGGAAAATGACTCCCCAGAATGTATGTTTCAGTTCAGAAATGTGATCAAATCAAGAGCCAGGCATTTGCCGGGCATTTTACAGGATGTGCAATGTGGACAGGTTCCAATTAATGATCTGAAAACATATTTATTGAGAAAACAGTGTGCCTCTCTCCTTCCCTCTGTTCAAGAAGCAGTAAAGGCGCATGGATCTAACTTTGTACCAGGGTGAGTTACCTACTCTTACAGTGATTGGCTGGATGGAATATAGGGTACAGCAGTTTACCTTTGTCCATTTTTCTTCTGTGAATGCGGTCTTGAGATTCGTGAAGTTGATGGAGGTTCATGTGCTTTTTAAAAATAGTTTTTCAAACCAATGTCTCTGTCTGTTTTTTGTCCTCACTTTTAATGCTGGAGGAATTGCACATGATCCACGCTGTTCACTACGGTACTGTCATCGTTGATCGCTTATTATAATTTACTGGAGGATACATTGCGTAGAGTTGCAACTCAGGGCATACTTTTTTAAGGTTTTGATCAATGTTAATTGGACAAAAAACTGAAATTCATGCACCCGCCTGTTTTCTATTGAAGACAATATTTTACCCCTTAGTTGTATGAATTTCTGGCCATTGTATTCCCAGTGAGTTTGATTATCTGTGACAACCTTTTTTTTTCCTTCTCCCTGAACCAATCCTTTTAGTTGTAGGATGCTATTGTTGCTTACATGTTTTTCTTGTTTTTCTACGTCACCTCACCATTGCCTTAATTATTTTCTTAACTTATTGATTCAGGGCCAAAAGGAGATATGTGCTGTACCTGATTTTTATTTGGAAGTGTAATAGGTGTAATCGTTTTATTTGGTTCAAGTGAATGCCGAGCAAATAATTGCGATGAAAATTAGACGTCTTCATGTAATGAAAAATAGTATAAAATTTTGTCTGACAATTTAGGTTCAAAAAGTTTGTTGTGCCATCTTAATCATCTTTACCTTTTTAACTTTCTCCTCAGGTCACTTCTGGAGCACACAGAATGCATGTATCCTAATTCAAAATTTGACACCCTGTTGTGCATGTGGACACTGAAGTCATACGTCCCCCAGTACGCCCAAATGATGAAAGTGCAGTCTCAAGTCACACACCCTCATCCAGATGAAAGAAACAAACCTGTCCAGAGGTTGTCTCTCAGAGTCATGGGCAAGCCGATCCATCCAATGTTTCACAAAATCTCCTGTTTGTGCTGGGCTCCGAGCCGAGGTAACAAATGCCGAGCTGTCATCGTGACGTCGTGCCCATTCGGGAAAGAGTCAAGTGTTGCCACTGTGGTTAGTCTGGATGAAGGACCCGAGCCCCCACACATGCCTTCAAACACAGTGAGTTTTGTCTTCTTTCGCTGGTTTGTAGAACTGTCGGACCGGCTCCAACGGCCATCTGTAGAAGACAAAATCACCTGTACAGGCCGCCACTTCCCATTTCCTCCCTTGCATATTTTTTTACATAATAATGACATCGTGTTAGACAAGAACCCATCTAAAACAGCCACTTTTCTCCTCCAAACAGTGAGTTTTGTCTTCTTTCGCTGGTTTGTAGAACTGTCGGACCGGCTCCAACGGCCATCTGTAGAAGACAAAATCACCTGTACAGACCGCCACTTCCCATTTCCTCCCTTGCATATTTTTTTTACATAATAATGACATCGTGTTAGACAAGAACCCATCTAAAACAGCCACTTTTCTCCTCCAAAATGGAAGGCTGTCTTAGACAGTCTTGACTGTATTACCATGGATAAATGTAATGTTGCCACCCGCTTGTTATAAATGTGCCTGACCTAGTGCACAAATCTGGGGTCACAGTGGGCTTGTAGCTATGTCTTACAAGTACAAGAAACAGTGGGCTATAGTTTTCTTATTCTGTGAAGTGTGTGAGGTTATACTCAACCATGTCAGGTTTGAAACCCTGACAAAAAAAATGCTCTGGTGTGTGGTTGGAAGATATTCTGATGTGCTGTCTGTAAGATGCCAACAAGCTATCACACTCATAATTATTTAGAATCTCTGCTTATTGCCAAAAACCAAGCTTTTACTAGAAAAACAGAAAACTGTACTGTTAAGTAGGTGTATTATTGGTGCCATTGGTAGGTCTTCTTTATGCTCCCTCTGGTGCACTTTATGAACCTTATCATGTGTCAAGGTGTACCTCTTTGGCTGGGAAGACAAGTCCTGTTAGTACCTCCACCCACCCCCCCCCCCCCCAGCATATCTCTCTCTCTCTCTCTCTCTCTCTCTCTCTCTCTCTCTCTCTCTCTCTCTCTCTGTGATATATCACTCTGATCTCTCTCCCCCCCCCTCTCTGATCTCTCTCTCTCTCCCTCTCCCTTTCCCCCTTCTCCCTCTTCCTCTCCCCCCCCTCCCTCCCCCTCCCAATGGTGAAGTAATTCAAATGACTGACAATACTTTTTCTATTTACGATCAGGATGTTCACGTTAGTCTCGGAGAGAAGCTGGTCTGGACATGTGCTTGGAACGGCTGGAACCAGAGGGTGAGCATCGGCACCCGTGGAAATGCGCAAGTGATAGATGTCGTAAGGCGAAACAAATGGGTTTTCAACACATGTGGTGGGGATCCCGTCACCCAGGAGTTTTCCTCTAAGGTTAGTTGTTTCTTCAGTGGACTGCCAAATACTCTGAGAAAGAAAAAAAAAGATTTGTGTGGGTTTTTGGTTTGGTTTTGTTTTTGTTTCTTTGATTTTTTTGTGGTTACCGTCAGACCAAATGGTCTGTATTATGATGACCTTTTATATGCAAGTATTGATTATTTTCAGTTTTTGAGCAGCTGTGTAAATTTAAATGTGAAATGATCATGCGTTCGTTGTTTTTTTAATGTTTAAATCAGATCGGTTTAATAATCTGAATTTGAAGTCCAGGGGATCCTTTGTTGGGGAGGAGGGGGGGAGGGTTTTGGTTATTTTGTAAATGTTAAGCCATTCTTTTTTTATGACAGCTGCCTTTTGAGCTGTACAGTGGAACAAAAAAGGGGCTTATCATCAGACATGACTTGAGAGCCAACAACAGATCTGAACCAGTGCAGAAGTGGAACCAGACTCACAGCCTGGCCTGCATCAAACTCCAGAGAGACCCAAACTACTTCACTGCCAGCGATATCACCGGCAGGGTGAGTAGCCCGACAGTATAGCAACAGGGATGCTTAATTTCTGGCCTACTCTGAAACACGAGTGCTTGCATTGAGAAGAAGATGATTTCTTTAGCCATTTAGATTCTGGGGATTTGGTTTTTTCGACCATTAAAAAATTCAAAGAAAGAAGAACAACTCTGCTTTTACATTATAACCTCATTTTCAATATATTGTGATCAGACATTCTTCGAAGACCTCATAGAACTGCATACCATGACTGTACCGCGTGTCATCGTCCTTTTCATTTTGCTACCCACTGAATGAAGTACTGGGACACACAATTTGACATTTCCTAAGTATTAATTTGTCCTTTTTCTTTCTTTCAGATTTGCTCATGGGACAAGCGTATGAACAGAGTTGTACTGACGTATGAAGGTCTTTTCAATGAGTACCACTACCGTCCTTTTTTCTTTGATGAGACGGAGTCCATTTTGACAAGCAGTAAGAGTCTTTACCCTTTTTTTTGTTGTGTTTATAAAAATGCTCGACTTTATACCGGCAGATGAAATCAGGTCAGTGGGAGTGGTTGTCAGGAATAGTGAAATGTAACTTGTGGATCTGAAACTTGAACAGTCAGAATAAGCATATGCAGTTGTTGTTTACTTTACTTATTGGTTACCGCTGACTTTCTGATCTGTGAAGACAAAGACTAAATGTGTTTGACACGGCTGTTAGAAAGCGGTACTTTAGTTTGCAGGCAGCCATCGCGCCGCACCTTGTAATCTGACCCCGGTCACGGAGTCACGAACTCGTGGCCAGGGGAATTTCCTGTGTCCCGCTGACAGCGTTGTTCATTTCATTTTTAGGACAATTAAACTCGCAAAATACGCCGATCGGTGACTTTGTCATCATTTTATTTTGCCTGTTTGGAACAAGGAATTTCTGCACTCACTGAGAAAGCTGCAAAATATATAGCGTTATTTTTTAAAATGGCTCATATTTTACCATTGCCCTTTGGGGGTGTAGATTTTTAAATCAAAATTCCAATCAAACAAAACTTAAAGAGTTCTTCAAATTCACATAAAATACACCAGAAATGGTCAAATATCAAAACTCACTTTGTTGTTTTTGTGAGAAGTCCACGGTTTTGGAGTTGTGAAGAGTTGATTGCAGTATCACCTTTTTTTTCTTTGTCGGAGGCATGTTGGATAATAGTTCAGGATTTGACATGAGGTGCTGAGATCGCATTACAACTTTCAGCTGCTGTTCAATATTGCGTATCCCAGATCCTCTTCTCTCTCGCTTTGCCACAGAAGCATGGATACGTTCACCACCCTGTTCCCCATGTAAAGCCAAACCAAACCCATATGTTTGTATCCATGGGATGCAGTAGTTTTCTAGAATGTGTTGTTTGGGAAGTACCTAAAGTGCCTCCTGTATAATGACATGTAAGTTTTGATGCTTGTGTCAATGTGTGGTAGTCTGTCTTTTGACACTGGTTGGCCGTGTGAGATGTGGATGTGAACATCCCTAAATGCATTGTTTATTTGATTAAATTTTTCTCTGAGAGTGTAAGCGGTGTCAATTATGTTTTTGTTGTGGGTGTTTTCTACGGTTTCTTTTACAATAAATGCAATGAGGTCTTTATAAACGCGACTCATGATGTATTTGTGGCTGTGATTGCCAATGAAAGAGGGGCTGTGATATGCCTGTGGAGTGATGTTGTGAGTCAAGTATGGTGTATTAATGAGAACAGATAGGGCCAGTCTTAGGGGTAAGGGGTTCATGCTCTAACTTAGACAACCTGTCTTCTTTCTCTGTCAGTTGTTTTGAAAGTTAATTCTCTCCTCTTCAGAGTCAGAAAGTACCACGCAACCTTCTAAATGTCTAACCTCCCCATTTAGTTCCTCCCCACAACTCCATATATGTCTTATCTTGTCCACGCAAGCTTTGCAGATGGTTTTTGAATGTACTGTCTGTGAGTCCATTGTAATGCTCACACCAAAGGCAAAGAAAATGTCCTCCGCGAATGTAGTACACTGTAGGGGTCGCCTTTTCTGTGCCCTCTGCTTGACTGACAGTGTTCTGCCACCGCACAAGCTCTGCAAAGTTCGTGCAGCTTTTGAAGATGGGAATCCTCTGTATGTTTCTCCATTTCTGAACAGGGCTACAAATATTCCCAAAAAATCGATAAGAGAAATGTTGGAAAAATAACACGATATTTAAGGAGAGAAATGAAAGATCACGTCGGAGTGAATCACAGGGGAGGGGGTACCCTTTTTTTAAAAATCATTTAAAATCACTCATTGACTTCCCACAGATAACACTTGCTCACACAGTTCAAGTATTGCTGTCTCAAGTGAAGCACAGAAATCTGAGGGAATATCTGAATTTGGCTTTTGAGATAATAAACTCCAAAATGGAATATAATTTAAAATGCAACATTAGATTAACAAAACACTTGAACTGCAAAATGCTAAATACTATAACAACAGTGAGTTTTCTGAAGCAAAAGTGTGATCTTCTTGTTTTTCTTAAGATGATCTTTAAAATGAGATGTTAAACAGGTTTCTATGTTTATCAGATTGGGAAAAATAACGAGGGAAAGTGATGTGAAAATTGCCAAAACTGAGTTTCGCAGGAATCGCTATCATCACGATTGTTAAGCGCAAGAGTGGCCGACTGACTGATTTATTACTTTCGCACGGGAGGTCAGACCAGGGCTCGGTCACCAACTAAAGTATCACTTTCAGTGGTATTTTAACAGCCGTGTTGAGTGTAGTTGTGGTTATTTTTAGTTGCGCTCCCCCCTTCATCAGTGCCAGGGGTTGTTTTAGTGGAGGTAACTCTTTTTGACGTCTGTTTGTGAGAGCAAGGTGGATTCATGTGCTATTTATTTGTTTCCCGTCTTTATGGTAAAGCAGGTGGTAAGTCTGTTGGGTTTTTTTTCCCCTCTTTTAGTTCAGTCTGTCAGTCTCACTTTTTCTGTGCACTAAACGGCCAGTGGTGTACCGATGTGCATCCCTTTATTCAGACTCAAACTGCATCGTTGAATAGCTTTTATCATGATAAATTTATTTATAATTTAGAACTCACTGCTGACATTCATTTTTGTTTTCCTTCTCAGCTGGTACAGATAGCTACACAAATGTCTGGGATGTGCGCACAGCAGTTTTACTCCGAAGAATCCCTCCTCCCATCCAAGCCAGCAACGAGGGCTGGCCAATGGCAGTGTTCTCCAGTTACTGGGGAGGAATGCCGGGAAAAGGCTGTCTCATCATGGCTGTCAGAGATCGCTTTGAATTTTACAGATAACACAAAGTGTTTTTCCATTGATGTCCACTTTTTTCTGCTTCAAGGGCGTATTTGTGCTGTCTTTCAAAGTTCTGTAAATTAGCTTTTTAACAGTCTTTTATACTCGAGAAACTATGAGTTTGTTTTAAGATCATCATGCAGTTAATATCATTTATATAATTGCTTGAAACAGTTGGTGAAATGATAATATGTAGGTTTTCCATTTGTCAACATCTTGTGCATGGGGATTGTGATCATTTATTGTGGAATTTTTTAAATTCACAAATTGAGACAAAGTAGAAACTTAATCAAGTTTTCTAAATATTTGTGACACCTTCCTAGTGTATTTTACGTTCTATCTGTGTGTGCTTAGAACAATATTAGACACAGAGAAAATGTTTTGAACATTTATTTTTTAACTTTCCAAATTTGTGGACTGAACATATATCTACTTATGTGGTGCCACATTTTGGTGACAGTTTCATTTATTGAAAGCTAGAGAAATCTACAATAACATTGGCTTTAAGACACACTTGCATAATATTAGTTTCTTAAAAATCGGTCCTAGAGTGGGCTTTTTCTGCCTTCTTTAGGTAAAGCTCATTGCATTTTCTTATCAAGCTGTGTATGAAATGAAGGATAGCGGCCTTGCACTGAATTTCCTGACAAATGCAATTCGAAAATGCCAACCTCAAATTATATGAATGGTTCTAATTCGCATCATGAATTATTCTCTTGTTTGCAAACAAAAATTTTCCCCAGTTTGAACAGACACTGTAAGTAAAGTAATGTTGGCCAGTAGACTTGTTACAGTTGGTCCCACAATTTTCTGTGGCGCAGCCAGATACACAAACTATGCTCAATGTAAAACAGCTCAGCAGACGTGGTGCAACTGTACATACCACGATGTGTGGCTGTAAGCTGAAGTGTAAACGTCCTTAAACTTGTGAATCAGTTATAGCAACAACCACAAAGTGCTGGGGAAGTAGAAGATCTGGTGAAAAACGTATGTAAAGAATCATTAAAGTAGCTTTTATGGGTAGGCATTTTGTAGGTGAAATGAGTGAGCTTTTGGCTTCAGTTGGGTAGTCAGACCATATGCATGGAGGTGTGGCACGATATGTAGGCAGTCTATCGGTATTAATGTCTTAATGTTATCATTGGTATGTATATATTTTAATAAAGTACACGTTAATAAGTGTATATGTGTATGATGAACAGTGTACTTTTTAAAATTGTGCACTGGAAAACTCATTTCAAACAAACTTGGATTCTGTGAAATCTCAGAGCTAGGCAGTTCAGTGAAAATCTCAAATTGCTTGGATATGTAAATTTACAAAAATAGACTCAAAAAAGAGTCGTGCCCTCCAGATAATCATGCTTTTTTTTAATTGTGTAAATATCTTTAGTCATGCAAAAGTTATGAACATTTTTGTGATAGAAATTTTGCCTTGATTTGGTCCATTTTTTGCTCTGATTTTTGTGCCCGAATTTAGACGCATTTTAGACAAAGAACAAGACCCCCCAAATGAGCATGACAACGCGTTATGTTACTACTGGCGAAGCTTGGCCAAGAAGGGAAACCTGGGTTTCTTATGTTTATGTTTCCTATTGTCGCAAACAACTGTGGCTTTGTGCTTTTATTAATTTAAATATTTTTAATAGTATGCGGTAGCAATGTGCAAGTGAAGTCTCATGAAAAGGCAAATAGTTTAAATTTTACATCAATCTAAAACTTGCCTCATGTTCTAAACAAAATATTTCCACTTCTGCTGCATCGATCTGTACATGGGGGACACCATTTTAAAGCTCAGGTTTTCCTCTTTAAAAATGATGTACTGAAGGTCAACAGGGCAGCGGAGCGGGGAATCCCTCACGCACATTTGCATTCACTGAACTGCCTAGTTATGAGGGTTTTTTTCTTAACATCCCGGTTTCATTTCCATACAGCATAACTACAAAACTACTGCTGTTTCAGTGGTGAATAAAGTGTTCCTTTTTTAGAATGACTTTTTCTCCATTGCTGCAATAGACGAACTCACTAGAATGTTACTTGAAAGAAAAGGGGGAAGTATAAGTGGCGTGTATGGAAACAAGATACTTGTTTTTGCTTTCAATGCATCTACAGTACACAGTAGGTTAAGATGTAAACATGAGCAATGAATGAACAGTGTGCATGTGACAGATGGAGAAAGGGGAAAGAGCGGTTGGGGGGGGTGGGGTAAGAGGTTAAAAAAAAAGGGAAGTAAAATGAGCTGTCAAAGTAAATACTCTTTCTTTTTTTTTCTTCTTTTTTTTGGGCTTGGGATTATGTATAGAAACTGTCTTGCTCTGCAACTACGAGTAATACTACCTTGCACTGTTCAGTTCAAAGAGAAGAGAAAGAAGATATAGGCTGAAGTGAAGATGGACTGACAGCGTGGTTGAATGGACTTACTTTACTTTCTTGACCCAGGAGATTTGAGTGGACAGCCGTGACTGATGCTGAGTACAGAACTTATATAGTGCAAGGTGTTTTGGCAATAGGGTCTGATTATGGAAAAGGGATTTTCATTAAAAATGAGTACAGACCTGAAGACATGTAAAATGGTCTAGACCTTACATATATGTAACCTAGGTCATTTTCACAGGTCTATTGTCTGCTCCGATCCCCTCTTCCTATGATGTCTTTCTTGGAAGGGGGAACTATTATTGTATGCATGCTTGGGTTGCTTCTATCACTGTGCCCCACTAATATTTCAGCCCTTGCGAAAAATGTCTCTTGTTTTTAAAATATATCTGTAACAATTTACAAAAGTTTCCCACCTGCTTTTGACAAAAGAAAAGTCCATGTGATTATGATTTTTTTTAACCCTATGATCTTTTCATCCAGGTCTTGTTTACTTTGGGGGGGGGGGGGGGGGCTATTTAATTTAGGTCTGCCATACGTGAGCATTCTTGTCAGGGATTTTAAAAAGATTACGCTTTCACTGACAACTTAATACAAACTAGAAAGTTTTTTCTAAAAAGCAATGTATTTGGATGCCATTTCTTACTGTTTCATTTAGCTGATTAATGCATGGGTGGTTGGCGGGTGCTCTGGGGTGGTTTGCTCTTCTTTCTTATCAAACGTCTGTCGTCCTGATCTCTCCTCCTTTTCTGTGTTTGTTACGTTACTCTCTTGTAACACCTCTAATCTTTTGGCACTTTTGTGACCTACTGAAACTAAACTGATTAATGCACTAAATGTTGCAGTGAGATTTCTGTAATGAATATTCTGATAAATCTCTTTGTCGAAATAATATAGCCAAGGGTAATATAGCCAAGGGTTATTCTGCATCAGTAATGAGTGAGCTTGCATGTGTTTTTATATGACGATGTACACTTGTAAAGAAAATGGGCACCAGAGTAGGTACTTTTTGTGTCCCGATGCAGTGGAATCAGGCGCTCGTCAATTTTTTTGACATATGGAATTATTGGTATCACCGTAAAGGTTATTCATTTGCCTAGCTTTCGATTTTAAAAATATCCATTTATCTTGAATAGAAGTCGAGATATATGCGATTGAAGGAGGTGGGGTCACCCGGTTTCAAAGGTAAAATTAACGAGAAAATGGCCGCCAATGTTTGGTGACTTCCATAGCTTAAGAGTCCTTGAAAACTGCAAATTTAGATTTTTTGTGTCTTTAATCAATGTTTTTCCATAGAATCCACACATAAAAGTGTTTTTTGAATAGACGTTCAAGATGTTGAGCCAAATAAAGACAAAATTCTATTTTTAAAAATGTCCAGACTGGCGGAAAAATGCCAATTTCTCGGATTTCATTATTTTGGCGAGCACCTGATTTCACCACGATGCCTCACGTTTAATAATGTAAAGACCAATGTCTTTCTGATTTTCCTGTTGTAATTTTATTGTACCGTACTTAAATTTGAATAAATATAAGTCTGAACTAGTAGTGATAGTTTTCTTTAATAATGGACCTTACTTCTTGTTGCATCAGAGCTGCTGTGTCTGCTGTTAATCACGTGTCAAGAAGAGTTTGCAAATTTTTGGCGTTCATTTTGACTATGAGAAATGTTTTTAAAAGCACTATTTTGTTTTTCCGTTTGAGGGAATGTTGCAACGGATATCACTAAATTCTAGCAAATTGTATGCGTATACACAAAGACTTGCAGACTTCAGAACAATTCCCGAGGCACTTTCAAGCTTTTGAAATTCAGATCACGATAAAGTTGATGGACAAATCTGCAATTTTCTTTCGCAGGTATCTGATTAACTTTGATCTACTTCAGAAAGATTTGTAGTGATCAAGAAATAATTTTTTATTTGGAACTGTCGATAATTTAGAATTGACCAAATGTCCATTCAGTATTTGTGATTACTGAAGTGAAGGCTTTAGTTTTTGTTTTATTGATTTGGGGGAAATGCAAGAAAGGGACTAGGCTTGACTGCTTTTTACTGTCTTACAGAATTGTTTTTTAACATGCTATGCATGTTTTTATGTCAGCGCAGATCTGTGTAACTTCAAACAAGGGATATGTGTTGCTTTGATAGCCCTTTTCTTTTTCATTGGCAATCATTCTTTTTTAACGTTTAGTTGTATTGTTCATAATTACTCCAGTTACCAGTTACATATTTTATATTTTCATTTGGCAGAATTTTAATGTCCTTTGGACTTATCGGACGTGTTTATTTTATTTACTCACTTATCGGACAGTAATTGCAATTGTTCACAAAGTAATGGAAATTAGTTCGACAGTTTTTTATGGCTATTTAGTGTGAATCGTAGAAAGCAGTGGTAATTGTGAAGTTAAGATATAGAAAATTTGTTCTAGACTCCTTATTATAATGCATTTTGCGATGCAAGTCATATCCTCAGAGAGTGACATAACTCTCACTCTTAACCCTATCCATATGCCCTGGGGTCATTTTGTACCCCCGGGGTTGTTTTCTTCACATTTTAGAATACTTCTAGTGCGAAGATCTCTGAAACTTAGTATTTCTCAAAAAATCATTTTGACAGACTGCCATGCAAAGCGTACAGATCGGATTGAGTAAATTTCCCTTTGGAAAGTGGTAACACAGAGTTCCCCAGGTCGTATGGATACGATAGTAAAACATGATGTACGGATAGGGTTAAACATGCCTCCGTCTCTAAGAAGATACTGTGACATCGAAAGAAAAGTATACAACTCTTCTTTTCGATACATTTTTTCTGATAATGCATATGCTGTCTCAGGGCATTGAGATTTTTTTTAGCTTTTTGTCTTAAGGTTAAAGTATATACCTGGTTGCACATGAGAACCCTTCTTTTTACCATTTTGCCATGGTTAGTCTATTCAGAGCCTTTTTTTTTCTCTATTTGAAGTTACTGATTACAGATCAACTGCTCAGTGTAAGACTCCGTCATACAACACTTTTCAAAATGGCGTATGGCAGATTCTACTTTTACTAGACAGTCGAGATAAAAAGCTCCGACTGTTTATGCACTTCAGGTTGCTGTGTCATGTTTTTGAGTGACCTGTAAGTCAGCTCTCTTGTTATAGATGTTTATATTTCACAGGTTTCCTTATCCCACGTGTATTGTACAGTGCAAGTTGGTCATTGTCCTATTCAGCTCTTTTCTCGAAAGGAAATCATTAACACCTAGTGCTTTAAGTACTTTAAGGATGCTGTTTAATACTTTTGTTGTTTTAGCTTGGCGTGAGGGGGGGGGGTGGTCAGCACTAATTGTGCCGATACATTTCTCTTTCTCGTACGAACAATACAGCAAAAAGCTGATTTAAAGTTAAAGTAGAAGCTTTACTATTGTTGGTGTGAATCTGAGGGTGACCATAGCTCAAGGATATATTATGCACAGTCGATCAACCCTGCCCTGACAGCCAAGATAGCCACCTGTCCAAATGACCTCACACACACTCACATACACCCGTGCTGCATTTTTTTCTTTATAATGGCACTGACCAAGACAACAACCTATCTAACACTAACACAGCCACAACTGACTCTATTAACTAATACTAACATATTGAGATACATATACTACTAGCAAATGCTGATGGCGTTCACTAACAAACTGAAAAACAAAGAAGATAGACTCACACTCACAGCGATGGAAACAGACAGAAAGACAGACAAATCCACACACACACACACACACACACTGATACATGTACACACATGACACAACAAAAAACAACAATTTTATGGACCTTACAGCTGTTCAAAGTCTGAGAAGTGAATAGTTTGGGGTTGTTTTTTTATTTGTTTTTTTTTTTTTCATTTTTCATCTGTCCAACCCAAGATGTTCATCTGTCTAAGACAACCACTTTTCTCCTCAAAAATGGGAGGCTGTCTTGGGAAGCTTCGACTGTGTATATAGTATGTGTAGACTTTTGCAACTGCTCAAAGCATTTCATTTGCTATTGTTTTATTTGAGGGAGGGAGATGAAAATTGAACTGGCAAATGTAGGCAGTGTTCATGGAATTAAATTTTCAGACCCGAAAATTTCAAACATTGTGTTTTGTTATTTTTATTTCCCTTTATTTTTGGTTTTGGTCTCTCATACTCAATGCAGATGATTGGAGGGCGCCTCTGGTAGGTCCTACTTCTTCACTTTCCCTCTGTTGTTTCTGTTTGTCTGTTTTACTTTTTCCCAGCACTTATAAAATAACAATGACCATTATTGTTTCATATAAAATAATAATGACCATTATTGTTTCATTGTGCTTCAATTTACCCAACATCTCTTCTATGCAAACAGAAACATTGGGCCAGGTTACATTTTAAACCATTCCCCAGTTCTTGTTTCTCATGGTTCAATCCATAGCAGAATTATTATTATTACCTTTTTGTTTTTGTTTTTATTTAGTAAGCGTTTTACGACACCTGCAACATGATATGGTCATATTAGTGTCGAAGATTAGAGGTAATGGTGATACAAGAAAGTAAAAAAACCTAAAAAAGAAGTAGAGGTAGGGACGATACAGTCGAACCTGCCCTGACGACCACCTCTCTGATAAGACGGCCATTTTCCATTCCCCCTTGCGTTTTTTTCTATATAATTTAACTGTGTAAAACGGGCACCTGTCCTACGCGGCCGCAGCCACCATATTTTAACACACAACCCCTATCACACAAAGCAATAACACCTATCTTACTCTTAGACGGCCACCTCAGTGACGCCATTACGTTTTGTCATAAATCATGCTTTGGCCCCTGGCGTTGTGGGCGAGCCGTCATAATCAAATCACCTGTCGTTATTGTAAGGTAGTCCCTTCAACCAATCATGTTGCATAGGCCCCTCCCTTCGTTGACCAATAGGTAACAAATTTTCATCTGCTGGTGAGGTAAACGTGTGATCCCTCATAACCCATAAGCCCCGCCTAGAATTCATGCACAGATCGTAAGTGAGATGAGTGGTCACTGTTTACCCAGTCTGTAACAAAGTAACAATGGACGTCAACATGAACTTGTGACATAAGCGTCGCGCGTCCTCCGAGTGGTGGCGACTTGTGTGTTTGTTTTACCATAGCACTCGGTCCTCCTTGTCGGGCACATTTCGTTTTATTGTCCCTCAAAAGCAGCAACAAAAGACCCCCCCCCCCCAGCGAAAACAACAACAATATCAACAACAACAACAATGCGGCTACTTTCGGTTGGGACCTCAGAAAGGAATGGTTTGTTTTCTTCTTTTGATTAGTCCTGCCTAAGACGGCCACTTTTCTCCTTGACAATAGGTGGCCGTTTTACTCAAGTTTGACTGTAGTTGTTTGAAAGATAGGAAAGAAGGAATGAACCACATCAGAACTCCCGCCAACTACCAACTATAAATCCCAGATACCGGGAAGCAGCTTACGGCAAAACGAATTCTGAATAGGACATAGTAGCTTATTGTGAAATTTCTGGGACCAAATCTGTTGATTCAATGCAAAGTTAGTACTTGAACTCTTTGATTACTGAATGCGGCTTACATTATAATAATTACATTTGTACACATATAGTAAATAGTAGTAGCTCATGTCCACTCTCTACATGCTCTATGACTCTTTGTGCTTTACAACTATTATTATCCCAGCAGACCCTAAAATACTCAGAAACACTACCTCGGCATTGGCTGCTTCCTCTGGCCATTCACGACATTCTCTGCCTAATGTTGCTTCAAACTGGTATTGGTATCTAGACTAGTAAAGTAATAATAAAGTCAAGAATTACGGCATCTGACCAAGGCACCCTCGCATGTCTACAATTACCCATCATCATCATGCTTCTCATGATTAGACCAATCATAAAGTAGGAGCAGAATTTTTTTATAATTTCTCTTATCATTTATCAGGAGATTGCATTAAAATTTAAAAAGTGTCCTTGATGAGTCACGACATGCATATATTATTACATGCAAAATGTGTGGGATAAGCAAGCAGTGCTGTTAACACTCCCCTTTTCCACGTGACGGAGATTTGTAGTATATTATTTATTAGAAGCTTTTTAATCTAGCTTCAATTGTGAAAAAATATGATTACGTCAAGACAATTTGCTGTACAAAGTATATCAGGTGACATTGATTCACCTATTAAAGAGATACTTAAGGATAAAATGCTCCACGAATTTTTTTATCCCACTTTTGTGTTTGTGGTATTACCAATCATTTTTCTTCCTCATCTCCTGGCTCCCCAAGATGATGGCAGGCCCTCCAGTCGCAGGACTCCTTCGAGGCTTGGGGTTTGGCGCTGCAACTGCCTGGTGAGTCTTCACAGGGTGAGCACCATATCTACTGATATCATCTTCAAGTGTCATTTTTGTAGTATTACATTGTAATGTGGTTCTCTGGCGTGCACCTTGCCACCCAATATCTCCGATATCAGCACTCTAGCTTCAGGTCCTGGAAGCACTGGGAGGAATTGTTACTAGATCCCACCCCTGGCTAGAACTTAATGTATACATTTATTGTAGTCCTTTTCGGCTTCAGGCTCCTGTCAGCGGATTCATAGGACATTTCATGACATGGTGCCACCTCCCACCTCCCCCCATTCTGGTAAGAGCATCGCCAGTTGGTCCTGGGCTGTTTATTCAAAATATTCACAGTTAACCTCCATTACAGTGACCATTCCCTATTTACCACCAGTACCCAGGCACCAGGTCTGGGATGTGTTGTTTTAGTAAGAGTTTTACAGCACTTGCAACACAAAATAAGGTTATATAAGTATGAGTGCTGAAGATAAGCAAGTACTTGTACTTGTAACAAAGATAATATGTGAGGCAGCGCTGTGAAATCAGGCGCTCGTCAAAATAACAAAATCGGAGAAACGGGCATTATTCCGCCAGTTTGGACATTTTTATCGAATTTTTATTTTTTGGCTTAACCTCTTTTACATCCATAAAACACATTTGAGGGTGAATTTTACTGGAAAACATTGATTAAAGGCACAAAATATGTCATCTTTCAGTTTTCAAAGACTCTTTAGCTATTGGACTTACCAAACTTTGGCGGCCATTTACTCGCTAATTTCACCACTGAAACCAGGCGACCCCACTTCCTTCAATCGCAAATATCTTGAGTTCTATCCAAGATAAATCAATATTTGTTTCATTAGAAGCAAGGCAAATAAATCAGCTTTCAGATGATTCCAATAACTCCACATGCCCAAAAATTGACGAGCGCCTGATTCCACCCCGTCGTGACACATATTTGTTTTCAGTGTACATTTGTTGTAAAGTGTGGTATCGTACGCATAGGCCTACAATGAATGCAGTACAAAAGCAAGCTATAAATGAGTTGACAGAGCACATTACCGCAAACAAGATCATGCTAAAGCAAAGAAAGGATAACTCTGTACAGACAAAATAGAGTCTAAACGGAGATGAAAGAATGAGGGCCAAAAGGTGATAACTTAACAAAATGATACGAACTGGAGTATCATGCTTTCAAGATTAGTTAAAGAGGAAAGCACAGTTGTTGTACTTTTGGTTTTCACCAAACAAAAAGTCAGAACTTAGAATATACTGGACAAACAAAAGAATAGTTGTTGACTATACATAAATTTCACTTTTAATGTTCATATAAAAATGTATTTAAGTACAAACAATATGTTTAAAAATGAAGAGAGACATTAACAATAATATATGACATAAATCTATATAGCGCTCAACCACAATTAAAATACACAGGCTTTGGGTGTTTACAAATACAAGTAACAATACATATACAGCACATTGTGTTCTAGATAGGTCTACATTTGAAAGCAGAGATGACTTAGGTTGACTTTCAAATGCATTCAAAGATTTGACCTCTCTTAAATTACCAGGCAGTGCATTCCAGACCTTGGGGTCATGAAATGCAAACACCATTTCACTTGTACTGTTTTTAGCTTCAATTATGGTAATAGTGGGTCTACTTTGTTTTAGTCAGCTGTGGTCTGAAAGTGCTATTCTGAAATGTACATTTTCAACAGATTTAATGAATGTGATGGTGCATTATTATCATTCAAGCGCTTGTGATATATAGAGTGGCCACCTTGTACATCATTCTTTTCTCAACAGAAAGCATGTGCAGAGTCTGTTAAATATGTATAACAGAGTCCCACTTTCTATCTTTGTAAACCTTTACAAACAGAATTGTTTTGACCCATTTTACACTGATTTTCTCATTTCCAAGTAGGCTACATATAATGTTCCTAAATGTTCCCCACACTTGACAAAAAAAATATTTTACTTGAAATAAAAAAAATGCATTCAACACGCACAAACACACAAGTAAGAAAATGCAGGTATTTATGTAAATGTATGCCAACCTGCTACCTTTTTAAAGTAACTAACATTCAGAAAATACTTGAAGGCTTCCATAATGATTAGAAAAATATACACCTTTAGAAAATGGAACCATTATTCATATAAGTAGACAAAGCATCATTATCATTCTTCAGAAAGATTTAACCAGCAAATGCTGCCTGTTCGAAACACATTCATACCCTGTTCAGCTACATTCTCACATCAATGACTAGATTCACAGAAAGTTCTAATAGACAACTGGCAATGACTACAAGTGTGTGTCTGTGAAGACTGTCTGCTCCTTGGTGTAACTGTATGTTCGTCCGCTGAGGCTGTCATCATCTTCAGTTTCTTCAAACTGGAAAACGAAAGCAAGATTACTTATTCAGAAATGTTGGCCAACATCAGTAATAGAGGAGTAAAAGAGAGGCATGATGATGATATAAAAACTGCATGAGATGGGTGCTGGAATGTGATCAGTTTCATCCTCTTCTTAGCAATTTTCCAGTATTACAGTCAGGCACAGATAACACGAACATGAAAAACTCAAAATCACGGATATCTCATACAATTTAACATTTCCCTCCTGATATCTCTTTTAAGTTTTACTATTATATGTATATACATATATAATGTATATATATATGATGTCAGGTCAGCCTCAGTGCTGCTACCATAATGACAGTAAATGGTACTACCTGCAGCTGTTCCTACTGCCTTGTAGGTGCATACGGGGAGTATAAAAGGTTAAGGGAGTAAACCCTAAACAAATCCGGAGGGAGGGCCCCTAAGGCAGTCAACAGGGAGGAACGATCCGAACTGTCTTCTGGCAGCCCCTGCAACTTTACTGGTTCCAAATGTATTGACCTCGTCTCTCCTTTGGACTTAATCAGCTAAGTCGAGAGAGGGTTCGTGCAAATTGGGCAAGGCACGTTCTCCATATAGTCAGGCCCAGGCATTTAGCTTAGTCAAGATTTCAAGATTTCTGGGAGGACGCTGCAAAAGAGCAAATACAGCGGATCAGACCCACAGCTCAACCTCAGCTACAACAGCATTTATATGATTATGGAGAGGACACTCCATCCTTGTGACGAGCAAGGGAAAAAACACGGGAGGTGGCAGTTTACGGGTTATAAGACATCCTTATTTGGCGAGACAGGATGTCGCCACGGGGCACCTTTGGCGATGGGAGTGACTATTCAGTCACACTGATCAGCTACCGCCCATCTCAAACTGGGCAGCCCCCAGTCAGTAAGGTGCTGATCCGCCACGTCTGTTTGCTTCTATGGGTGTATGGAGCTAGGACAAAAACCGAAAGGCAGACGTTAAATCCAGCACCAGGCAAAAAAAGAGTAAAACTAACCCCATGGAAACTGGGGACCTGGAATGTTAGAACAATGACAACCGGATTGGACACTACAAACATGGAGAAAACAGAGGACACCAGAAAGACAGCAATCATTGACAGGGAGCTCACACGACTCAATGTAGACTTCACTGCCCTGCAAGAAACAAGACTTGCTAACTCTGGTACCATCAGGGAAAGAAACTACACATTCTTCTGGAAGGGTCTTGGGGAAAATGAGAGGAGAATCCATGGTGTGGGCTTTGCCGTACGCAACAGATTGCTGAACAGGATCAGCACCCCCCAAGGTATATCCGAACGTATCACTGTCATGGAAATGGAAACCAAAACTGGAAAGGCTCACTTCATCAGCGCCTATGCCCCAACCCTAACAACAGAAAATGAGAAAAAGACCAGTTTTACAAGGAACTTCAGGATGAGGAACTTCAGGATGCAATCAACAACGTCCCATAAACAGACCAACTGTTTCTCATGGTCGACTTCAATGCAAGAGTAGGTACTGAAAACAAAGTATGGCCCACCTGCCTTGGACCTTTTGGGCTGGGAAAAATCAACGAGAATGGTCAGAGACTCTTAGAATTCTGCACAAATAACAACCTTTGCATCATTAACACCTTCTACAGTGGCAAGGGCAGACACAAGGTTTCTTGGTGCCATCCAAGATCAGGCCATTGGCACCAAATTGACTTCGTCGTCGTCAGAAAGAAAGATGCCAACATGGTAAAGCAAACAAGATCCTTCTACAGTGCAGACTGCAACACAGTCCACCTTTTAGTTATAGCTAAGGCAAAGATGGTCACAAAGAAAACCCCAAGAGCTGAAAAACAAAAGAAACCTAAGATCAACATAAGAAATACCAAAGACCCAGCGTTAAAGGCAAAATTTCAAGAACATGTTAAAGAAGAGCTCCAATATCTAGATAGCTCATCCCCAGACAACATGTGGAATAGCATGAGATCAACAATTTATAATTCCGCGTCGATTACTTTTGGAATAGAAAGACCTTACAAGGAGGACTGGGTTGAGGCTAGTGTATCAACACTCGCAACTCTACTCGAGAAAAAGCGTAAGATCCTGATAGAACACAACACAAAACCAACAGAGAGTACAAGGCAACAACTACGTGCTGCTAAATCCAACCTTCAAAGAGAAACCAGAAAGTGTGCCAATCAGTACTGGGACAAGTTATGCTCAGAAATTCAACAGGTCAGCGATACAGGTAATATCAGGATAATGTATGAAAACATCAGAGTTGCTATTGGACCAACAGCAAACAAAGAGGCACCTCTAAAGTCTGCCACAGGTGAACAGCTGACAGACAAGAAGAAACAAATGGAAAGATGGGTGGAACATTATTCAGACTTATACTCAGAGGAGCGACATATTGATAGACAGCTACATGAGGCCATTCCTCAGCTCTCCGAAATGTCAGAACTTGATACAACACCAACAGAAGAAGAACTCTCCTCTGCAATCGATGAACTCGCTTACAGAAAAGCAGCAGAAAATGACAACATACCTGCTGAAGTGCTGAAAGAGAACAAAGAGACTCTCCTCCCATATCTCTACAAGCTACTAACGACTTGTTGGCTGAAAACAGAAATTCCACATGACATGGGAGATGCCAAAATCACCACACTCTACAAAAACAAAGGGGACAAAGGAGATTGCAACAACTACAGAGGTATCTCACTGATAAGCATCACTGGAAAAGCTTTCGCTAGGATCATCCTGAAACGACATCAGAAACTAGCAGAAAGAGTCCTACCAGAGAGCAAATGCGGTTTTAGATCAAACCGCTCAACAATGGACATGATCTTTTCTATTCGTCAGCTACAAGAAAAATGCAGGGAGCAACGACTGCCATTATATACTGCGTTCGTCGATGTGACAAAAGCTTTTGATACAGTCAGTAGATCAGGACTGTTAATGGTGCTTGGAAAAATTGGCTGTCTCCCAATACTGCTACTGCTCATCATCTCATTCCACGAATATATGAAAGCCACCATTCAGTTTGACGGTTCAACATCAAACAGTTTCAACATCAATACCGGAGTAAAACAAGGTTGTGTCTTAGCACCAACCCTTTTTAGCGCTTATTTTGCTGTCTTACTGCAATACGCATTCAAAGAGTCACCAGGGGATGTCTTCCTCCACTGGAGAACTGATGGGTCGCTCTTCAATCTTGCTCGACTCAAGGCCAAGACCTAGATTAACAAAACAACAGTACGAGACCTTCTCTTCGCCGATGATGCTGCTCTTGTTGCTCACAGTGAATCAACCCTACAAACAATGATGGATCGCCTATAATGCACATGCAAGGTCTTTAGCTTGTTCATCAGTGTTAAGAAAACAGTCATCCTTACCCAAGAAGGTGCAGAGCAGAGCCATATATGGCTGAATGACAAAGAACTTAAGACAGTGGACGAGTTCTGTTACCTGGGGTCTTCCATCAGCTCTACAACATCACTTGATTATGAGATCAACATCAGGATAGGGAAAGCAGCAACAACTTTTGGAAGGCTGACAAAACGAGCATGGGAAAACAAAAGATTAACCATCAAAACAAAGATCAAGATTTACGAAGCATGTGTCCTCAGCACACTCCTTTATGAATCTGAAACATGGACCTTGTACAGCAGACAAGAAAAGCGCCTCGACATTTTCCATCTCAGATGCTGCCGCAAGATCTTACGCATTTCGTGGCGTGACAAAGTTACAAATGTTGAAGAGTTGGCACGGGCAAACCTCCTGTGTTTAAAAAGATTGAGATGGCTTGGCCATGTCAAGAGAATGGATGACAACCGGATTCCGAAGCAACTTCTCAATGGAGAACTTGCCCAGGGAAAGAGACAAAGAGGAAGACCAAAATTGAGGTACAAAGACACCTGCAAAAACAACTTATCTAAGCTTGGAGTAGATTTTAACATCTGGGAAGAAATAGCTGAGGACCGGAAAACATGGAGGAAAATTATAAAGGAAAGAACTAAAATGCTAGAGAACAGCCTCAGAAACAACCAGGCTGAGAAGCGCCAACGATGAAAGGAAAACAGCGGAAAAACAGAGCTTCGATCTACGACACTGACATGCAAGCACTGCAACAGAATCTGCGCTTCAAACATAGGAAGAATTAGCCATGAAAGAAGCTGCATGAAGACAATCCTGAGACCATCTTAAGCTAAATTGACCGTCTGCATAGACGAAAAGAGCCATACATTGTCCAAATTATGGATGTGCGGAACACATGTTTTGTCAATCCACAACGTGTTTTTGTTATTTGAGTTACCTGTGCCTGACTGTATATCATTTCCACTAAATGATATGTTGCATTTATCACACCATCTCACTAAAGTACTATTACTCAACAAAGTTCCAATGACTGTTGTCTACAAAATTTCCCCCAGCAGTATATCGGAAGAAATGAACACGCTCGTGTAATTCAGTAAGTGTAAGAGCAACAAACGATGACAGAGTCCATTATATGAGTAACATTGTGGTGAAATCGGGCTCTTGTCCAAATACTGAAATGAAAGAAACCAGTATTTTTCAGCCTGTTGGTCAATTTATATTCATTTTATTTTTCACTCAGTACCTCTTTAACGTCCATTTAAAAACACATTTCTGAGTAGATTTTACTGAAAAACATTGACCATAGTCACAAAAAAATATAAATTCACAATTTCTGAGGACACTCAAGCTTTAGAAGTTACCAAATTTGGCAGCCATTTTCTCACCAAGTCTACCTCCCGTGACAAGCAACAATTACCTCCTTCAACAGGAAATATCTCGACTTCTATAAAAGATAAACATCTTTTTCATCAAAAGCAAGACAAATGAGCAAGCTTTAAGATTATACCCATTACTCCATATCTCCAAAAACTGACAAGCACTTAACTTCACTTGTGTCATGATATACGGTGAAATAATAACTGCTGACCACTCAAACGAGAAAAACCTTTTTTTTATATGTGAGGTACTGTGGTGAAACCAGACGCTCGTCAATATAATGAAATCGAAGATAGTAGCATTTTTTCGCTGGTTGGGCAATTTGAACTGAATTTTTTTAATTTTTGGCCGAACACCTTTTATGTCCATTAATTAAAAAGACATTTATGTGTGAATTTTGCTCAAAAACTTCGATAAAAGGCACAAAAAATGTAAATTTCAGTTTCAAAAGACTCTCAAACTATGGAAGTGACCAAACTTTGGCAGCCATATTCTCGCTCATTTCACCTATGAGACCAGGTGACCCCGAAAACCTTTAATCGCAATTATCTCAACTTCTGTTCAAGATAGATGGGTCTTTCTTTAATTGAATGGTAAACAAATGAACAAGCTTTAAGATTCTACTATAATTCCACATGTCCAAAAATTGACGAGCGCCAGATTGCACTGCATTGTGACACATATAACTATCCTGACTCACCAGTCCACTGTCATACGGCCTGCCCCATCGCAGGTCATCATCATCATGATACTTAGCAGAGAACCGACTGAGCTTCCCAGGGGAGAGTCGTCCAATCTCTCCATCTTGAGAAAATGCCGGGTTGATAATACCCAAGCCAGGGCCTTGATAGAAGTTGTCCCGATCACGCATCTGTTCAGGGGGGAACCTCTGTGAAAGGCAGGATGAGAAAATTGCGCCTTTTGAAAAAAAATGCAGTACCTCACGCACAACCCTGGTAATATAAAGACACAGTAAAACTGTCGTGAATGCAGCAACATAGTATGAAATCAGAATATAATACAGAACGGCAAGAAAGAAGAAAATAAGAAAATAACTACATTCTTTCCTCAACCCTCTAAAATCCCATATCTGACTAGCAATATCCCACAAGTGGACAAAAAAACTGTAGGACAATAATCGGAATGGGTAGATACAATGAAATGTAAGTTCCACACTTCAGTGCCAACCTACAATTTCAAGGTCACACAAGTACAGGATCTTACCCTTACAGTAAAAATCACACACTCTATGACTGTGAGGATAGCATTTCTTTATTAGCACAACATAATGGACAGAAGGATACTAACTTTAACAAATGGTCACATGTGAAGAGATCAGTAGGAGGTTGGAGTTGTGCTCATGTGTGTATTGGGGGGGGGGGGGGGGAGAGGCGACTTTATTTTTTATTGCCATTAGACTCGTGATTGATTGGGATCGGATGAATAATGTCTGGTACTTGGTCTTACATTTCCATCCAGGACGCTGCCGTCATTTGCACTGATGACATACAGATCTCTGTTCATCTTCCGTTGCTGTTGCTGCTGCTGCTGGCGCGTCCCTGCCAGGGGCATCCTCTCCCTGATGTAAGGCTCTCGAGAGCCCGAGCGGCATATACAGTAGCCTAGGATGATGCAGAGAATGAGCAGAACCAGTATACACATCAGTACGATAAACCAGATTTCCTCATATACAGCCGTGCTACTGGCTGGAGCAGCCGCAGTTGGAGGTGGGAGCGTGGTCCCTGAAAAAGACAAGTGAAAAAAAAAAAGAACATGAGAATAAAGTACCGATACACATATAAAGACACAAGTCACATCACTTACATCACTGGGCAGAAAAGTAGCAAGAGTAATTGATCAGAAAAATATACATCTTCATAAAATGAAGCTATTATTTATGTACACAAGTTGACAAAGCATACTTCTTCAGAAAGATTTAAAACTTCTCCCTTGCACTCAGTACTACCTTTTAGGAAGAAATATCAAAACATATTGGTTACAATTTATTATTATATTCCTTCAAAAATACACAATGTTGTTAATCCTTTCAAACTTTAACTATAAAAAATAAATGCCTCATTACTAACACATACTATCTCTCTCTTTCTAGCTTCTTGGGTGACTTTACTGCCAATGTAAGTAACACAGCAATTTTTCATACAGCTCAGCTGGTACTTTTTTGTTTTTTAAATTAAATTAAATCTATACAGTGCCATTCATTAAAATGCTTAAAAAAGAGCTGCTACAAGTTGCATCATTACCCTAAAAGCAGGGATGAAGATATGATAATAGCTAAACAACAAGACTTTAAACATAGAAGCAGTTAAATAAATAAGGCTAAAAAGGAACAGTGTAAAATTCATGTCTATGTCTTTACCAAATAAAGTAACCCAAACTACAATGAGAGGGCTGAAAAAAATTAAACTCACCAATATTGTTGACAGCGTTTGGATCAAATACAATGATGGGAGACTCTGCACGTCCAGAGTACGTGATGACCTGGATCAAGAATCTGATCACTGAAATTTTAAGGGAGAAATAAAAATGAACAGAAACTACAAAGACATCTCCTTTGTATGTATTCTCAATATAGAGTACAAAATGATTTCCTTTGATATTACAGATGCAAGAGATATATTCTAATTTTAAAGAAGTGCACATTGAACAGGGTGTCCTGTTCCTGAAATCTGGACACAAATGCAAAATACATGAAACAAATTTTTGATTTCAATGAAATAGAATATTAACAATAAATAGTATCTTTAATACCACAATTTCAACCATTTGTGATGCAAAAGGTAGATGCATTTTGCAAGATTTACTTGAATCCAATGCAATGATACCACACTATCACCTCTTTAAGCACATTCACTCTTCATGTGTTCCATTAAGTCGTGAGGTTTTTTAAAAATCTGTCCAGAGTTTAGGGACAACCTGTAAAAAGGCTATGCTAGATAGGTATTAAATCATATCAAATGAGTCTTCATGGTGCATAAGAAGGAAAATAGGAAAGAAGTGAGGTGAACGTACTTTGATAGAAATACACATATGTGAGGCAACGTGGTGGAATCAGGCTCTCGTCAATTTTTGAGCATGTAGAGTTATTGGTACCATCTTAAAGCTTGTTCACTTGTCTTTATTTGGTTGAAAAAAATATCCATGTATCTTCAATACAAGTCGAGATATTTGTGAATGAAGAAGGTGGGGGTCCCCTGTTTTCAGAGGTAAAATTAGTGAGAAAATGGCCGCCAAATATTAGTTATTTCCTTAGCTTAAGAGTCTGTCGTAACTGAAAATTTACATTTTTTGTGCCTTTAATCAACGTTTTAAAGAAAAATCCACACAGAAATGAGTTCTTTAATGAGCATGAAAGGTGTTGAGTCAAAAAACAAAATTTTGATAAAAATTCACAAAGCTACAGAAAAATGCAAGTTTCTTCACTTTGATTATTTTGACGAGAGCCTGGTTCCACCACGCTGCCTCACATATGTCTTAGCACTGCACACTACATAGGAGAAAAAGCGAGATAACTTCTGATACTACTGTAATCATCATTATCATCCTGATCATAGAATCACTACATGGTAAGATAGAGAATGTTCCGAGCGAGGTACTTTAAATAGAGGTTTTCTTTTACCTTGATTCTTTGTCTGTCTCTCAACTCCAGTCTCTACACCAATGCCTCGAAATATGATCTGATCATTTGCAAGCACAATGTATTCAAGCAGCCGGCTGTTCAGAGAGAAAGAATTTGCCCATCCAACCATGGCCATGGTTCCATTCTTGAACAGACGTGGATAAGCGATGTACACTGGATCTGGAGGGGGGAAAATTCAGCACAATTCAAATGCTATCACTTTATGTAAAATATTTGTTCCTGCAAGAATACCTTCTCATACAATGAGCAACACTTTCAAATATCCCCCCATTTTTTAAGAAATGGATTAACCATGAAAACAACAAGAGTAGATCAGAGACAAATGTTTCTATAAAAAGTAATATTGGGCATTTCCTTTTTCTTTCCACAAATATAAGAGGAAGGTGGAGACATATACAGTTTGAACGAACATACTGGTAATAGAGTATTGTTCATGTATCACGGCCACAATTGAGAGCCTTGAAGTTTTCCAGATTTCAATTGAAACAATATGATTTTTGCATACATGCTGATATACCAACTACTGAAGGAGCTTTTCTCATCTTAGCTGAATATAGTTGCTAACAGTTTGTTTGTTTGTTTCTTCATATTTCAGAGCTATGAAAACGGTGAAAATCATTCTCTGCGTGAGTTAAAAACAGCAAGTCTTCTGTGTAGACCTGCCTCCTCTTGATTCTATCAAGACATTTCTCATTAGCCTGCTCCTCTATCAGCTGTCACGGATTCTTTATTTAAATTAAGTCCAGTAAGGCTATGGTGTGAGTGGTTGGAGGGCACAACTAGTAGTTCCTAATTCTTTTTTCTCTATGTTGTTTTCAGCATATTTAGCTTCTGCCCTGCACTTTACACCCATTACCATGTTGATGCGCATCTCTTTACACACACAAAACCAAGTTCAAGGTGCTTCTCCAGCTTTCTCTTCCATTTTGAAAGGGGGATAGAGATATTGTCTTCCCCTGGCTCCTCTATCCATTAAGGCAAGGGCTTCAAAACTGTTCTGTCATCAATCATCTCTTTCTTAAGCTTGGAATCAATATAATATTTGATAACTCTGCTTTTACAAGCGTCCTCATATCTCTAAATGAAGTGAAAAGAAATGTACAGACACCCAGGCACTGTCATTTTATCCTCAACAATGGGATCAGACTGGGGTACAGTTTTTCAGGACATTGGGTAAGAAAAAGCAAATGTGTTGTAAAAGAAACTAACACGTGTTGTTCTTGTTGTCACAGATCCATTAACTTGTGAGTTTTTGCCCTTCTGCTTGATGTTATTTACTAGAATGTACAAGTCTCCCTCGAATGATTTATCTTACACCAGTAGATTGGAAATTGTTCTTTATGAGGAAAGAACAAGCTTCAAATTATACAAGTAAAAACCAACCTGCTTCCTGTGTCTCTGCTCGAACCCAGTCTGGGAAATCCACACCACCTTTCTCGTTGAAAGCCTGAACCTGAAACTCATAGGCTGTGTAGGGAGAGAGGTCATCTCGTATAAAGGTCAAGTTCATGCCAGTGTAGATAGTGAGGGCGTCACCAGTCACACAAGTCTGCTCAAAGGGTTGGAAGGTCGGAGGACACGGGACTCTCATGTACACTTCGTATCTGTACAGAAACATAAAAACACTGGTCTGAGCATACACAAGATAACAGCAACAAAAATTAGTTTTACAAATTATTTTCACACTTCTGAATTGGGCATAATTTTCTGTTGACAAGACTCAATTCATTAAAACGATATAAATGTTACATGCATGTCTGTTTAAATTTAACTGATGAATTACCATAAATGAAAACTGAACATCATGCATTTTTTTTCCCACTTCTTTAACATTCACTCAAACAGGTTGTACTGTGAAAGATTGAACCTATATCACAGAATGCAGCAGTTTCTCCACTAGACCACAATGCTTGTGCCTCAGAGTTGTTCAAGGAGGCCAAAATTCTGATCAATGGGTTTGACGGGTATAAGGTATTGTGCTTTATCCACTGAGTGACTGTACATTGTTACCACTGGACTAGTAATTACGAGGCATTAGGAGTTGGATTATGAAGTAATGCAGTGTCAGTAGACAGGTCAACAAGACTCATGTACGAGTGTTTTTACTCTTATGGGAAGAACTCAACGGTCATAGCTGATGCACTGCAATGGCAAGTAGGAAGGGCCCCGAATTCACGCTGACCCAGTTGTTACATGCAAGATATTGTGTAAACTATCTCCTCTTCAGCACCTTGACAATAGTTTTTAACCTCTTTATGTAGCTTCCGCTATTGTTCTCAATTGTCATCCTACTTCTCTCCTAGGCCAACCTATCTGACCCTTCATTGTTCTGAATGTTTTTGCTGAGTGAAGGCATCCATTGGCTTGTCTTTTCAGTGGACAGGTGCTGGGTGTTTTGGAATGCAGCCAGATATTTTATGTCCTTGTGTTAAGGGCTGCATAACGCTCAGAATACAGAGAGGACATCAGAAAAGGTTACTGCTCATGAGTGGAGGATCTTGTCCTTGTTGTTCAGTGCAGTCCTAAAAGTAGTCTTCAGGGTTTCATTATCAGCTTGATAGTTGTTTGAGAGCTTCCCTTAGGGTAAAGCATGATGAACATTTCTATTCTTTAATTCCCCAAAGAATCAACCTTCCCTATTTCAGGTAGTATCTTCTGTTGAACAATCTGCATAATCTATGTCCTGTTTTTAGAACAGATAAACCCACTCCTCTGAATCAAACATAAAATGTGTAGCTGGTTATTATATTGAAACAAAAGAAATAAAAGGATTGAAACCCCCAGGAACATGGTAATATTCTCACAGACACCAAGAACTTTAGTAAGGAAAAAAGGCTGGAAGAGAGCTTTTGCAAGTTGTGACTTAACTGTGACATGATCTCTTGATCTTGAGGACTTCAATATGCTTCCAGTCAGAACCTTATCCCAAAAGACATTCTCCCTCAAAACATCTGCTGTCCCTTTACCTTATAAATATACTCAATATCATATAAACTAGATGAATTTGTTGAAAAAAAGAAACTCTAGCCTTTTGCAGTCTCACCAGCAGGAAACCACACCACTTTATAATGACTTGCTTGATAATGTATAATATTTTTTCATTTCACAATCCTCAGTTTCAAAAGGGAGACATAAAGCATTGTGGCCTGCTGAGCATTTATTTAAATCCCAAACATATCATGTTTCTATTCCAACCTTGTTATTCTGCCATTAGGACTAGCTGGGGGAGTCCACTCAAGCTCCACGCTGACAGAAGCGACAGCAACAATTTGGATGGGGGCCAGATCTGTGGGTTTGGCTGGGTCAGTTCTCACTGAGACCCCTTCACTGTCAGCACATCCTCCCGATGTACATGCCTGGGCCTTCAGTTGATACATAGTAAAGGGCAAAAGAGGCGTAGACAATCCGACTGTCTGCCGCAGAGAAGGAGAAGAAGAGGCCTGAGGGAACAAAACAGAAAATGATCAGCTTTTGTTTCTGTGGGCAAACCAGGTCCAAGTGCTTCTACATAAAGTGAATGGTATACCTATATATAAGTGAAAGAAGTTATTTTGAGCTGAAAATGTAAATTGAAACTTCTTATCAACAGGACAAAATTTTGATTTTAGGATTGCAACTAAAGAAAAGTACAGTTTCTACAGTTGGCCAATTCACAAATATCTGAAAACGTTATATCTAAATAAGGGATCTAAATTATTAGGCTCGTAGCCTGAAACCTTTCATAGGCTACTTTCTGTATCAATTTTTATATTGTAACAAATGGAAATGTGTAAGTCCTAAAATTTTGTGTGATCTTCCCACGCTTTATTTTGCTAGGACTTTTCAAAACCAGAACATTGCGAACAGGAGATAATTTGTCTCATTATATTTTACCACAATACTCAAATATCTTAAATTTGGGAAGTAATTCACTACTGAGCATACCAGCAGGATATGAATCTGAGGTCATTCTACTTGCAGGGCGTATCAAGTTTCTGCAATGCAGTAGTTACTGTGTGCAACACAGGCCAACATAGTAAAAGTCAAAATACAGTAAAGATAAAAAGTGGCATATAACCTGGGGAGACACAAAATGGGAATGGTGAAGGAAAAGATGGAGGAGTACTGTTTACACTCACAACTGTGTCATTCACAAGAATTCTGTACAGTCGGACTTGTCCATTTGGCACCGCAGGTGGCGCTGTGGACACTGTAATAGTGCTGGAGGATGTGGACTGTGGAGGAACAAAATTATTGGCGAAATTCAGGATTATCCTCAATTGATAAAGACAACTTTACTACCAACAAAACATGAGAAGAGAGTTACTCTAGAAGGAAAAAGGAGTGGTACCGGACGGTTCAGTATAAAGGGTACTGAAATCTGAAATTATAAGGTCAAAACTTTCTAAGACAGCCACCCATTGCCTAGGAGAAAAGTGTCTATTTCAGAACAAGGCGCAAAATGGGAAGTGGTCGTTTGTACAGATGATAATTATATACATGTGGCCATTAGAGCAAGTTCGATTGTACTTTAAAAACTGGATTATAGCTGGTAATGTCAGAATACAAATAAGGATACATCAAAATGCTCTTCATGCAGTTCTGATGGACTATTCACTGAGCATAGATGCTGCTCCCAGAGATAAATGAGTAATGACATTAAAGATATGCAACTTCAATGACTGTTTATAGCTCTTAAAGTCTGTAGCAACTCTTTATACCTACATACATATCCTTTGGTCTCTACAATCCATCATCATAAATATTTGGAATAGAATCTCAGACCACACTGATGAACACTAGCTCATCGCTCAATATCATCATCATCATCATCATCATCATCATCATCATCATCATCATCATCATCTCCTTCTTTCCTTTTATCAAATACCATTTAAGGCATTAACTTGTGGCAGTATCTAGTCACAAAAGCTCACATTGACCACAGGTGGGGGCACACCCTCTGGTGGACCCTCCTTCGTTCGGACAGCCTCCCACGCACTGCCAGCTTTGCCTGCAGAGTTAGCCGAGATGACCATGTACTGATACTGACTGTTGGGTCGGAGCGCAGAGTCTGTGTCTGTGTACTGAGTACCGCTTCCGTTGTAAACACGCACAGAGTCACCAAAGCTTAGATCTGTACCTAGGACAAAGGTTAGTTATGTACATCAACATTCTGAAATGAATGGAAGAAGGTAAGGGAGAGTATAGAGAAAAAAAAGGAGAGAGAGAGAGAGAGAGAGAAGGAGGGAGGGAGGAGGGGGAGAGAGAGAGAAAGAGACAGAGACAGAGAAAAGGTTTGTGTACCATTGGGGTACATTTCTGACGTACACAATAGTGGAGCATTTTGAATAGTGAAATGAATTAATTTTGACACTGTCCATGTTTAAGTTTACTAGTAGTTGAAATTTGAGTGGGCACAGTCTTGTGTCTCTTTCAACACCTGTCCTAGGTATTTAAGAAAGTTAAATTTCCCTTTTCAATGACAACAAATAGAGATAACCAAATGTAAAAGGAGAAAAGTTCACAAACTGACCAGTTTAATGAATGGCAGATAAAAGAGGATAAAAAGATCTATTATAAAGAACTTTTATTGCACGGCTATACATGGAAAAATGTCAATCATAACATGCTATTTTTTTAAAAGATTTTTTAAAGCTGGAATTTAAAAAAAATACATTTTAATATCAAGCATTTGGAAAGAAAACAACATTTTTAAAAAAGTACACATAGGCTTGGGTAACATATTCAGAGATTTTTTTCACATTTTAATTTGTCTTTATCAAATTATTCGTACTCCTTGCTTTAACTTACTGTCAACACCAGCAACAATATCCCGCCTCATGAGTTCATATTCTGTAATGACTCCATTCGGTTTGGACGGAGCCTGCCATACAACTCGTACACCTGAATGAGCTCCATATTCATCCGCTAAAGCGACTAATGATGGTGCTGGCTGATTCTCCGGTGGGGCTGTGAGGGTTCGGGTGACAGAAGGCGGGCTAACCTCACATCCTCTGGCCGTGCAAGCCTCGATGCGGAAGTTGTACTCTGTGTAGTAGCTCAGACCGGGCACTGTGTAGGTCAGTACAGATGGGTCACCAGAGTAAACCACAGCAAGGCCTGGACAGGAGGAAAAGGGAAGATAAAATGGAATTAGATAAAATATCACAGTACTGCTTTTTTAAAATACCCTTACAGCCCCAATCAAGTATAGTTCTCTCACAAGTTCCCGCTCTATTAGGCCCAGTAGGCCTACCATTTATTTCCCTCACAGGATGCCAGCCACCTCAAATCTAGTTGGGTATTTTCACCGCAATCTATCCAATTGTCTCTGAAAATCATTCTAGATATTATCTTTCAAAATTTTTACAAAAGCAGTGTAGAATTGTTTTTACTGTCTGCAAAAGACAGTCAGAATTAGCTAAGCCTGAAGAGTAAGGGACTCCAGTATTCCCCACACCAAAGGGAAGTGAGAACTAAGAATAGCCCCCATGCTGTAAAGGTTGCACAGACAACTCTTTTCGTAACTTGTTTCAACACAAATAGACACAGATATCAATATGGTGAAACTTTAACCAGTCTTCTGTCAAAGAAACCCACTTCGTTAAGGGTCTGAATTGCATCAGTGGAGACGCAAAACATTTACTATAACTACAATTTCAGGAACTCTTTTATATTCTTAACATCCTTTGCAGTTCAGTAGTGTTATGCGAGAGACACACACACACAATGCTTATAAATCTTATGACCACAGATATTAGAGGAGGAGGAGGAGGAGGAGATGAAGAAGAAAATTAAGAAAAAAATATATAACAAATATACAGCACTTTATCCTATACAAGTATAAGCTCTCGGCACATAAAACATAAGGAAAAATAATGATCTAATTATTTTTCTTACCCTGATACAGAGTGTAATTGGTGAGGACACCATTCGGGTTGGCTGGAGGAGCCCAATCAGCTTTGATAGACGTGGAGGATATTGGAGTGAGAACAGGTCGAGCCAGGCCAGTGGGGGAAGAGGCAAAGGTCACAGCTTTGGCTGGTCCACTTTCAGTACTGCCCTTTCTGAAAAAATTAGGAGCCCTTTTAACATAAAAAGTCAGTAGGACACAAAACAAAGCTGCAAGTAGGTGCAGACTGCAGTAAGTAGTCTGCCTTTTTTTTCTTTCTTTGATTAATTCTGTTGTTGTTGGGTTTTTTTCTTTAAACATACAATAAACATGTGGAGAACCTGACTCAAAAATACAATTCAAATTTATACCAAAAGTAAGAAAGAGTTGTTGTTTTTTTAATATCTTTGACACATGTTATATAAGTGACATCATAACTTGAAAGGGATGAAGACGTATTATCCTAGACTAAACTGCTTATGTCATTGTTCAGTTAATCAGAAGGGGCTCCACAAATGAAGCCAAAAAGAGGGTAACAATGTGTGTGTGGGGGGGGGGGGATTTTTAAAACATTTGTTAAAATAAACCTGCTGTCATTTAGTTTATCAAAAGGGAATCCACAAATGAAGCCAAAAAAGAAAGAGAAAAAAGTATCTTCCCTTACAAAAAATTATGTTCAAAACATTTTTTTTATATAAACAAACCAAATCTAGAGTGAAATTATCTGCTGAACTTGCCTGTTCCTCGCCACAATGGTGTAGGTGTACTCCTCCCCTGGCTCCAGGCTGTAGTCTGTGTGGGAGGTCATCAAGCTACCGCTCACCGAGATGTCTGTGGTGTAGATCAACCGACCGTCACGCCGCACGTCGTATGACGAGATGATACCGTTGGGCTGGGCTGGGGGCGACCATATGATCTCAATCACCTTAGAGCTGATCACTCTCAAAAGGGGTGGAGCTAAACCAGTGGGTGGGGCATCGTCAGCACTTCCAGTCACCTCACCACTTTCCGTGCACCCCCCTTTTGTACAGGCTGTTATAGTAAACACGTGCTTTTCATAGGGAGTTAAACCTCCTATAGTGAAAGTTTGTAACAAACCTGAGTAAACAATATTACCATCCATTTTGAGCTGGAAGTCTGTGATATCTCCATTTGTGATCTGAGGTTTCTCCCATGATGCCGTCAAGGCTGAGGAATTATCTGGTGTGATTGTGGGTGGATCAACAGAGAGAGGGGCAGCCTCTATGGTTCGGATGGTGGAAGGTTCGCTAACAGTACAGCCAGCCCCTGTGCACGCAGTCAGCCTATATGAATACACGGTGAAAGCTGCAAGTCCTGAGTCTTCAAACTGGCGATCCCCATCTGCTGGAAATGAAAATGGGACGCTGTCATTTCTCCGAATCTGGTAGCTCTGAAGAACCCCATTTGTTTGGGCCGGAGGAGACCAGGTCACCTTGATGCTGTGAATGTCGTCAGGTATGTGTGCGAGTTGAGGCGGACCCACCCCTTCTGGAGCTGCCTGTTGAGTCTGAACTGACTGCCATGGGCTATCAGTGTGGGAAAGAGAGTTTGAGGTTCGAATACTGTACCGATACTCTGTGAAAGGCTTAAGACTTGAGTCGATAAATTCATAGGAATCATGATCTGTGTCCTCTGTTCGGTAAACAATTTCTGGATCTGAACTTTGTCTCTTCATACGGGTTAGTATCATATTCTCCCTGCCATCAATCATTATATTATTGAAAGGCAAGTTAAAGGACTGGAAATGAAAAGAAGAGTTTGTGGTTTTATTGTGACTAGAGCCATATCCTTCAGGGCTTTGCCTGCAGTTGAACTTCTGAAAACTTTGAGAACAAGGACCCATTGACATAGGAAGGGGTGTCAGATCAGTGTAAGAATAATAAAAGACAAAACTGGTTGCATCTCTCTTGGCCCTTATGGGATTACTTGTCCGTAAAACTTCAAAAGATTTTATGACACCATTTGGATACAATGGTGGTTTCCACATAACCTGAACAGAAGAGGCATCAATGTTTCCAAAAGATGGGCTTGGCTGGGCTGAAGGTGCAACTTCTGCTGTGTAAAATGACTGACTCTCGCCCAAAGTACACCCGACTTTTGTGCAAGCTTCTAGTTTGACTGAGTACTCAGTATATGGGGTCAGTCTCCTGAATTCAAAATCTTGAGCCAAACCTCTGTAAACTTCCCCATCTGAGCCAGTCTCATAGATCCTATAGGCCACAATCACTCCATTAGGTTTTGCTGGGCTCTTCCAAGACAATATGACAGCAGTACCCGAGCTTATCTTTTCCACATCAATCATGCTCAGACCTGACGGATAACCCTCTTGTGTAGTGAAAGTAACAGCTCGAGATCGAACACTTCCAGCACTATTTCTCGCTTCAAGAGAGACTGCATACTGAGAGTAAGCTTCTAGACCACTCAGAGTTGTTTGAGCTACGTCTCCTCCGACTGTTAGATGGTCTTCTCTTTCCTGGGGGACAGGAGACAGTTGCTTGTAGTAAACTCTGTACTCCAATATTGGTCCGTTCTCCTGCCCTGGTGGTGACCACGATACAGACACTCCATACGTACTGATAGAACTGACCACTGGTGCCGCTAGACCTTCAGGAGAGGCTTGCAGCATTCTGACTGAGGCCCAGCTACTCTCTGCTTCTCCCTGATCACTCTTTGCAACGACCTGCATCACAAAAATATTGGTAAATTAGTTGAGACCGAATATAAAAAGTACTCTTAGTGCAACTTGGAAAAATCTTATCAAATATCAAACTATAAAACAGTGTAAATATAAAACACCAGGCCAACTTAGTTTCAAAAAACAAATATCAATTTTAATTAGGTGATACTTCAAATATGTATTGTTCTTTCCTACAAATTCTGGTAAATCAGGAAATTGCAATATTTTTCACTGATATAACAACAAAATAATGCATAATACAAAACCCATCCTATCAAAAAAGTAATACTTTTAAGCCTACAATTGATTAATATGAGATGTCTCAGCAAGTAGAAAAGGATAAAACTATGAACTCGTTACAGTAGACTGGCAAGATAACAACTTCCCTTTTGTGTTGCATCTAAACAATGGAAGTAAAATCATAATAAGAATTATCTATTAAGACAAACCTGACAAGCAAAATGAGTTTGTTTTAAAAGTTACTGAATTTATAAAATACTTTGCCATACATTGTTAACATTATTGTAACTAAAATATGAAAAATGATCGAAAACATACCTTAAATTCATACACCACATAAGGTTTGATATCTTGTCCTGAATGCACAAACTCGAACACGTCCCCATCCACTTCATTGATGAGAATATCAAGATTTGAGCTGTCTCCCTGTCTCTGATACACTCTGTACTTTTTTATGAGTCCGTTAGGTTCAGATGGCGGGTCCCAAGCAATGTGCACCGCATCAAAGGACACAGCTCGTAACCTCGGAGCACCCATTCCCTGGGGGTCGTCTTCCTTTGTCTGCACTAGAACACCACTGCTTGTGCCACAACCATTAAGCACGTTACGCAAACACGCCTGGAGCCGTACCTCATACTCGGTGTAAGGAACCAAGTCTGGAATGGTAACACTTGTCTCTAAGCCCACACCTCGCACTACCTGCAATAAAACCAGTACAAACAAGTATAGTATATTGGAATTAATTTAGTATGATACGCGATATAGAAAAAGAAAACCCCGAAATTCCATTTAAAATGTTTCTCATCAGTTCCCGAGCTTCTTCACCATATGATCAGCACATAATAAGAAGAACATTTTCATATTTTTTTCAAACTATTTGATTGGAGTTCAGTTTAGCAAAGTCCAAGTAGTTATAAAAAAAGAAGGCTGTCAAAGTAAATTATCGTGACAACCAACAAATCACCTCAAATACAATTCAAGAGAATACAGAAACATTTTGGGACAACGATGAATGTAAATACACCAGGCAATAAAAATGATCTCTTCAATTCTATTCAATATAATAAAGTGAGCACACATTTTAGAAAAAGAAACATTTTTTAAGTCCAATTTATGCGGATTGTATTAAGCTTCAGAGGCTTTTTGCTGATTTCTTTGGTCACAGATTTAGCTTTTTTAACTCATTTAAAAATTTATCAATATTAGTCTGGAGTTGAGTCCTTTCACTGAGTAACATACATACTATTAGACATTAATCTCACAACACAAAATCCAGAGTACCTCTATGGGTTGCCCCACATTGCATAAAATATAGACTATTAGACATAATATGTACAATGTTATGACAACATTTCGATACATTGATGGCTTCTCATATTAATCTCATAACATAAAATCCAGCCTACCTCTGTAGGTTGTCCCACATTGAGCAGGATTCTGTACTGATCTATTTCTCCTTGGTCTGAGGTGATAGCCATCCATCTCACTCGGATGGACCTTGAGCTTTGCACTTTCACAGACTACCATAAAGATATGCAGTAATAGAATTAATTTTGAATTCAAAGAGAGGCACATCAACACAATTATATTATAGCCATTTAGAGCAGGGACAAAATAAAACAGACTGACTGGCAGACAGAAAAAACAGAGGGAGGGAGAGAAGAAAAGCAGAACTTACAAGTAGCACCCTTCAAACACCTGCAGTTTGATTTTCAAATTGCTGACATGGAGTACAAACTAACATATAAGATAAAAAGAGAGAAATAGCATGGGAAAACAAAAAAGAGAAGAAACAAGGTAAAAGAGATGAGATGAAATAAAATAAGATAAAACAAGTTAACAGCAAAAAGTTGATATCAGAAAAAACAAGATATGATAAATGGAAATCTGATAAAAAGAAATTATGTAAGAAAGAAAAGATAAACCAACTTTAAACTCATTCATGTGGCCTCTTAAAAAACATAATTTTGCAACCACCATGTTACGGTCTATCAATCAAAATAAATGTGAACTGTGCTGGACCACTGAAAATCCTTAGGAAGTGATCCTCTTTCTGCCTCTTTAGATGTTATGTTCTTTGTACATTCACAGTAACAGACAAAAATAATAGAAAACTGGGCATAAACTAAGACAGATGTTAATTTTTTTTAAATATTGCTTCTCAAGAAAAAGAGAAACTTTGTCAAAAGAGGCAGCCTTGTACTTCACACACTTAAAGCTTAACAGCTCTCTTATTATCACAAATAAGCCTAAATGTCGGTTTTGGTTTAACATAGTCCTCCAGCTGACATATAAAGTCTTGAGAGTGGGCTTTCTTGAGTTGCACATTAATTAGTAACTTGTTAACACAACCTCCTGTAACAAAAGACAGTAAAAAAGCCAAATCTAAGTTCAGGTAAAGTGTTACTAAGTATACCATTATCTCTGGGTGGGTTCCTAGTTAAACATTAAGTTGTTGGACCATTTTCTAAATTGTGAGTTTCGTTTGATTAGGGAAGACACATACCCTTCCCCCCCCCCCCTCTCCTCTTTCCCCAATTTTCCTCATCAGTTCATCCAGATGTAAAAACTTCTTGGCAAACAGAGAGATCAAATACATGACTGATAGTTGTGCAAACCTAGTAGGTTGCAGTGTTTAGTGTGCCTGATGACCTCCAATAGTAATTAAGATTAAACAGGCCGGCGAAGTGAGGCCAAGTGATTAGATGTAAAATCTCGAGAGCCTTCTTGGGGATACAAAACTAAAAACAGTAGCATTGAACTTGCAAACTTTATACCTGAGGAGGTGGTACCAGCAGAGGGGCAAACAATGGCATGATGATCTCAGTGGGTAAGCTTTGAGCCACACCCGCACCATTCTCTGCTTGAAGCTGATAGGAATACGCTTGGCCACTGGTTAGCCCTGACAGTCTTTGAGAGGTCTGATCACCAATGTAGACCACAGCCACTGGAAGAGGCTTCACCTACACATAATCAGGAAATATTTCCAGCGAGAAAAAGAGTTAATAATTGTGACTATCATTTCTCTGCTTCATACAATAATAATAATAATAATAATAATAATAATAATAATAATAATAATAATAAATAATAATAATAATAATAATAATAATAATAATAATAATAATAACAATGATAATAACAATAATTATGATAATAATAATAATTATGATAATAATAATAATAATAATAATAATAATGGGAATTTATATAATAATAAGATGGAATTATTTCCATTTCATTGTATAGTTACTCTAACTCCTAGAAGGCTTTAAGATGGAATTATTTCCATTTCCTTGTATAGTTAGTGTGGCTCTATGAAAATCCATTGGAGGTAGCATTTTCAAAACCATTTTGAATATTTCGCAAGAGTCATCTTTCATGAGAATTTTACACTTAATTTTGGTGCAGATGGAGCATTTTTTTTAAAAATTTGTGATAACAGTTTCAAAAGTTTTCCATAATAAAGTTGCATAAGAGTGAAATAAGAGATGCGCAGTTCTTCTCTCTTTTCTGCTGCTTCAATATTCATAAGCAATGAGTTTTCCCCCAAAAAAGTAGCACAATATCCTATTACACTGGGTAGCTACAGTAGGGTTTGCCTGAAAATCAGTGTCCATCTACCGAAGAGAAGTTTCAGATTTTTGCTCAGCTTGTGTGCTATATACTATATGTCCTCATAACAGTTCATTTTTTAAAATCAAAAATGATATTTAAGCAAAATACTTTAAAATCATAATTTAGAAGTGGATGATTTTTTTCCCACTTCATAAAACCTTATTTGTGAGGAAAATGAAGTCCTAAATCTATTTCTAATAATATCACAACATTAGCTTTCTGGCACCATCTGACTAGTATACTCAGAGCACACACGTTTGTCCATTAGCTATTTATATCACATTCATAGATTTGTCGATTAGTTTCATTTTATACAGTACTTACTACACACTAAGATCATTTAAGCGCAGAAGATTAGATGTGTTACTGCACACTTGGATCTTATAACACCAAACAAACATTGAAATCTAGTAAATGCAGAAGACAGAAAGAAGGGGAAACAGAAAACCTGGATGTAAGTAAACAAGCAATCTTGAGAACAATTTTATCTTGAAAGTGACATAGGAACAAAAGGAAATGAGACTGGGTTTTTTTTTAAGTACTATGCTAGACTGACTAAATTTTCTATTTGCACACCAAGTCAGCATTTCTTGTTACTCTATCAAAAGAGAATAACCCCTCAAAATATTGTGGAATTTACAGCCATTAAATAAATACTGCTCTTTTGAAGCTCAAATAAAGAAAACATAACATTACCTGCAAAATCTTGTAATCCTTCAGGACACCATTTGGCAGGTCAGGGGGCTGCCAATACAGCTCAATGCTTTCAGCATTAATGACAACAATTTGGGGAGGATTTACACCTGCAAAGTAAACAGATGCAACATCAAAATCTAAAATGAACAGCAACTAGCATTAATTATTATTATCCTTTTTGTGATAAGAGTTTTATAGCATCTTCTTTCTTTCCAGGACTTCTTACCCCGCTGAAAACCAGAAATATGGACAGGAGAATCCATGCAGGGAAACATTGATTGTCATACCAAAAATAAAGAAACTCTATAGAAATTTTCATTTATTAAACACGTCACAGATTCCAAGAAAAATGACATATTAAACAGTGTAACTGCAAATATTATTAACAAACAATGAAATCATTAAACAACTTCCAGATGCATCATCAAATAGTATAGAGACATAACAGAGGAAGGCTATTTTGAAATCAATAACTCTCTAACTCTATATTAGCTCGGAGCATCTTGGAAATCTAGCATCTGAACGTAAAAACCCCAAGCTTTACATGCCAGCAATCAGGTTTACTTGCAGCCCTAGTAGTGATCAGTATTAAAATAGAATCCTCAAGAGAGGAGAAAGAGAGAAAGGCTGAGATCCACTAGGGAGTGAAATCTAGAAGCAGATCTCAGACACATGGGATACAGCTGGTTGGAGGGGAGAAGAACAGAGACAGGTGGGGAGTCCTTCTTGGCGGCCTATACCCAATGCCAGGATGACAGAGACAATTTAATGATGACCGATGTATTGATAAGATGTAAACAGGAGAAATGTTCAATTTAATCTCAACTCACCTTGTGGGGCAAGCTCATCAGTTGTGACGGTGATATTGGGACTTGTGGAGCAGCCCACAGTCGTGCACACACTCATGTCTAATGTGTATGTCGTATATGGAGAGAGACCTAAAGAATGAAGACATCATAAAAATACAAAGATATTAATTTATATAAAAATATAGAGATATTTATTCTCCGAAAAAGGAGAACCAGGGAAATTATCTTAGATACACATTAATACAATCAATACTGTCATGAATGATTTCAGGCTAACTTTCTCCTCCTCCTCCAACCTCCTACTTTTACTTCTTCTTCTTGGCAACAGTTTAATGATTGTGATTGACAGAAAACTGTGTCAGTCTTGTGCTAACATGGTAATCACCTTTGGTCTTATGGCTGGTATGCCCTTAAAACATAACTGAAATTGACTTAATTTTGGATAGGGTTTGAGCCTTGTGAGCTCAAAATGTAATAAAGCCATTTGCTCTCGAAATATGATCTGGATAAACAAAAAAAAACGTATGTTCTGCAAAAAACAAAATAGCATCATTTTGTTTGTGAAAAAAGCCATTACCTTTATTGCAAATTTATGTTCTCTGAAGAAAAATAAATGAAAATTAATTCTATTACCTTTAGAAGAAAATGACAGAATATTATTTCTTAACATTTTAAGCTACTCTGAGCAACTCACCACTGACAATAAATTCCTGGGGCACCGTTGAGTTGTAGAATGTGCCCAGTTCCACTAGCCTGACACTGTAAGAGAGCACCACGCCATTGGGTTTCCCTGGGGGCACACTAGCCACTTTGAGCTGGGTTGCATTGACCACCTCTACGTTGGGAGGCTGTAGATCCTCAGGTGTGGCCTGGGCTGTGGCCACCGTGACCTGGGCAAACAGCAGGAAAGTGTTGACACATTACAGTCAGGCACAGATAACGTGAATATGGAAAACTTGAAATCACGGATAGCTAGCTCGTACAATTTGCAATTCCCCAAGTGATATCTCTTTAATTTTTCATTATGGGTCAACCAGAATTATGGTAGTGTCAAACACATTAGCCAATCTCCAGCGTGTTTGAGTTATCCGTGCCTGGCTATGTATTTCACATGAAATGAGATAAAGTTAGATGCTTCGCGAAGGAAGAAATGAGACTATCAAAATAAAAAATTTATGATAGACATTAAAAGCATGTTGAAAATCCATAAGTTCATGTCATTTCTTACCCAAAGTCATACATGAAATTTAGTTGTTTCCACATTGATTTGTCATAAACCACAGCACAATAATTCTCTCTCTCCCTCTAATCCTCTTACTGCTCTATTTCTCTTCCTCCATCAGTGTCTACTTTCCATCTCTGCAGTAAAGATCTGATTATTCTGGCTCTTTCTTTTCTCACATAAATATGTAATTATCTTCTCTCTTTCTGTTATATAGCATACAACATATAAAACTCAAAACAAATTATTGCATATCACGACACTTTTTGACTGTTCTATAGATAAAAAGGTCAAACAAACACAAAAGAAAGTAATAATTCTAGGCAAATCCCTTGAAATTGACAGAAAGAAATAAAATGAATTCTCTATTAGAAACTCTTTAAATTTCTAAGAATTTAAATGTATCAAAGTGTATTTCCTTTCCATAACAGATAAAGAACATGGGAGAATAAAAACCCATTTCATAAGTACAAACATATGCAATTACAAAAAAAAGTATTTTTTAAAATATGAGGAGTCCACAGAAAAAAATGGGCATAGTCACAAACTGGAAATTGTGAGGGTGTCAAGTTTTAAAAGCTTGCAGATTCATAACTTCTTATTTATTTGATCAGTGGTTTATTTTATATGTTTGTTGGATGGGAAATCTAACAACAATAATCAACCAACAGCAGAATAGAAATACAGTTATGAGTCAACAAGTATCCAAAATTGATATTCTCACGATTTTCAGTTTGTGACTATACCCGTTTTTTCAGTGGACCCCTCATTAAAAAAATAATATGTTTTCGAAAATATCTCATTAATACCAGTTAAAAACAATAAAAAGAGATGAATCATTAAATCACCAGTTCACTATCAGCACATCCAGCCACATTGCATGCCCTGAGCATATAGGAATAGCTTTGGTAGGGCAGTATGTTCAGATCATCAGTGAAGTTAGTGTTTACACCTTTGTACAGGTCCACACCATCTCTCTGCAGTACATACTCAGTAATATCACCTGTCAAACAAGAATATAAACCAAAAAAAACAGAAGTTAAGACTTGATAGTTTATGTTCTAAGGGTTATAAGTTGGTCACTTTCAGAGACAAAAACGAAGAAGTAAGAACTACGATTTCAACCCACCAGTGGAGAACCGCTATATAGCAATACTGAAGTAAATGACAACTTTTGAGTCATTTTAGGTTTAATAGGTATATCTCACAAACCTATAATTTGTGTCGTAACATGTCTTCAGGCTCTCATCAATTTTGGGTATTTAGAATTATTGGTACCGGTATTATCTTAAAACTGCTGATGAAGAAAATACCAATCTATCAGGAAAAGAAATTGAGATATTTTTAAATAAACGACCTAGGTGTCAGAGGTAAAATTAGTGAGATAATGGCTGCTAAAGTTTGATGACCTCCAAAGCTTTAGTGTTCTTGGAAACTGCAAATGGACATTTTTTTGTGCCTTTGATTAATGTTTTTCAGTCAAAAAAGAACAATCCACACAGAAATGTATTTTTTAATGGCTGTAAAAGGTGCTGAGCTAAAAAAAAATTAAGAAAATTCAACAAAAACTGCCGAACTACAAGACAAAATATCAGTTTCTTCAGTTTCATCATTTTGATGAGAGCCTTATTTCATCACTATGCCACACACAAACTTTTTTAGATACATTCAATATAAATGTGTCTATGTATATGCATGAATGTACACATGGGTGTGTTTATAAAATCCCACCATTTGGTTTATCTGGCTGAGTCCAGGACACATAGATAACAAAGAGTTGGCCTGCAGCAATGCTGGCTGTTGGAGGGTTAACAAGTTCAGGCACAGCTTCCTGCGTCAACACGGAAATGAAGTGACTGTTTACAGAGCCAGCGTTGTTGACTGCCGTCACAGAATACTCGTACATGGAAAACGGGCTCAGTGCAGTATCTGAGGGAGAGAAGAGTGAGACACTTGATGCATTGAGTAAATTTGTTGGTGTATGTGAGTGTGTGTGTGTGCGTGTGTGTGTGTGTGTGTGTGTGTGAGTGCGCACATGTGTGTGTGTGTTTGTGTGTGTGAGTTTGTGTGTGTGTCTGCGTGAACAGTTGTGAATGTGTGTGTGTGTGTATGTATGCAAGAATAAGAATAATAGATAGCATTTGTATAGTGCAAATCCCCACTCTTCAGCGAGCTCTATGCGCTTGACAATCTATACTATTACTCCAGCAGACCTGAGGACATTCTGAAACAATTTCAACTTCCTAGGAAGCATACAGTGCAAGCAGCCATTTATAGGCGCTAAAACACTAACATACTGACAAGATCTTTCGCTATTTATGGCGTGTTATGAGTGTGTGTGTGTGTGTGTGCATGAGTGTGTGTGTGTTTGTGTGTGAGTGTTGAGTGTGTGTTTGAGCATTTGTGAGTATGTGTTTGTGTGTGTGTGTGTGTGAGTGAGTGTGTGTGTGTGTGTGTGTGTGTGTGTGTGTGTTCGTGAGCGTGAATATGAATGTATTAGCCACAAAAAAGAAAAGAAAAGCTGTCAAAAAGTAGCAAACTCCGAACAACCTTATTTGCAGAAGACAAAAACTGTCCAATTTTGTCAATATGTCAGTTGCTATAGAGCACTTCTTTTGCTTTTGAGGAAACCCACAACTCACAATGCTGAGCCTCACATCAAATGACACAAAATAAACAAAACACATTTTTACATTCCACATACAACAACATTGGAATATGTGCGTAAATTTAGGAATATCCACCATTTGACGTGGACCACTCTTGCGAAACAGTGAACAAAATAGGTTAAAAAAATTTCTTCCATCAAAAGCAAGGCTTATGATCAAAACACTATAACTCAGACCGTAGTTGACACAGCTTCAAATTTGTACGATGCATCTATCAGCAAAGGAACATGTTTATATGGAAACTGTTTAATCATTATGTAAAGAGTTTTCCTGAATCATCACAGAAATCTTTTCAATCTGCCCAGGCTGCACCCTCATAGTGTCCATTTGGCACAGAGCTACGATGTGGACCACACAGTTTAACATCCCAATTAATTATCTTAAAGTTTACCTAATCCTCTTAAAAATTAAGTTAAATTCCAAAGCCTGGAACATTCTGGTTAAAGAGGCCTAAATTTTACAAACAGGCAAAATAAAACAATTCATTTCAAGGCTCATCTTTACAGATCAAAGCAAGTTACAGTACTGAAGTCTTTCTTGCATGTAGTAAGTCATAAAAATGTAGAGCATTTTCATGATTTCTGTGACATTACAGTTGAGTACAAGCAATTATTTTAGAGAAAGAGTTTTACATTTATTCGTAAGTAAACAAAACACAAAAACCAATTTGTAGACATAAAATAGAGAATGAAATAATGTATGACACAATCCATATTATATACCTTTTTTTCTTCATTTTCAGAGTTAAAGATTCACCTAACCTGAAAATTAAAAATTAATCTGAATATCCCTACCTACAAAAGTCAAGTCAGAACCAGAATAGATTATTTCCGTCTGCACTGTGCAAGTTGAGGTGGGGTCCGGTGTTGGAGGGGGGTCCTTTAAATAGCCTGTCACATGACCACAAGTGTGTGTGTTGGAGTCGAAATCACAGCGGTCACAAAATGCTGAGGGTCCCTGGCTCAAAGGACATATGGTACCAGTACCACAGCCTGTCAAAAAAACAAAAACAAAACAAGAGATGCAATTTGTCTGAGAAGGAAAAGAAGTCACTTGCAAGAGATAAACAATTTACATGCAATGAAAATACAAAAAATAGAATGATCAGAACATATGTTATGGAAATGTTTATAAATAAAAATGGTCTTTGTGTTTTTAAACTCTAAATCTTGAACCAAAACCTGTACAAAACTGCTGTGAATGGATGATTTTAAAAAGGTAAATTACTGACGATTACTTACAATTATCACCATATTGATCATTTTAAAATGTAAAAACACACCTTTTTCCTGCGGCGATCTGTCAGCACAGACCTGAGTGAGTAAGTCATAACCCACATAGTTACAGCAGCCCAGGTTGTTGGTGATGCGACTGAGACCACAACATTTGTCCGAGGCCACCTGCTTCTCCTCAGCATTGGAGTAGAAGTGTACCTTCAGACAAGGAAATGAAAAGTGGAAAGCAAGTAGTGTAAAGAAGTTTGTTCTGTTGTACTATCTACCAAATGTCATGAGAACAAGCGCAAAGTCTTGGTATAGAGGTAATAAGCTATTTCAACATTCTCAAGTTCGCCAACCTGAACAAGGCTAGCTGCACTTACTGATGACTTGTACACATTATACAACGTTCATTATATTATATTAGCTGAGGAAGCACTTTGTCTGTGCCTCTAAGCACCATTGTGCATTACATGAAATGAAACATTTGGGGTAAATTGCACATTTCCAACATGATCTGCATTCAAAGTTCTAAGTACCTCTTCAACTGAAAAAAAATTAATTCATTTTCCATTTCATATTGAAGTGGCTATATTTGTATTCTAAAAAAATTATTTTTCGAGAACTGAATGTGGAGGGGGAAAAGGTGAAAAAGAAAAGAAACACTCACCCTGGTGTGTTTTGTGTCACTTATACAACACAGCGAGATGCTGGTCTCCACATACTCCACCCCACAGCACTCATGGCCAACCTTCGGAAGATGTACTTGTCCTTTCAGATCATTCCCACAACAGACTGTAGTGTCAGCGATCACCTCTCCATTGCAACACTTGCTGCCAAATTTACTAACTAGCTTTCCTGTGACGGAGAAGAGAAAAAAAGTAAAATAAATACAATGAAATTCCTCTTTTCCAGCTTCAGCTCTGGAACAGCAAAATTAAATTAATATAGTGGAAATTTACTTGACATTATGAGATGATTACTTTCATGTTCAGGTCCACACTTCCCTAAGAAAATCAAACATTTCAAAAGTATTGTGAAATTTGATGCATAATTGAACTCATTAGACACTTCACAAGAGTCAGTTAGTTTTGCTTCACTTGCAGCACAATAAGGTCATGTAAGTGCTGAAGATTAGAGGTGTTACAAGAGAGTAACAAACATAAAAAAGGAGGAGAGATCAGGACGATAGATGTTTAATAGGAAAGAAGGAACAAACCACACCAGAGCACCCGCCAACCACCCATTCACAAGAGTCAAGTGTAAAGCTTTATTCCACACTTCGTTTACGCAACTCGACAAATAGTCAATAAAAAGCACAAGGAGACAAAAGGGTAAGAAAATGCACAGCTCAAAACAATGCAATAAACAAGATTACCTTCAGTTCCAGACACATTTTGTTTTGTTTTGTTTTTTGTTTTTAAAAAAGATTCAGTGAAAAACAATTTCAAATTACAATTCAAAGTCCAAAGATTCAGGCTGTAATCCTTGAGGTCACATGTTTTGTTTTTATTAACTTCAGTAAATCTCCACAGCATTTATAGCTTCTCAAACCATGAACGATAAACACCTTTACAGTGCATGCACAGGAATTTTGACCATCAAATGTGTGTATGTGCGTGTGTGTGTGCATGCGTGTGTGCATGTGTGCGAACGTGCGTGTGTGCGTGCGTGCATGCATGTGTGCGTTTATGCGTGCGTGTGTGCGTGTGTGTGTGTGTGTGTGTGTAAACGTCTAATGTAGGTGTGCTTTTACGGGACAGTGAAGTAAATAAAACAGACATTGGGACATTATGAATAACTTGTATATATCAATAACATTCAACAACTCAAAACTACTGTCATATTCTGATCAAACCTCCCACAGTTCATGTATCTATTAATCTTTGTATCTTATTCTATATCACACACATCACGTCTCACCTTTGCAACAAAGCTGAGCCCCAGAGGAAGCATATGGAATTGAACCACAGCACACATCTCCTTGACTGATGGACACTCTGTCCTCTCCAGCATCAGGACAGCAAATTTCTCCAGGGTGAACTTGTAAATATCTAAACATAAACAAAACAGTGCTCTCCTTGACTTACACCAAAATACATTTTGGCACAATGCAGAAATTGTAAGACTTAAAAGTAAAAATATACAACTGAATGCCAGAATGCATTAACTATAAAAAGATATTGATAAAATAGTCTTCTATAAGACCCCTTCCTTCCCTCCCATTCTTTATCCCTTTTGATTCAACTAGGTAGCCTATAAACTAAAGTAATTTCAAAGCATATCACAAAATAAAGGTTCACTTGAACGAATACATTTTCTATATTTTACCTCATGTTTTGCAATAGATAACTGAATCAAATTAGAAAAAAAAAATTCTTTCAATGATCAAACCGGGAATTAGATTTCATTTTTTGTCAAAATGAAGCAGAATATCACAAGCCAGGAATGTCAAATTCAGATACATTACCATGCAAACACTTGAGAGGTTCCTATGTATACACGGCCACAATTGCCTTCTTTCATTTTAAGAACTAAACTTCTGGGCCTGTATAGCAATTATCTATTATATCAATATAAGAAATATAAATCTGATAGTCGCATCTATTCAAAAGTTAACTGGAAATACTGTGGGGCGACACTTCCGGAAACAATTGTAGACAACACACCTGTTTCCACAACACGTGAAGTTTGCCTTGGGAGGATAAAACTGCCCTGCACAACAGATATAATCATCCTTGGGCTTCAGAGCATACTCAGAACCACAGCAGGCAAAGTCTGGTCTGGACTCATGTAGTCTTCCATCACAGCATACCTGATGATTATTGATTGTTTTTGTAAGAGTTATATGGCACTTGCAAAACAATTAGGTCATATAAATGCCAAAGATTGGAGGATTACGACCAGTCAGTTTGTCTCAAGAGCTAAGTAGAAAAGCTGGTGAAAAGAAAGCAAAGTTTAAACAGGCAGACTCTGATAAGTGAACGAATATCATGCTTTTTCAGACAAAGTTCTTTCAGTCTAATCAGCAATTTAAAGATTCTGTTCAATCAGGGTATAATAACTACATCTGGGTGGAGATTCATCAATTAAATTGTCAATTTCAAAGATATTTGCAACCAAGGAACAAGTCAGGAATGAATTCAAAAGGCTATACTTTGATAACAATTTGGGGGTATATTTGTTTTACTTGGAACAAAACCTTTAGAGGGCTTTTCAAAATAATGACTCAATTTAATTGAAGATATTCAGTTCTTGATAATCAAGGAAATCTGTTCAACACAGAGAGTATTGAAGGTCTTCTACATGCCATAATTTTTTCATATGTCCCTGTTCAGGTGAAAAATTAACCACGATAAATCAAAGATCATAATATATTCCCAACAGTAACAAACTAAAAAAACTGCACTTTTACAAAGCACACCTACAGAGTTTATGACAAAATTTTAGAAAAAACTGCCTCGCTTTGAAAGAATAAGATCCTTTTCGAGCTAGCAATACTAGGAGGCTACACGCCACTCACACAGTACATACATGTGCTTAAAAGAAAATAAATGAGCTTTTCAATTTATTACTACGTCCCGTCAGGTCATATAGCATTTCAGCCAACATCTGTGGTGCAGAGATTAAGCACTTCGACAATGCATGCAGAAGACTCAAGTTCACTTCTCAAGAGGAGAGAATTTTTATCAAGTATCTCAGCCTTTCTGCTGGGGTGTTGTATCCCTCTCAGCCCAGGTGGCCCTGACAGGCAGAGTTGAAGCCTGCCTCAAAAGGAAATAAAATTGTGTCAATGGGGGCAAAAAACACCTGCTATCAAACAATTTTCATAACATTTCAGAAACAGTCTCAAGTTCCTGGGAAATTTCAACAAACATATATCATATATTTAGAGTATATTTACAGTTCAGAAACAATATTTTTTTAATAAACACTGTTAATAAAATATGTACTGCTTTTTTGCCACAACTTTACCTTGGCACCAGAGTAGCAAACTGTTCCACATAGGTTTTCAAAAATACCACATTCTATGTATGTGCACTTTTCAAATTCTGGATTCACAGTGGGGATTGGACTGAAAGGAGAAAAAAACATCTTAATTACAATTCAAAGTTAACTCTCCAAGAGTACTTTCAAAATACAGACAAATGTCCCATCAGCCACCTGCCCTAGGCAATCATCCACACAAATGACCATTTCCCACTCAAACTCTAGCATTTTCTTCTGTAATATAACAACACTGTCCATGACATGCACCTGTCTAAAACAACCACTTTTCTCATCGACAATGGATGGCCATTTTGAAAAATTTTTAACGTATTTTTGTCTTTAGTTTTGTTCATACCGCAATTTGCAGGCATCAAATTAAAGCATGACAGCTGTAAACAGTAATCCTCTAATAAATACATTATGAAAAACTTTATCTATAACTGGTAGCATATGCCTTCTAGAATAATACTATCTCAGCATAACAAATTTTTCTCAATAAAATAAAATAATACCATGGATTCACAAATTAGTAATAGAATCAAAAGTGTCTAATTCAAATGCATTCTCTGCACAATGTTATTTCAGCGAAATCCCAGCACTACTCCAAGAGGGAGAAAAACTTAAAGATACTAAACTGTCAGCCTTTAACTCAGTTCAAATACTGGGTGAGAAATATTTTTTTAATTAAAAGAAAAAAAGACAGTTTAAGTAAATAATCCATCAACAGTTTTGGGGAATAAACATCATGCCTTGATCTTAAAGTTCCAAGAACCCAAGTTATTTCTCTACAAGGCCACAAAATGAACCTGAGCATCAGAACTACCACCTACACTTCTGCGCAGCTCCTCAGGGTTTTCCTTTTGAGGTCGTATCTCTGTATAATACCATTTGGCTTCACTGGGGGTTGCCAGACCACCGTCACCTGGGGTGTGCAAAGAGAGGAGAAACTTCATTAAACAAAGACAGTACAATTTACATTACGTAAAGTGATTGAACCTGAATTGCAAAATGCATACACGGGGGAGGGGGGGGGGGCAATTTTTAAATGTTATATTCAGATTGTTAAATTTTTATATATTATTATAGTTAAATGTTTTTTGGGGTTTTTTTTTTTTTTTTGGAGGGGTGACAGGATGAGTGGGTGGGATTGTGGGGGGGGGGGGGGGGGGTTCATCTCCATATTATAATCACCTCTTCTAAAACTGAAAAATAAAAAAGGGGGGGAGGATGACAAGGAATGAAAAAGATTGGTGTTAGACCAGAGGAAATAATTGCAAAAGAACCACTGGAATTATATGCGCTGTAATAATGATCCTAAGCTGTCTTGCTCGAGTTCAGGGCAGCTCCAATGATCATGTGTCTAAGACTCGACCTCAAAATTAAGTGTATAATTTTGATCTGTAGCCTAATCTCACACACAAAAACTAAATAGTAAAGTCCTCTTCACTGCCAGATCTATCACCTATTAATATAACAAGTTTCTAACATTTTAACTTTAAACCAAAAATTAAAGCAACAGAATCTGATTGCAGAGCAAAGCGGGTGTTGAAACAAAATTAATAACAAATGTCAAACTTACAGAGCATTTGACAAATACATCAGTTTAAAAGGTAAATGAAACACTGTGAAAAAAGAATCAAATCCACCAACAACAAAAAAAAGCACCTGTGTGGAGCTGTCCACTTTAACAACAGGATCTGCTAAGCCTTGAGGAGCTGCTTCAGCAGTTGTCCCAAGCGTGCTCTCACTCACAGTGCAGGAGTACACTGTGCAGGCTTCAACCTTCAATGACAATGAAAATGACAGTCTTTATTCATCTCGCAGTGAGAAATTTGTCTTGGTCGTTAACAATGGCAGTAGACGTTACAAAGGTTAGGTGCACTCACACATAATATGCACAACAAGACAGGACATTAGTAAAATACATATCTCGCGTGCTGGGACAATCCGCTACTCTCTCTCTCTCTCTCTCTCTCTCTCTCTCTCTCTCTCTCTCTCTCTCTCTCTCTCTCTCTCTCTCTCTCTCTCTCTCTCTCTTTCTCTCTCTCTCTCTCTCTCTCTCTCTCTCTCTCACTCTCTCTCTCTCTCTCTCTCTCTCTCTCTCTCTCTCTCTCTCTCTCTCTCTCTCTCTCTCTCTCTCTCTCTCTCTGTTTCATTTGTAGCACTGTGTGCTCAGTAACCTCACTGCAGTTGGTACGAATGAATTTCTATATTGTCTGTTCCTGCATTTTTGGAAATGTATCATTTACTGTGGGTCGATAGCTGAAATGCAGATGGTCAAAAAGCCAACAATACATTATGTCAAACTTATTGAACAAATAAAAACATAAAAAAGGATTGACAACCAAAAAGAAAACCAACATTGTAATAAAAAATTGAGAAGAAAGGGAACAAACCAGAAATAAATTTAGACAAAGGAGTATGCTGAAGGTGCCAAGGATGAGACAGTCAACAATATAAACAATGCAGTGAAATATTGTCTTGTATTAAACAAATTATCTTTATTCATTCTTTCTTAAAATGATCTAATCATCACCTTGAAGACACAAAATCAAAAGATGTAAAAATAGAAATAATGAAGCATAAAGGTATATGTGAGAGACAAACCATTATATAAGTTGAAACAAGCAGATTGCATAAAGTTCAATCTGTTGCTGAAAGCCTGAAATGTATTTATAAAGTATTCAAGATGAGACTCTCAAAAAAGAAAAAAATTGTTTACTTCTCCAGCAGCATGCTTCAAAAGGCACGTTTTTCTGTATTTTCTAAAACAACTTTACAACTGTTTTGTGTATTCTTGTGTCTAGGAAGCACAAACACTAATGAGTATTTTATAATGTCATGTAGTTCCAGGTAGTATGTGAGCCTTTAATAATGATATGGAACAGGGGAAACCCTTTTGATTTATTGTGAGCTCACGGGATGTCCCTCCTACAGGCCACTTGCCTTGCTTAAGACACACGCCTGTATCTCCCCGTGACACATACGGGTACAAGTGGAAGAAAAAAGTAAAGTAAAGTAAGTAAAGTGAAAAAGAAGTCTATACGCTAACACTCATTACAAGGAGCTCTTACTCGGACATCATAAACCGTGTATGGCTGTAAATCAGACACAACAGCAGAGCCTGGCTGGTCAGAGCCAGTGTCCACTCTCCGGTCATTGATGAGCACACTGTAAGAGATGATGACTCCGTTGGGACTTGCAGGAGCCAGCCAAGACACACGGAGAGCAGTGTTGCTCACAACAGACAGCTGGGGCGGATCCAGTCCTGATGGTGCTGTTTATCAAATGGAGAAGCTAATTTATATACATGTTGTCTTTTTTTTTCCATTGAGCAAATAATCACATTGTCCAGGTATAAAAACTACCCCCAAAAAAGTGAATAAGGGTCACAAGTCACAATGCAGAAATTTCAGCCGAAGATTTCTGTGCTCAGGAAGCAGGAAAAAGCAAAATATAAAGTAGATAGGATCTTGGCTATATTAGAGAAATATTATACCAAATAAGGTAGAAGGCTATAAAATAGAGCTAAACTGTAATTATCCAGCCTTGGGTCTTCACCCATCTAGAATTCACCCTTTTCCATAGCTGTCCTTTTTTTACTCCATCACTGAAGTAAAATATCACGCAAATGAAACAAGACTGAAGGATTAAAAGCCCCCACCCCAATTTTAAACTGCTCCACAACGTGTGCAACATGTGAAGCTACTGCGGGGTCAGTTTTGTTCTCCATAAAGATAGGGGGGGGGGGGCTAAAATTTACTATTACTGAAAAGAGTCCTGATAATTGTGGGGAACACAGTCTGTACAACACATCAGTACATACAATACGTAAAGGGGCAATAAATAAAGGAGACCAGCAAAAGCGGCATGTATGTGTCAATATATCTTGGTGAAATGCATTTGTCAGGCAAAAGAAAGACAGCTATGACTTTACATTTGAATATTCTTGATTCTACCTGCCTAATATGACTAGCCTCAAAACGGTGCACCGGGATCTAAATTTTGCCTTATAAAACCAGGATCCATCAACAGTATAAATTCAATTCTGTAAGAAAATTTTTAATTCAATTCTGTAAGAAAATTTTTAAAAATAAACAAGAGAAAGAAAACAATAGGATTAAAAATTTATATCCGCTTCTCTACCCAAAACAAAAGAAGAAAATTTTCACTTTTAATACAAAACACTATTTTCTTATCAGTTCTGCAAAGACAAACCCTTACTTGATGACCAAAATAATTAGTTTTAGTCGGACATTTTACTTTACCCCACTAAAATTCAGAACCAATCTAATTTTTTGACATCTTCTTCTTCTCCTTCATGCACCAGGAGAGAAACAAACATCAGCAATTGAGGTTCAGTTCGCCACTAATTTCTCAGTTCAGAAGTACATTATCCTGGTCTTGACTGAAAACACCAACCTCCATCTTCAGTCTTCACTCTCTGTGGTTTGCTGTCTATAGAAGCGCCTCCAAATATGGTCACGGTAAGAATAACTGTATATTCCGTGTTTGGCTGAAGGTTAGTGACGATATATTCATTAACATCAACCTCTGGGTAAAACAAACGCTCATCATCAAAGTTTCTTGCTGTTAGAGTCAAACTCTCCACATCTCCCTGAAGATCAACAGGATCTGAAAATTGTATGCAAAATAAAGACCACGATTCAGCATCAATTTAATAAGGATAAGCGTCATTGTTGGGTTCCTTTCATTTTGTTTATTTGTATTACTTTGCAGGGTAGAGTTTTTTAAGCTCATTTTAGAGTCTCTAGTTCAGTATTGATAAGAAGTAAGAAAAATAAAATTGTTGAAATGCACAGTAAGTTCCTTTTCCTACTTTGTAAATAAAATATTGAATCTTCAGGAAAAATATTTTATCCTTCTTCATTCAGCTGCAAAAGCATACTTAACAATCAATACAGATGGAAAATGTGAACGATAGTGGCTTTAATGGTGTTACTATGAAGTCGTGTGAGCATTCAGGAGCAGACAACTACAAATAAACATTGTAAGGTTTTTAAACAATTGTTCACTGATTTCAGGTCACGTCAACTTTTGACCAATCATAGTCACATAGTGTTCCTTTTTGCAAGTCTGTCTCTTGACATTCACAAAAGTGCTTGCACAGTTTGCTACTGTAAAATTACAAAGTTCTATCCGACATTATTTGGCCGTTTCGAGTTCTATCTGCTCCACCAAATTGTAAGATTATTCACAGTTGTTATCAAGATATTCAAAGAACTACATTCGAAAAAGCTTGGCAACTAAAAGTGTTTTACGTCAAATTGCTCAAAACTAGGTACCGAGCAAAAAGAACTAGGCAAACGAGTTGAACTTGTCATGCTTCTGTTATGATCTAATGTGTTCCTTTTGAGTCCTCTAAAAATCTTGTTTTTCCTTCACATGGCCTAGTTTACCTTGGTACAATGATGATGGCAGCTGAAAGTTTATCAAATCTCAAGTTCTAACAGAAATTGTCTTGACATCTAATTACAGAAAAAGTAATCCTTCATCAAAAGTAAACATATTTCACCCTAAAAGCAAATACCTACAACAGCTCTCTGCCTATTGCTCTATACTCCTTAACAAAGCACTCACTGAGCACATTAAATGCAGACAGGAAGCAAATGTTTTACAATAAATAAAAAGACGTAAAGAGACAGAATCAGTGCTTTTCCAGTCTCTACCCAGAGAACCATTCCCAGAGCACGCCACTTTGCACCCTCACAGATAGATACTGGACGAGCAAGTCTGAGAAACATACCAGGCAGGGTCCAGTTGACCTGGACACTGAGATGGTCAATAGGTGAAGTAAAAACTATAGCTGGAAGTCGAGGCAGTCCTCCAAAGGTTGTGGCTTCAATCGAATCTTCACTGGTGGTCTGAGACACTCCGTTGAATACAGCAACACGGTACACGTATGTGGTGAACATTGGAAGCTCTTGGTCTTGGAAGAACAAATCTTCTCCCTCGTACACACTGGTCCATATGCCAATGTCGGTCACCGTACCTAAAAGAGACAAAACGTCACTTAAAACATGAAAATCATCGTAATATATTGTATGAACTACCATAATTAACTTGATCAGTAAACCAGAGATGCCGTTCCCTGTGGCTTAAGCTTCTTCTCAGAATTACAAGCCGCCATTCCCAGAAGCCAGTGTTGGCCAAGGTCATGTACAAAGAAAGACGGAGTCTCTAGTTTCTCATCTAAACAGCTATGAATGTGAATAAAGCTTTGTACGAAGCTTCTCTGAGAGCAGCTACACTCCTTTGTCTTTAAGTTTATTTCCGTTCTTTGTCTTGAGTCGAAGCACAGGTTACAAAAGTTGTCGGAAAAATTTAATCCATCAAACTGTGGAAATCAATTCTCACTCATTTCGACATGTTTGGCTCAAAACTGATATATCAAATACAAGATACTTCAAGATTTTGGGGGTCAAGAACATGAGCACTACTCTACATCATTGTTTGCCATTAATGATTTCCTGGAAAATGAAAATTCAGTCTTTAGAAAGGGGGGCGGGGAATATTGTTGGACCTTACTAACATATTCTGACACCTGTAAACAAAGGACCTGAACAACCCTCATAACATTATGATAGACCCAGACCAATTGCACAGAGTACTCACTATCAAGTGGCTGTCTAACTTTCATCCTAGACAGTTCATAACGTATGCTTGGTCCATTCGGAAAAGTTGGAGGCTGCCACGATACAGAAATTCGGGACTGAGATATGGCAACTGGCTTTGGGGGCCCCTGACCTGCAGGAATGGTGGCAATTGTGGTGAACACAGACGGAATGCTCTCTGTACATCCGCCAGCTGTGGAATACGTAAGAAGGGAATATGTAGCCTAAGTAAAGAAAACAGCAGGAGTTTTGATTCACTCATAAGTCTTATCACAACACAACAATGTCAACTCCTGCTTAATTATAAACCACATTTTCAGTCTAAATACTCAGCTCTGTAAATTATCCAAGAATCTCACAGTCTCAAATCACCTGTTAGATGCATTAGTATGCAAGCAAAAAGAAATATTGAGTTCACATTTTTTTTAAAGGGTGACATAAATTGTTACACAGAAAAAAAAATACAGGAGCACCCCGTATTTTCCCCCGTATTTTCAGAGTTCTGAAAAAAACGACAACCATGATGAACATTTGCAAAAGTACAGAAATAGTCTATAATTTGAAATACGCCGTCACAGCAGAACAATTCCAGCTTCTATCCAATGATTAGTTATATCTAGATTGCAATTACTCTGCTCCATAGGCACTCTTCCTCCTCCAGATGATACTTTCTTCAACAGAACAGGAAAAAAAACTTAACCCTTTGAACCCAGGCCCCTTGAAACTATAAGGATACATGCATCTCGGCTTTCTACAGATATCTACTAGGTATTTCCCACCACTGCATGCTGAGAAGTGAGTTAACTGCACAGAAGGGTAAAAGTTATATACGCTGGAGGCAAGCACTTGGGTCCATCATATTTCTAAAACACACGCATGCAGGCACATTCATGTGAACATGCATGCCCACACACACACACGCTCACACACATACACACATATGCAAACATACACACACTACACACACACAAACATGCACTCTACACACACACACAAACACACACACACACACCCTGCACACACACATACACACACACAAACTGATTACACATATATACACAGAGCGTACGAACTTACAAGTGCAAGCTGTGACAGTGATCGAATAATCTGTGTATGGCACAAGGTCGGTGACAACCGAAGCCCTCTCTGTAGTGTTCCTCACTTCTATACGTGGTTCTGGGAACCGTAACACGTAAACCTCAATTTCACCATTGGGCTGCAGGGGCTCAGACCACTGCACCAGCACAGATGTGGGTGACAGGCCAGTGATAGTTGGTGGGTTCAGTCCTGCTGGACCTGAAACATCAGATGATAGAAACAAATTATTGTTGATAATTAATTCATTTGCAGGAGTCACAACACAAAAATGTACATTGCATGAAGATTATAAATATAATTTTTTTCATCCAAATAAATTTTTTTTTTGGGGGGGGGGGCTCTCGTAGTTGAGAGGTTACGGTGTTTGCCTCTCATTCAATAGGTCCTGAGTTCGAATTCCGATAGCGACGGAAAAGTTTTCTTCTCTAGAATTTTCTCCTTTCACTTCTTTTCCTGCTCTCTAGCAATGTTCTGTCATCTGCTCTCATCTCCACTTTCTACCCTTACCCCCTCACCTCCTTTGCCCCCTCCTCTGGGCTTCTGACTCTTTCTGCTGCCTTTCCACTGCTACTTCTTGGCTCCTTCTTACTGCTGTCTTTCAGCTATCCCTTGTCTTACGATTCGTAAGATCTAACATCAAGCTTTCTCGGATACGGGCAAAAAATCTCAGACGGACCATGCGCAAGTTGTGCACGTTAAAGATATCCTGGTGGCCTAAAATCAAAAAGAGTAGGATTCGGCCGCCACCCAGGCAATATTTAACATTTCCTATGAACTGAAGAGGTTTAATGTGTCAGACGTGCTCCAACGACCTTATGCAGTTGCAAGTGCTGTAAAACACTTACCAAAAAAAAATAAAATAAAATAAATTATTTTGTCGTAAAACTGACCAATCAAAAAAGCAATAAACCAACAAACTTTCAGTAAAAATCATGAACCCCTGTACATATGTATCCTTGAAAAGATTACAACAGCTAAAGAAATAATGTTTTTTCCTCTCTGACAGATGAATTGAACAAACATTTTTTTACATAAGCTTTGTACAACTTTAATCCAAGGAAGCATTTAAGTTTTACTCATAACTTTGAAATACAGTCAGCACCAAGCATGATTCTTACAAAAGTAGACTCAAATATATAAGACTAAATTCTGAACCAGGCTAACGAAACAATCGAGTTGCTTCTCTCACAGAATAAAACCAACACATCAAACTAGGCTCAAAATGAGGATGCGTTTGAAAACTTATTTTTTTTTTCAGACTATAAACTTTGCAGCCTATACGCAGTGAAAGAAAGACCATTTTTAGCAGAGGCGCACTTTGTGAATCTTCAATACGATTAATATATTACTATAACAAAAATATCTAACTCCTTGTGCCTTCAAGCTCTAAATATCTGAGCTCTCATGGTTCAAGTGCTAGATTTGCATCGCAACAAGCTGAAGAAATCTTTGACTACATAGTGGGGTAAAAGCTGCAAACCGTTCACAGGGTTTAGAGGGAAATTATTTTAAACTGATGCACTGAATTGGGTTGAACAAAGGTGGAAGTGAAGACAGACGAGCTAAGAGATAAGGTTGCTTGAAAGTAAAAGGAAAACATTATAACTTACGTGAAGAACCTGTGACGATCTGACTCCATGGCCCCACCCCGGTGCCAGCACTATTTTGAACATTGACTCTGTAGTTATACATGGAAAATGGGGATAAGTCATTCGACTCATCAATGAATGTCTGAAACGAGAAGAAATAGCAAAAGGTATTTGTTTACGTGTATAAGTAGTATTTGTATTTCATGTCTTGAATATAAAAAAGAACTGAATAATAAAAATACTTTAAAATGGTTCAAATTTAACTCAAACAAAATTGAGCTTTCTTGAGGTGTACAACTTTTATGTTCTAATGTTTTAATGGCATTTAAGAAAATTATACTGAAGTTCCTAAAAAAACTGTTCGAGATGAGGTTTTCATACAAATGAGAAAAGAGTATCATAAACTGGACGCTAAATCCAGATTCCATTTAAAATCAAGATTCTTTGTTCATGCATTATGTAAACAGTTACTTTGTGACTGATGGCATTATAGAATAGCCTACTGATGTGCAAAAAGGGGTCCATTGTTTCTTTTTTACATTGTGTTTGCAGTTGTAAAAAATATGTTACAGAAGCAAACTAGGAGTACTTTAAAAGTAAATAGCAGACAACTATATTTTATGCCTTAAGGATCAGACAAATAAGGCTTAGTACTGTATGAAACAGAATATGTAGGCTATTAGAAACTGTTTACCTTGGCCATTTCAGGAAATCTTGATGCCACAACAGTGGAATTTCCTTCAGAGCCTTCTTTCCTTTCAATGATGTATTGCAAGATAATTCCATTGGCTTTCCCCGGTTCCATCCACTCCACCTCGATGGCAGATGGGCTCAGAGCAGTCAGATTTGGCTTGGATAGTTGTTCTGGTACTGGTATAAAACAGATTTCAATTAGCTTTGACAGTAGCAACTTCTTTGATACTGTTACCAAATAAATGACTGCAAAATCCCCACTAAAAGTGATTCATGTTGAAAACGCTTGTTAGTAAGATAAGAGCTAAATCAACATCCTAATCGATCAGCTCTAGAGGACTGGAAAAGAATTAACAACACTCTCCAGGAACGTCCTTTTGATTCTCTCTACAAGCATATTTTTGGAACATCTTTCTGATCTTCTCTGTATGCTCAAAATCAATACAGCACTGCACTTAATAAGAATTCCCAACTTCTGAGAAAATAGATAAATGCTTCTTCTTGTGTTTCTTAAAGGAGTACTGTTACAGTTTGACAGTTCAAGGACTTGGGGCACTAAAGACCCCTCACAATAGAAATAAACTTTTTAGGTTGTGAAGCTCAATCAATAGTATCCATAAGGGAAGTCATTCTGCGTCTGCTACCCAGTAAACAATACCTTCAAGAACCTCCCCACATATACCTCCCATCCCAACTCCGATCTAGTTTGTCTGAGCTGGTACTGTTGAGAGAAACTGGCAAATAACTTACCTTATACAAAGGTAAATTTGGCAACATGAGCACAGTTGGTAAGTAGCGTTTTCTGATTTTTAAAAAATTAATTGTTTTTTTGTTGTTGTTTTTTTTGTGTTTTTTTTTTGGGGGGAGGACATAGAACGCAAATTATTAAAAAGGTCATTTTCAAACTCATAAATGCGAAATCCTTATTTTTTCCCAGTTCTTTTGATCTAAGTTACCCCAAAGTGTCTTTCTTTCTAAACATGATATGAGACAATCAGAAGAGCATTTTCTCTGTTAAAAAAGATAATACACTTACAGTCTTGCAGTGTCCTCACAGTAGACGAAGATAAACTTCTTGTGCAGCCAGCGACAGTACAAGCATCTACTTCAAAAGAATAGTATGTGAAGGGCAGCAGTTTGTCCACCTGGTAAGCTGTGATGTTGCCATCAACCTGCCCGTACCACAGAAATAAACAGATGAAGAATGTCTGAGATCTTAAACAAAGTAATTAACATTTATATCAAAGACGATCAAAGCAAAAACAGACCATTTTGGCAGTTCACAACTTTGAGAGACCTATGAACATAGCAGTGTCAATTAGCAGACATACTGATGAAAGTTTTTCATTCATTCACACCAGAAAAAGCAGCAAAGGAATATCATCCTTGAGCTGTGCCAAACAGCCTATGTCATCATTCAAAACGGAAGAATAATCCATTTTTTTACTCGCTATCATTTGGTTATACAATCTTTCTCAGCTCTGGTGTTATATGAAAAAAATTTAATTGAACTATCATTTTTTTTAAACTGACATATTTCATTTCTGCCTTCTTTTCTTTCTTCTTTCTGTATCTTTATACTCACTCCTGATCATAAAGCACCCATTCAAAACAACTTATCATGTCTAGAAGGACACCTAATTCATAGCAATACAAACACTATAGGCCTATAATCTTTACAGCCTTCTTTTCCCAACCTGAATCTGACGATCTCCATTCACAATAATATTGTAGTTGCTGATGATGCCATTGGGGCTCAAGGGTTTGGACCAAATTATATCCACATATCTCGCTTGCACACTGGCCACAAAAGGTACATTCATGGTTGCCGGTTCTGAAAAAAAAATGATTTTGATAGTCAATACGGTATTGAACCTATCCATAAAATCTGGGATACGGCACAGAAAAAGCAGAAATAAATACAGTGAAAATTGCTCAAGACAGTGCAATTGTCAAAGAAAAAAGTGGTTGTGTTATCATAATATGGATTTTTAAAAAGAGGAGGGTGGGGAGTGGGAAGTGGTCATTCGTATTGGTGATTGTCTTGAACAGTTATCTCCATTTCAAGAGTACTTCTCCAGATTTACTTCTTCAACAGAAAATTGTCAGAACTCCACACAAACTTTTTAGCAAACAGATTCTTTTCGAATTTAGAAGTATATAATTACTCTTTAAATCAAATTATCACCATCTGTTTCAAGTGACAGTGTGGTGTCTTGGGAATAAATTACCAAGTCCACACATGGAATGATACCGTACCTCAAATTGCACATTCTCTCCCTTAAGTAATAACAAGATATTTTGGAGAGTTAGGATTTTATTAAACGCGGATTATATTGAAAGATGCAATAAGACATTTTCTTTATTGCCAGTATTCTTTTCTTGCTTTTCCCCCCTTGCTTAACATTCAACCATACATAACAATGAACCAAACTTAAACCCTTACTCAAAGTATCAGAATCTATGAGTATCCCTCCCAGGTAGATCTGGAACAGGAGCATCTAAATCCACCAACCAAAAAAAGGGCTTTAGTTCACTGTTCTCTGACTTTGCCTTTACATTTGCAGTGTTAAAATAACAACTCATCTACAAAATACTCACTGTCTTGTCGCGTGACTAGAGAGACCCATGGAGACTGAACCGACCCAAAGCTGTTGCTGGCCACAATTCTGAAGTTGTATTTTGTGAAAGCAAGCAGATTTCTTTTGATGTATCTGAGAGTCACTGTAGGTCCAAACACACTGTTCAAAAGAAGATCAAACTTGCAAAATGAATCTTTGATTGATGCTACATTCGTTACAGAAAATAAAATTCACTTTCAACTATAAGAGTGTATAGCTGCTTGAAAGGAGATACTTATACAGTGGGAGGAAAATGACCATGCATCAGCAGCCTTATATATTTAAGAATGTAAGATCATTTATCATGACAAGATATTTTAAAAAGGAAGATAACAAAAGGCATGATACATTAGAATAAAAAGAGATAATAAAAGATTGCTTCTGTGCATTTTCTAGAAGCTAAAATAACAGATAACAACAACAAATTGTAGCAATAACAGAGCAAGACAGAAGAAAAGGACAGGCTTGCCAGAGTTCCCCATATACGCACTACCCAAATTCAACATGAGAAAGTCACATAAGATTTCATACAACGTACAAGTTTGTTCAGCTACGGACCCTGACTTATGGCAATTAAAAGAGATAGTTAAAAGAATTACTGGTAAAACTGGATTTTTTTTTTTACTTTACGTTCTAAGAAAAGACATTACTCTTGAATGATGGCTCCATCAGTGGACTCCATAAACTGCACAACATAAGCTGGGATTTCTTCAGCATTCACCCTTCCCACAGGCTGCCAGGTGACTGTGATAGTGCTGGGAGTTTCTGACAAAAGGTTCGGCGAAGCCATTCCATCAGGATCTGGAAGTTTACACATCTTTGTTATATTTTTTTGTCTCAAAAAACCAAAAAAACAGACATATACCCAAGTGAACGTAGGGTATTTCAAATTTGTGTTTCTTTACTTTAAGAACTCATATCAAAATGAGTAGGCCTATGAGATGGTAGGTTCAGACTTTAGGTAAAACACACTTTATGCTTGAGCGAGCATAGGGAATATAACTTTTGACAAAATGTCTTAGTCCCATATTCCCGGAAAAGAGGGGGGGGGGGGAATCATTAGCTCCGAGACAATAATGCTGAACTATGATGAGAGAGACCTTTGTCTGAAACCCAAATACAGCCTTCTTATTAAGCAAGAGCTACTTGAGCAGCTTTTATCATGATTTTCCACCTACTTGACTCATTTCTGTCAGTGACAGGTGTTAGATCATACATGTGGTCACATAAATAACCTTACTCACATGAAAGTAGCATGAACTCCATACCAGAATATATAACTTCACTTCTCAACTCGCTGACACGTTTCTACTTTCCAAGAAAAACAATAAACTCACAGCTTGAAGGTAGAGTGACATCCAGCACATTGCTGAGAATAGACCCAACAGAGTTTGATCCGTTCACTTGTATGCTATATGTAGACATTGGTACAAGAGGGGACACTTGGTACACAGTAAAAGCAGTCTCTTCCTCCAACATCAGTCTGTTTTCGGTGCTAACTGTGTAATTCCATGACTCTGAAGAAGAGAGAAGGAGCAAAAAAGGAAATTAAGTTAGTAGCAACTTCATGGATTTTTATTGACAGTTTTGCAATAAATCTAGCATGTAAACAAAAATATCATGTTTACAAAAAGCTCAAACTCTGATAAATCCTCCTCCCAAAAAGGTATTCAAATTTAACACATGGAAAGAGAAATAGCGAACCTAAATTAGACTGAACCTGTCATCCCCCCCTCTCTCCCTCCCTTCCTCTCTCTCCCTCTCTCTTTCTCTTTCTCTTTCTCTCTCTCTCTCTCTCTCTCTCTCTCTCTCTCTCTCTCTCTCTCTCTCTTTCTCTCACTCTCTCTCTCCCTCTCTCTCTCTCCCTCCCTTCCTCTCTCTCCCTCCCTTCCTCTCTCTCTCTATCTCTCTCTACTCTCTCTCTCTCTTTCTCTCCAACACCTCAAACACACACAAACACAAAACACACACACACACACACACACACACAAATACACACACACACACACACACACACAAACACACATACACATACATCGATAATGACACACAAATACATCATTTAACACAATCAAAAATATAGCCAAGATAAAGAGAATGCACTAACCTGGATCACTATAGAAGAGACCATTGAAAAAAACGTGGAACACAAATTTCCCATTTGGCTTGTCTGGAAGACTCCAAGAAACATTCACAGTTCTGGGATCAGACACGAAAGCCTGGAGAACTATCACTCCTTTTGGTTCGGCTTCTTTTGTACGAGCCTCCACCTGTCACGATTTGAGATAACATGTTGTTTACAGAGAGCCTTGACAAAAGTGGTCACATTTTTACCTAACACAAAGTATGACAATGGGAACACTGCAAAGAAAAAGGAGCAGACCACAAAAAACCATCTGCCACATCAAAACCTACTTTGGAATTGTCTTAAACCCAATTCTGGCCAAGCAGTAAAGCTGGGTCAAATCCCCCATCCTCATAAATTAATCAAAGTTGTTAAACAGAGGATGGCTTTTATGTTTTTTTAAGGGTTTTTCTATTCTTCTATGCCACATTTGAAATTTGGTGGTCTGTAAATTGCTTAATTAAACAATTTGTTATCCTCTCCTTTCAAATGGGCTTCCTTGGAGATGGCCCATCTGTGCCTGAACCATCGATGTAGTAAACCAACCCCACAACAGAGTGCAAGGTGGGTGGTTGGCTGGGGCTCTGGTGTGGTTTGTCATTCTTTCCTAGCAAACATCTATCGTTAACTCTCTTCCTTCTTTTTTTATATTTTAAATCTAGAAACACTTTTAGTCTTCGACACTTATATGACTTAATCGTGTTGCAAGTGCCGTTAGACTCCAACTCAGACTTTTTTTTAATCTAAAAAGTGCAAACCCAACTAAAGAATGTAAAAGTAATATATTAAACCAACCTCATCACCGAGAGCGCATCCTTCAGCGGTACAGGCCCGCACCCTGAAAGTGTGCCTGCTGTACGGCTCTAGATCACCCACAGAGTAAGATCTGGTGAGGCCCTGAGAGACCTCAGCCCCATTCTGGAAGAGGACATAGTTTGTGATCTCACCTGTAAAGAGACAAGAGGAGAAAAATTTGTCATTTTTTAATTATGAAAACAAAATCAAAGAAACGAAAAATCAACAACAACAAAGATACAACCAAAAGTAGAATGTGATGAGTCCATATCCTTAATGTAAACACAGAAAGTCACACCCTACACAATGCTCTAAAGATGTCTTCCTCCATCTCTTCCTTTCGTACAGTGTTTGGGTTTCTTCATGGCAGTATAAGTAAACTTCAAGAGGATCTCAGCCGAGCTCAAGTACTATCAAGTTATAACTAAGGAGTCATGAGTTGGTCTGCAGACAACATTGCGAAGGGGGAAAAGGACAGCTTACAGTGTTTTCCATTTTCCACATTTGTATCAGTTTGTTAGCAATAACTGTAAATTTTAAACATAATTATCTTTGAGGACACACACTTATATCATCGACCTGTCTCTAAATAACATACAACTCTATACAGGACAGCACCACAAAAAAAAAAACCAAAACACACACACACACACACACACACACACACACACACACACACAAAACAGTTGAAAATAAAGTCTACCATTTGGAAATTTAGGGGAGTCCCAGACAACATTAAGCTCATATGGATTAGGGGAAGTAACCACGGGTGAGGCCACACCCTCTGGAGCACTCTCTTCTGTGGTGGCGGAACTGGCAGCTCCAAGCGTACAGCCTCCACCAGTGCAAGCCTGCAGAAAACAAGACAGACAAAAAACAGTCACAAAAAAGAGTAGTTCACAATTGTACAAAATCAATTATTAATCAATTTAATCACTTAAGGTACTGAGAAATTAGAGGTTAAAAGAGAACTGGGGAAAATTCCTAAAAGGGATATGGAAGAAAACGATAACAATGTCTATTTATCTCACAACCTCAAATTTACCCTGACCTAGTTTGATAGCAATATAAAAACCCCATCCATCCATCCCTTCACTTTTTCCTTCCTTCCTTCCTTCCTTCCTTCCTTCCTTCCTTCCTTCCTTCCTTCCTTCCTTCCTTCCTTCCTTCCTTCCTTCCTTCCTTCCTTCCTTCCTTCCTTCCTTCCTTCCTTCCTTCCTTCCTCCGTCCCTCCCCCGCCTCATCCTTCCCCTCTCTCTCTCTCTCTCTCTCTCTCTCTCTCTCTCTCTCTCTCTCTCTCTCTCTCTCTCTCTCTCTCTCTTTCTCTCTCTCTCTCTCTCTCTCTCTCTCTCTCTCTCTCTCTCTCTTTTACACACAGACCTGCTCATATGCACAACACAGAAATAGCAGAACCAAACAATATTCTCCAATTGAAAATTTAAACAAGAAAACAGACGAGTTTATTTCAAAGTACAGTCAAAATTGTCTTAGACAGCTATCTATTGTCGAGGAGAAAAGTGGTAGTTTTAAAAACACAAGGGTGGAAGTGGGAAGTGGTGTTTGTGTTATAGGTGATTGATTGTCTTGGACGGGTGGCCATTAAAGCAGGTTTGCTTACAGTCTATCATGATAAATTAAAGGCTGCTCTTATTTGCCCTTATGGGCAAATAAGCTGGGGTTTATTGGCCCACATATGCCATTTAATGCGTTGTTTTTTCAATGTATTTCATATGTGGTGTTGTCCAAACTTGTTCTCTTTTATTTTTTCTCACTTTATCCCTTCTTGTTAATGTTTTCCTGAGGCATTCCATCTCGCACACATTTCTACAGATTTGATTATTTGTCAGCGGTGTTCCTGCAGTTCAGTGTTATTGTTATGCAGTAAACTTTGATTGTCTGCGAACAGTATTTCATTTAGAATTTAGGTTCTCCGGATGTGGGCTTGCTTCTTTCGGCAAACAATATATTACGGTATAATTGAGATATTTCTTAGTTTACTCTATGCATACTGTGTTGGACAACAAGATGAAGATGTGTAACTTCTTAGACTCTATTGTGGGGGGGAGAGAGAGAGAAGGAAGGAGGAAGGGAAGAGAGAGAGAGAGAGAGAGAGAGAGAGAGAGAGAGAGAGAGAGAGAGAGAAAGAGAGGGGGGGGAGAGAGAGAGAGCGAAAGTGAGAGAGAGAGAGGGAAAGGGAGAAGAGAGAGGGAGAGAGTAAGAGAGAGAGAGAGAGAAAGAGAGAGAGAGAGAAAGAGAGATAGAGAAAGAAAGAGAGAGAAAGAGAGAGGGAGAGGTAACAAAGATCATCTAATTAATAACTGAATGCTGTTCATTTGAGTAAAGTATATCAGATTCTGTTATAATAACAACAAGCACTGTAATTTACACAATAGAGAAATAAATCAAAAGTGCAACTGAACTTGCAAATAAAATCTTTTTTCACTCACTCCTAATGTAATATAGTAGGTTGTCCCTGCAATAAGATCCTCAATTTCATAGTCAGGCTGAAGGATAGTACTGTTATATACAACGGTTCCCAATTCTCCTTCAGCAGTAGAGGCATACAAAAGATAAGACTCCAGTACTCCATTGAGCTGGGTAGGACGTTCCCAAAATGCTTTGATTCGCTTTGTACCTGAAAAAATATAGTTACAATAATAACAATTTTCAACATTCAATATTAAGTCTTGTACCTTGGAAAGCTCAAAAGACATCGCAATAACTCACTTGATAAGTTGGAACCTTCCATTTCACTGAACTGAAAACCTCACAGGATGAGCAACTACTTTAATACGGCCATTTGGAACAATCTAAACTAAACAGTTGTAGAACTTACTGGACAGCAAGACCCCCCCACCACCCCCGCATAAAATGTGAATATCACAAAGATTATATAGATTATATATGAGAAAATAAAAAAAGAGAATTTACATTTCTTGTGACGGGTCAAACAAAACTGAAGGCGCTCATCAGAGGAAAAAAACCGCCCATCATGCTCCCTTTTGCCAATTGCACAGTTTGTGCCCTAGACTGAAGGAACCCTATATCACATCAAAGGATCAAAGTATGTTAATTTGGCCAGGCAGAACAAAAAGCCATACCAACATGAGAAGCAGTTCAGTCACCAGAAAATTCTAGTACTCTCAAGGAATGCCAAGGGAAGCCAGAGAAAACAAGACGTCTTATTCCAGCTAATAATATGTTACATCGTCATGGTCCTAAGCACAATTGCGTAAGTCATTTTTTTTTTCAGAAAACTTTTTAAAAACTGCACATGGATGTCAACTTAATGACCTAGGCCTAAGCAAATCTGAAAAGATCTAAAAAATTGGAAGTTTTGGTACACAAAACAAAACTGTTACACTGAGGATATGAAGCCAGTAACAAACATTATCATACAAAGAACTAAAATCTTTTTAAAAATGGATAAGACAATTTCTGTGGAATCATTATGCAATCAAGCACAAATCTAAATAAGGATATCGAAGAAAAAAAATTGTCTGCCATTTTTAAAAAATTTTTTTTTTGAATTTTTGGAACAACACCTTTTTTATCCATTTGAAAACATTACAGTGTGGATTTTACTGAAAAATGTTGAATGTTTGGAAATCACCAAACTAAAATTTTGACAGCCATTTTCTCGCTAAGTTTTCCTTTGACAACAGGTGACTCCCACCTCTTTCAATCACAAATATCCCCACATCTATTCAAGATTAACGGTATTTCTTTACATCAAAAGCAAGACAAATAAACAAGCTTTAAGAAGATACTTATAACTTCAAATGTTCAAAAATCGATGGCTGCCTGATTCCACAACATCGCAACACAAATGTGGATGTGAGTGGTTGGCGGGTGCTCTTAGTTCCACTCCTTCTTTTTTGTGTTTGTTACTCTCTTGTAACACCTCTAATCTTCAGCACTTTTCTGACCTTCTTGAGCTGCAAGTGCCATGAAACTCTGACTAAAACTAAACAAATGTGGACACCTGGATCCCAACCTTTCCTCACCTAAGACCAGTAATGACGTTTGCCCCACAGAAGTGGGAGGCAGCTGCGCTGTGCTGAGAGCTTCAGAAGGGCCATCAGAGCAGCCAGCAGACGTACAGGCTGAGATATAGAACCTGTAGGCCGTGTACACCTGAGGAGGGAAAAACAAGACTCATTTATTTTCTAGAGCTACACAGCAGTCAGTTGATCACCATCATTATCATGATCATCATCATCATCAAGTGCCAGATCTGCGGCAGACATCGGCGATCATAGTTCTTCATTCATTGCTTTGCTCGGATGCTCTTTTAAAAAAAAAGAAGAAGAAGAAGAAGAAGAAGAAGAAGAAGAAGAAGAAGAAGAAGAAGAAAAGTTCATCTTTCAACATCTGATAATGACCAACCAATGCATGTGCAGAGGAGAAAATTTCTTCAGCAAAATAGAAGAAATAAAGGTTAAGTTATGGCCATTGAGACTATTTCTCAACAGTGATCTCCAAAAACCCTGACAAACATACCAGCAGCCAGTTACTGACGGAGACAATCTGTATGAATACCATAGGATGGACCCTGTAGTCGATAGGCAGAAAGTTAAGGATAGAATCCATCTCTGAAGACCCCAGTTCTGGCATCAAGTAAATCAAAGTACAGCGAAGAGTAAACCTTACCTGTAAGCCAGTGACATTAAAGTAGAGTCTCCCTCCGTTGTAAATCTCCAGGTTGTTCTGATAGAGAAAGTAGCCTGTGATTGGTCCGTTTGGTTCAGCCGGGTCCTCCCACTGTACAAACAAGTATGTTGCCCCGGCCGCCGCTGTAGGGGCTGGCACTCCCTGGGGAGCTGGAGATAATTTTTGTAAGTAAAATAGAGACATACTGACACGTTTTTATGGAAGAAGAGCAACTTTGACACATTTTTAGAGAAACAGACACACATTGACACATTTGCATGAAAGAGAGACTCTTTGACACATTTTCAGAAAAGCAGAGACACATTGACGCATCTAGGTGAACGAGAAACTTTGATTGAGACAAAAATAAGTGACAGGTAGGCCTACTTGTATAAAAAAAAGTCCTGAAATTTCAAGACACAGGCAGAACGTATTTCAACTTTCAAACGTGACAAACAGTTCAAATTTCACTATAGGGTGTCTCTGCAATATTTTTTAAAAAACACTCAGAATTCAGGAAAAAGCCTTTGAATGCCTGTCTGTCAATAACAGTTCCTAATACAAGGAGAACAAAATAAAAAACCAAGATGGCAGATAGTGATCAAAATATCATACGTTGACAACACAAAGACAAGGACAAAGTAGGGTGTATTAGAGGTATAAACTATCAAATTATTTTTTTTAATAAACTTCTCAGGGACTTCTCACACATATATCATCTTTCTTAGTTCTTAAAATTTCCAGAAAAGCATTTCTTTTACAGCTTGCATTAAATATCAAACAAGAAAGTAAATATGCCGCAGTTATAGTCAGGCCAAAATCACAACATGCAAACAATATTGTCTTTTACTGTTTTATAATAGAGGACTTCCCCTACTATACACCACACAGTAAGTAGAAGGGTTACAAATTCTCTTTTATGTGTTCTCATCACTCGTTATAAAACAATCACTGACTTAATTGTAATTTTCACACTTCTATTTTTATTATAAGCCTACTAGAGAAAGTTATGGCTTACCTTCAACGGGTGTCAAGACTTCCCTGCCATCATCACTCTCTGTGCAGCCCCCTGTTGTACAGGCCACAATCTTCACTGTGTAATTTGTGTCTGGCACAACTCCGGTCATGTTCACTGACAACACAAATTGTGGCATAAATAAAGATCCAACAAGAGCTTAGCCGGAGTCCATTTCTGTCATGCCGTATCAGATAAAGACACCAAAAAATGCTCATATTTCAGGGCAACTATAAGCATATAAATAAAAGAACATTCTTTTTTAAATCTTTTCTTTTCCATTTTTTTTAAACAGGCTATTTTCTTTATATTTCCTTAATTTTTTATCCTTTATTTCTTGCCATTACATTAATTCACTTTTTTATTTCAATTTTCTGGCGTGTCTCCTCAAAGCCAAGAGATCACAGTACTCTGGAATTACTAAGTAAAGGCATGTTTGGATTACAGTAAAAGAACATAACTTTCTGCTCGTGAGGACAAAAAAGTCTATGAGTATGAGAAGTTACCAGCAGTGAAAGTCACATCCAGAATGTCCAAAGACACAAACTTCTTTTCCTCGCTGTCTGTAACGTAAGCCATGACCATAAATTTGGTGAGAAGTCCAGAGGTGATTGTTGGTTCTTGCCATATCACTTCTATCTCATTTCCAGAAATAGCTCGTAAACTGGTAGGACCTTTCACTCCACTGGGAGCTGTTGAAGAGTACAAAAAGAAGTATTCAAAATGTTTGATTTGATTTGTCTTCTGCACCAGTGTAGCTTTTAATATGTGCTCCATGGGTAGTCAACAGATTTTTTTCAACACACAGTTCAACTTAAGTCTACAAGACAGGCTATTTTCTCCCGCTGAACGTAGCACTTCTCAACTTTCAGAAAACCATACAAGCCATTTTCAAAAGTACTCTAATTATCCAAACTCTAAACAATGACTACGTAGCTTTCCTAAGTTTTTAGGAAGTGATAAGTTTAGAATTTCTCTCAGACGGCTCATTAAATTTCAACTGCAAGGGTGTGTTCAGTATGCAAACATACATGGGGGAGCTCATGAGGTTTTTGTCTTTAAAAAAAACAACAAGGGAATCAATCCTGTCTATCCCAAATCAGGGAAGTAAAAACCCTGAGAAGAAACTCAAAGTCATCACTGACCACACCCATATGAATCCTGATCAAATCAAGTACACTATCAAAAGATACAAGCAATTTTTGTCTTGACAAACGAGCCTCCCATTAAAAAAAGACTGTTAGATTAAACTTATTTCACTGCAAAGTGAATAAGTCTTCATGTATCCTAAGTGATAGGAAACCAGAGGTTTACATTCTTCCTTTCTATGTGCAGACTCTGACAACATTCCTGAGCTACTTTTCAGCAGAGTTTGTTCGTTTAAGCTCAGACATATCAACACAATAACAGTCATTTCCAGCTGGGGAAAAGCAAAACAGACAGACATAAACAAAAAGGAGATAAAAAAGAAATAGACATACCAGTAGTGCCCTACAACTACCTGCTTAGTGTACACAAGAAGAAATAAATGAAAATTTAATGGGTGAACATTCAGTCTGTCTTGCAAACATAGAATCAACTATTTACGTATACTAGGTTTTAAACGAGAACATTATTGCATCAACATTTTCAATATAAAGATTTACTTATAAAACATAGCAAAACAGGAATACAATAATACAAGTTTCAGAACGTTGTAAAGAATCTGTCATGTCTAAACTAGAAAGTCAGAGAATGTCAAACTCTCCACCTCCTTTCAGGGAGTTGCCATAACTGTAAAAGATGAAAACCACAAAAATATTGTTATAAGAACTTTTGAAATAAAGGGTTTCTAGCCTAAATTTCTTCCATTGAAAAGGTTCACTTTACCTCTTGCCAACCTTATCCTACCTTATTTTGAAATAATAGCAGTGAAAGTAAATCTTTACCTCCTTCCCTGGTGCGCCCATAACCCCAGGAGCTGTAGCCCTCTCCAGCATCATTGGATGCTACAATTCTATAGATGTAATCTGAAAACAAAAAAGCAGTGAGGAGGATATCCTAATTCATTTCTCAGAGCATAATGAAATTTTTACATACTTTAACAAGACTATTATTTGACTTATCAAAATTTTGCATGAACATAGTAGTCATGCTGCTGGTAATTCACAACACTTTTCTTGGCAGTACTCAACAGGATCCCTTACAAGGATCATAAAGTAGGCCTAATGAATCTTAATCCAATTTCAGAGACCTAGGAACATGTCTGAGCATATTTCATTTAAATTTATCTCCTGTACTTTCAAAAAATAAAAAACTTCACACCAATTTTGGATTCTTCAATGTGCACTCTAATAATCATACTGCAACTCAGGAAGAAAACAACAGTATCAGATTTGCAACACAGATCTAAAAGAAACTTGCTACTATGATAGGTTTCTGCTGAATAGGGGTTGAAAATCAAATTAAAACTTTTCCTATGACCTAAGCAAAGTTGAAGGGATCTCAATAATTGCATTTTTGGTACATATAAAAAAGCTTGGTACACCGAGGCTATGAACAAGTAATATGCAATTTTTCCTACAAATAACTAAAAAATTATTTTTTTAAATAGCTTAAACAATTGTGTAGCATCATGGTGAAATCAGTCACAAGTCAAAAGAGTAACGTGCAAACTAAAAGGTTTGAAGGACAAAAACTCATGAGTCCTATTTCAACTGTCATTAAGTAAGCACCTGTGTATGGCTGCAATCCAGTATCATAAGCTACGGTGTCCATGCCCTCATAAACCTCAGTAATCAGGCTTGACTGGCATGTTTCCTCTGGTTCGTGGTAAGCTGGACATCCGTCCAAGTTGGTGTTTGCCACATCAATAACAGAGTTGAAGTCTTCTTTTGATCTTTCATTAACTATCCAGCCAGAGATGCAGCCACCAAAACCTTTGAATAACATTGAGAGAGAGGCACAAATAAATAGTGCATCAAGAAAAGATTTTAAAACATAAGACCGAATCTTTGAAAACTATAAAGTAAAGATTAATCGATCACATCTCTTTTGGCCCTAAAAGCAGCTACCGTACCACAGCTTCTTGCACTGGTCTAATCAGAAATAGTGTGTTAACATTTGACATGTCTTAATAATATGTCAAAATAAAGGTTATATTATAAGCAGATTGCAAAATATTCATTAATTATACACAACAACTCTAGTTCTGTTTAAGTGTAAAAGGGTGAGGGAAGGTGGGGGGGGGGGGTTGTTACAGGCAAATAGCTCTGTAAAAAGGCAAACATAAAAAATAATGACAAAAGAAAAGACAAATATTCACTTTATTTTCTTATTGAAGACATCTATATCTATATGTTCATATTCGCACAAAGAGAAGCCTGTTGATCTCCTTCTATTGGGGATGATAATTTCATGGTTTATTTCAGAAAAGAGATGCAAAAACGCATAATATTACTAACCGTCCCCAGGAATATCAAGTCCATTTTCCTTCACATATGTCTCCACTTCCGAGTCTGACTTCAAACCTCCAAGGTGTATTGGCGATGTAAAGATAAGGTTCATGGGCACATTCGGGTCACCAATTGCGACTTCTTTTTTGTCAGGGATGGTAATTTTGGCCTCCTGGCCTTGCTTGTCGAATATTAGTATGTTCCACTTGCCGTCACAAAACGTTATGTCCGGATCATCATATGTCACCTCAGTCTTTACATTGTTGTCGCTGATAACAAATCTCAGGCGATCGTTCTCAAGGACACTAAAATAGAAAAAAAGATAAAGAAGACAAATAAAATACCATGCAATCAAAACATTCCTATGACATCCAGCAAGATTAAATAAGACAGAGCAACTAGAGTTGGTAAAAGATAACCCCTTGTGTCTTCATGAATCACAATGATTACAGCCCATTTTTTTTCTTTCCCTAAAAACATAATTACAACCCAATTGTGACCCCAAGTAGTGACCTTAGTACTTGCACACCAGATCAAGCAGTTCATTATTAGTAAGAGTTTTACGGCACTTGCAACACAAATACCACATATAAGTGCCAAAGATTAGATGGGTTGTTGAAAAGTAACATACAAATAAAAGAAGGAGAGATAAGGAGGAGAGACAAGGAGGAGAGAAAAGGATGATAGATGTTTGATAGGAAAAAGGAAGCAAACCACACCCTGAGCACTCACCAACCACCCACATCAAGCAGTTTAAAGTGGGGACCTTTACTTTACTTTTACCCTGGACTGGATTTACAACAAATTCTTGAGAAATAGGACCACCATCAAATCACCACATGTTGGTACATCTTCTCCAAAAAAAAGGCCACCATTCGGAGCGCCTTGACTGTAATCCACCCTTTGAGTAACACATTACAATCATGGGGAGCAAAACAAGAAGCCTCAGTCTCGGAAATACGGCTGGATATTAAAACTATAGAACGAAAAATGGAACCTGAAAGTTGAATTTTCTTGCTCATCAGGGAAAGCATTCTATTTCAATTTGCCAACGTGATGCATATATATAGGATGAGCCAGGGGAATACAGTGGGGAAAACAATTTGTCACGAGGCATTTACTGTTAAAAAAGAGAAAAGGTTTATAAAGCAGACTTAAGGAGACATGACAAATAATTTCTTTCACAGTCTGAGCTTATAGAACATTCTAAAAACTTACACCTCATTTCAATAGATAAGGATGAAGTATCTTCATTAGTATATGTTTGTATGGCATAACAAATTTACTGTGCAGCCCCAGTACCTTCATAATATTTCGATGAAGACTTCACTTTTCAAAGACTGACTTTTAAGTATTCAGTCTTCTGTCTCAGTGCAAACTCACCTGTACATGTATACATTTTTTCCACCATAGATAAGAAAGAGTAGACCAGTATGAAGTGCAGTTCTCATACGGAACCGGATGCGAATCTTATTGCCCTTTATATCACAGTTAGACCTCGAGTCACAATTAGCCAACATGAGGAAACCTGACAATTAGAAATACATTTGTGAACTTAGTATGGAATTATACAACATTAATAGAAAAAGAATAGCAACCTAAAGAACCATACAAATCATTCATCTCAGAATAAAAGACAACCCAAACACAATCTTCATCTGTTGCATCTTCAGTGAAATAGTGTTTAAACATAAAAGCATTTTTGAAAACTCTAATCACGGTTTTATCGACTAGTCACTGAGCTGCTTTTTAAAGTAAACATGTCTAACATGCAACAAATCAAAATAAGAGCCTGGTAGATTCTTTTCAAAATTATTTTCTCTTACTGCAAATTTCCAACAGGAGACAAACATTCCACCCTCAAATTGACCAACACGATGTAAATTGAGACAAGAAAAAACTCACTGAAAAACAACTGCCTCTTTTTTATTGACGAAAATATTCTCTGAAACCTTATGGGTGTATTTTGTTTTCACTCTATAATCAAGCCTGGCTTCAGTCATTAAGTTATATCTTACCTTTACCCATGAAATGGATTCCATTCTCTAAATTAATTGGACACCCTTGCCAATTGAGGAATGCCAAGTCGTTAGAAACCCCTTCAGACCAGTCCAAGCTTTTCCAGACTTCCTCTGGGTTGATTTGTTGTAAAATTTCTACATTGTCAATGCATCCTTGAAGCGACTCAGTCTCTATCTGGGTAAAAATGATAAAAGAAAAATAATGAAAGACAAAGGCCTCTGCATTGAAATAATCAATGAGAAAATGTTCATGAAATCAGCAATAAAAAAGCCCGGAAAAAAATCAAAACAGCATCTGGCTATATCAGTTTATTGCTCTAATGTTAACAAAAAAAATATTTTTTATAAACGCACAATATTAAGTTGTCTTGAAATTTAGAACAAATATTTGAACTTGATCAAAGTGCATGCTAAGTGACAAATCTAAATATGAAACCATTCAAACACAGCTCAAAATGGTCCTATGTGAGTGATTGCATTACAGAACCCATCATTAAGCAAATACCATATCATATATCCAATCAAAAGGAGTGATCTCGAACTGCACAAACTTGAAAAGTGCTAAGGTTTTTAAGTCAAAACTTTGGCAATTGATAGTTGACAGAGAAGGAAAAATAGTTTTGTTCATTGCATTTGCTCATAGAGACATGGGAGAAAGTTGTCATCCTATTTAGAGAAAAGTTATGAAAGTTGATGGGGGGGGAGATGGAGGTGGTGGAGGTGTTGGTGGGGGAGGGGGAGAGAGAGGGGGGACAGGGTGGAGAGAGGGAAGTAGGGAGGGAAGAAGAGAAGAAGGGGATAGGGAAGTGAAGGCGTAACTTTAGACAAGTGTAATTTTTAATAGGGCACGGGACCAAGTAAAAAATCATTGTGATGGTTAGACACAGACCCATCTTACTTAATCAATGAGAGCATATTATTAGTATTATTAAATAATGAGCCTTTAAATACTGATTTTGAGAAAACAACACAAAGTTCTTCAGACCAAAATTCGTTTTATAACTTTTTTTGTAGCAATATTCTTAAATTGCTAAAAGGAAAAAAAGAACTCTCTATCTAGCATAATATTTTTAGCATGATAGTCAAGAAACCCTGTCAAACTCTTGGTAAAAGGAAGCACTTACAATCACACTCAACGAAAAAAAAGAAAAGAAAATTAGTGAAAGATCGGAAGGAATTGAAAAGGAGGGGGGAAGAGAGGAGGGCAAGCTGTTCGAAACTTTGAGGGGGAGTTAGGGGGAAGAGTCAGTAAAACTCACAGTCAGTTCACCAAGGACAAACCATGGGAAATTGTAGTAAGACTGGAAAGTAAAAAGGAATTCAGGGAGAAAGCTAAAGAAGTGAGAATGAGCACTCATGAATAAGTGAGCCACAAAAATAGGACTGGTTTGATTCTTCTCGGAAATAAGCAATTGTGTGAGAGGTTGGTTTGTTGTTGTTTTGGGGTCGTTGTTTTGTTGTTTCTTTTTTTTTTTTGGGGGGGGGGGGGGGAGGGGGGGATTCTGTTTCAGTAGCCTACTCTGCAGCTCAGATAGCAACACAGCAAGACTGTTCAAAATGTTTAAGGTTTCATAAAACAATCAGTGAAAAGCAAACAGCACACTCTGAAATCTCTTCACCTTTCCCTCACCAGGAAAAGGTACTTTCCTCATCCACCCCATCCCCCTCCGCTTCCCCACCCTCCATCTTCCTTTCCAAATCCTGACCCTCCATAATAATTACAATAAACACAGAGCAATTTCCCAGCATTCCCCTGTTCAAAAGAAAAGCAAACAAACAATAGTTGTAATTACTAAATGTAACAACTCAGATAAATTTGTAATTTTAACTCACCTGTATAGAAAAAAATCCACATTAAGATCATCCTTCTTCTAAACTTTATAAGGAGGGTAAACAAAATAAACCCACTTTGTATCCAAGTTTTCATACAGATTTGAACCATTTGCAGTGAATAAGATAATAGTAATAAATGATTCATCAAACCAATGAAAGAGGAAACATTCAGAGAAAATTCAGTCAGGAGGCTGAAGAAAACACACTGAGAAGTAGTACAGAACAATGGGAAAATTAGTTATTTTTTTGTATAAATAAATGTATCCTATTCTTGTCAGACAATCTCTGGCAATGGGCACTGAAAGAAACATTAATAATTAACTTTGTCAAACATTTACACCAGTTACCTGTGTACAGAAAACAGGGAGTGGCGAGAGCTGAATGACACATACAAGGAGAGGACAGTTGATAGTGGTGCATGGAAAATAACATCACGCTTCAAGCCACCCACTTACCAGATGTAGATAGTTTTTCCTCTAGAGAAATAAGAGGTGATAGTAAGTGGACGTTGAACCCACATGATTTTTTAAAAAGAAATAATGACATCAGGAGTCAGAAGATTTCCTCTCATCAGGGTTAATTTGTAATAAGATTGGAAGAACACGTTTTGGTTTTTAGACAATAATGTAAGTGCACTATTCATTTCATTTCCAGCAAATGAAAATAGGAGTATACTTTTCTTTTTTCAATATTACTGCCATAGCCCGGGTTCGAGCCTCGGTTTGGACACGCATTTTTTTCGCCCCCCTCCTGCCCACCCAGCAGTAATGGGTACCTGAATTCGAGTTGGGGAAGTAAAGTGGGCGTGGAAAGGAACTGGCCACCCTACCACAATATGCCGAAGGCCCAGGAAGTTGTCTCACTAACAAGGCAATCCCCAATGTCCGGGATCCGATGCGGGAACAACTTTACTTTTTTTTACTGCCATAGTAATGCCAAAGCAAAGCAATATTGCTACGATGGCTGTGGCAGCACTTTTTTAGACATCTCAGGCACGTTTTTCAAAAAGCTAGACAAGAGGGAACAACATCCAAATTAGGATTTTCAATCTTTTCGTAACTCAAAAAAAAACACTTTTGATTATTCACGATTTCTCTAAGACCACAGTACCTTCATGGGAAAAATTTTAAAAAATTAAAAAAAACATGTGCATTGCATGACAAGGTGAATTTGAGGTCCACCAGGTGAATCACTGAAATTTTGTAGCTCTCAAAAGAATCCTTGCAAATCTCAGTGGCAAAAATCCAGCAGTAGATGTTTGGAGCACCTAGGATTTTTTAAATTCTTAAATTTGTCCAAAGAGAGGTCTCACTATGAAAGCCCCACTAACAATTTCATCTTACGAGGAGACATTCTAACCAATCAGCTGGGGAATGACAGAAGACATGCACTCACTACTGGCAAAAATAAAATGTGTAGCAAACTACTGTCAAAAATAAAATGTGTAGTAACATGACAAACAAGCTGCATAGCACTCAGTTTTTTTTAGATATCTGGCAAAAACTTTAATTTTCTCAAAACTGCTCATTTCTGACTCCTTTAATTCAAGAGACTATAACTTTGGGTCCTAGCAGCTGGACTCATACTATTTTCACCCACTTGGAGAGAAAGCTTGAACAGATCATTAACTCTTAATATAGGGCACGCCAGTTCAGCCGACTCATGACATCACTCAGAAGTTTACGGTAATTAATAAAAATCTACCAAATCTTAGCAAAAATCACTTAATGTATTATAAACAAGTCTAATGATTCATGCCAGGTTCATTCATTTCTACTCAATCTGGTGTTTATTTTATGCAAATAGGTTAAATAGAAACACAGTTATTGGGACGTTTGTGATGCTGAAAACTTAGATGATAAAATTGGCTGCATACAAAGTATGGATAGCATTCCATATACTAAGAGATAATTCAGTATCAATAGTGGTATGTTGTCAAAATGCAAGATGTGAGGCATTTTGTCTTGTTGCTACACAAATAAGCTGAGCAGCTGATGATCCAGGAAGCTTTGAAACTGCATTCATTGCAAACTGTTCAGACTCAGTGAAATGTCATGACATTGTTGAAAGCAGCAACTCTCCAAACAATTTTGACAGAAAAAGTGGGGAAAAGAAAATCCACTTATTTTTAGAAATAGAAATTGGTTTATCACTGGAAACAATTTCAAAATCACCAAAAAAAATCATGAATCACAAGGTTGGCTGCTTAGGTATTTTAGGCACCCCTGGATACGTATTGAAAAAGTAAAGCAATCAGTATTTAAGTACATGTATTAACATACACAATACATTCTCATAGGACATTACATTGTGAAAACAAACTCTTTAGTTTTAGAGGTCAAGGTGAATATCTACTGTCCAATCTATGAAAAGATTGACTCCAAGCTGAGAAAACTTTGACCCCATCCCTTTGAGAACTTAAAGATATCTTTAAAAAAAAACTAATTACTGTGCTACCATTGACATACTCCCCTAGCTTCAAAATTATAGGTAGGTATAAATGTGATGCAACGGTTGACACACGAATCTCAGCTTGTGCAGGCCAGGTAGCAAGGTGCGGAGAAAATGAATTGTTCCATTCATTTCCCAGCCTGCTGTCACAGGCAAAAGAATTTTATGGATCTAAGTTCTATGTCATTCAATTGGTGAAAGCGACAAAAAATAACAATGATAAATACCCATTACTGTAAGGTACACAATTACAGAAGGTGTAGATAGCATTGGGGGGGGGGGGGGTGTTGTATTATCTGCATTTTTTTCTTATCATTCTGTTTTCAAGCCTTTCAGGTTTACAAAATTTGGCGTTAGCTTCGATAGTACGTGAATTACTACTTAAACTACTACATGTACTGCTACTAATGTCACCCCAACAGTTGCTGCTGCAACTTGCATTGCAGATGCAGTCTGAAATAACGACTCAGCAGAAAAAAATCCAAACTTGACCGTGCCACACAAGACCATCATGAAACATTACCATGACAAAAAAACAAGGAAACATAATATAAAATTAATAATAAAATTCTGTTTCTGGCAACAAAATTTAAACATGCAGATTTTTGTAACAGCTAGGACTAGAATATTCACCTCTCGGTTGCGTGTATAGCGTCTCAGCACATAGTCAGGAGGAAAACCACCGACATATACTGCAGTTGTAGGGCCAATTATGCTTGTGTCTTTGCAGGACTGATCCCGAATACTACTGTTTCCTATTCACGACATAAGAGCACAACTTAAGACTTGGAGAACACTAGAAAAAACCTACACATATCACAGTAACATGCATTAATATGTGTACTTCTATAGGAATCATGAGCTCTGTCCTGATGTTTTCTGCATATATGACTCTGATAACACATTTAACTCAATTTTTAAATTTTAAAAAACCAACTTTCTAACAAATCATATCCTCTTTCATTCAACAGTTATGACTTGGAAACTATTAATACTGATTATTGAAAATTTCTTACAGAGACAAAAAAGTATTATCTTATCTTATCAATCTTAACTCATTTATCTTAACTCATCTAGCTTATCTTATCTTAAGCCTCATCCAGCTTAATTGTTCTAATTCAAGTCAATACGCCTCTATAATCGAATAATGGCTTTTCTCCCTTTTAGCAAAGTTCAAGATAAAACAACTTTTCTGAAACTCCTCCACCTCCACCATCAACACCAACAGCATATAATATATACAGTCAAACCTGCCTTAACGGAAACCTGTATAAAATGGAAACCTGTCTTTAACGGAATCTCCCCTCTCCCCCGTTGATAATTCCTCTTTAATTACATGTACCTGTATAACACGGAAACCTGCCCAACCGGAAAACGGAAAGAAAAATCCGCTCCCTTCCGAGGGTTTCACCTGTCTAAGACGGAAAATGCTTTTGCCCGCTCAGCCCTGATTTGAAACAAAACTCGCAAGTTTGATTCCGCCGGCTCTAAACTTAACGCCATGGCCATGCCGCTGGGCGAGGAAGGGGAGTAGGGGTGCAAGTTACCCTATGTTACCCCATCATGTGAGCGCTGAGCGCTGCAGATGGTCAGTGTAGTGTGCGTGTGATATCTCACGACTGCCCGTGAGAGTGCTCGAGTAGCGAGCCGCTACGGAAACTTTCCTGGGTAGCCAGAAGCCAGAGGTGTGAAATTAGATTGACCAATGCCTGTCGCCCTGATCGTACGGCCAGGCGAGAAAAGATTTCCTCGAATCGTTGTTACAATGATGGCAGTGAGGGGTGGCATTGGTGGGTGGGACTAAGGGAGGAAGCAAAAGGAGATGTTCAAACGCTTCTGTTTTTAATAGGTCAAACATGTCACTATCAGACAGGATAGCAACTGAGAGGTGTGAAGTTTTGACCCCTTCTTGACGATCGGACAAGCGATCTTTGATCCCAACGGCTGGGCCTTTGAACCCCCCCCCCCCCATAAATTCCCCTGTCTAAGACGGAAAATGTCTAAGACGGAATTTTTTTCCCGCTCCCTTGCGATTGCGTCTTACACAGGTTCGACTGTATATATATTTATATAGTTGAACCTGTCTAAGACAACCACCTATCATTGGAAAGGGGGGGGGGATCTGCTTAGACAAGTGGTCCTCTTGGACACATGATATTAAATTATTTCTAAAAGCACAAGGGGGGGGGGGAGGGTAGGAAGTGGTCATTTTCAGGTGATTGTCTTGGACGTGTAGCCGTAAGAGCAGGTTTGACTGTATGCTTATTTCTCCACTCTTCACTATTCTATCTATATCAATGAAGACTATACATTTCCAGAGAGCAGCTGCTTTGGTTAACTTGAGTCAGTACAAATTAAAGAATAAAGTGAATGAGCAAAAAGAAAAACAATAAAATAGAAAACCATCCATCAATTGAATAAATCAGACTTGAACATGAAGAGACTTCATTCACTATCCATACAATTACAATGCTGATACATTTACAAAGTCTAAAGATAATAAATTATCCAATTATCATAATATTAGTATGCATAAAAAGCCCATATATGCATACTCCAAAGAGGGCGCTGTACACATTCCAATTCAACTTTGATTACACCAGATTTCCACATTTTCAGCTAGACATTGATATCAAAGACCGAAAGCTTTAGGAGCAACAGTAAAATATTCACATTCAAATTTAAAGTAAACTTGATTGCTAATACTCTCACTTTACAGAAACTGAATACTTTTTAAAGGAAAAAATTCATTCAATGTCTGACTTGTTACACATTACCTGGTAGTCCTGACATTCAAAGCACAGCATGGGCTGCTGGGCAACATCGTTCATGAATTCATAGTCTGGCTTTACACTATAGACACCACAACAAATTCCCTGAGATTGCAAAGAAACTTAACATTGGGTTTCCATCAGGATAACATAAAACTTCTTTAATTTACTGCCTTCCAAGCAAAAAGAAATGTGAACATCCATTACAACTGTTACGTATTTTTTGTATCTGCAACAGACCATTACATATAAAACTAGGAAGAGTCAGACATGTTTTACTTGTTCAAACGTTAGAATCAGTCAGCTGATAAATTTTGTGACACTTCCTGTCATTTTTACATTCCTTGCAACCTCAGTTGAAAGAAACATTATTTCACCATAAGAGATATTACAAACAATGTTGCCCAATCACGCCATCCATCCTGCGTGCTTTGAGTGCAAGAGTACCTATCCACTTGTCATCCACAACGACTATGCCGTTAATTCCATTTCTCCGAGCCACAAAAGTATGCCATTTGTCGTTATTGTATTGTAATCCTTCATCATTGGTGGTGCCGATAAACGCATAGGAATTACAGCCTGGAGAGAAAAACAGTGTGGAAAGATAAACAGAAATATCAAATGAGGTTTATTGTGTTTTGATTCATCATGAGGACAAAGTTTTTTTTGCTTTTGCAGTTTCTGATCATTCAAGTAAATTATCCACAAGTCCAGAGCTCCAGCAGATTTCTCTCACATAAAACGGCATTTACAGGGAGGAAAGTGGGAAGGCTGGATATAATGACGATTGGAGACAATCTTAACAATCGAGACAGTGAACAACGGTAATTTCAATAAATAAAACATGATAAATCTCTTTCGCCCAGGCTGACAATCTGGGCAACTCAATATTGGCATTATATTTCATTTTTAGGCGGATAATCTTTTGAAAATTCTCTCAAGGTGGTCTATAAACTGTTTCCTGTACTCAGATGTTCTTTAAAAAAACATGTTTTATCCTGCTAATTTCCTGTTGCCCATCTGTTCCAGTTTTCTGATTGAGTTATTCTTGCTAAACCTCTACTTCTTTCGTCTTCAATAATTTGTTCAGTGAGAGCGAAATGTGTCACGGTGGGGTGGAATCAGGCTCTCGTCAATTTTTGTACATGTAGAGTTATAGGTATTATCTTAAAGCTTGTTCACTTGTCTTTATTTGGATGAAAAAAATATTCATTTGTCTTGAATACAAGTCGAGATATTTGCGAAAGAAGGGGGTCGGGGTCACTTGTTTTCAGAGATAAAATTAGTTAGAAAATGGCCGCCAAAGATTAGTTATTTCCTTAGCTTAAGAGTCCGGGGTATCTGAAAATTTACATTTTTTGAGCGTTTAATCAACGTTTTTCAGAAAATTCCATACAGAAATGAGTTCTTTATGGGCATGAAAGGTGTTAAGCCAAAAAACAAAAAATTAATTAAAAATTCACAAACCTGCGGAAAAATGCAAGTTTCTTCATTTTGATTATTTTGACGAGAGCCCGATTCCACCACGCTGCCTCATAAATATTAAGGGCCTTAAAAGCATATTTTGTCTCATGTTACAAGATATTTCCTCTTTTAGAGACAATACACTCACATCCTCATGATGAATAGTATCCAGTTTATAGGAAAAACATAATGAAAGACAAAAAACATACTGCAGAGGTCACTAGTAAAAACATTATAAAGAATGTAAGTTGACAAATGAAAATTAAAACAAACTGAACAGTTAACTTCTGGAATAAATAAAATAGCTTTGATCTGCAGATTTTGAAAAGGAAAATTTCCTCAACAAATCTGTCAGCTTCATCTCAGATGTCAAATGTGTCAACCAAGTTTGGTGGTTCTAAAGGTGAGTCAAAGGAAAGAAGAATAATTGAGAACGACAACATTGAATGATTTACAAACACAACGGGAAAATTATGTTGGAAACACCACAAAAAAACGCCTATTGCTCAGTTAGCCATACCCATGAGGACCAGCAGGAAAAGTACATGTAGTTGAATCACAAAACTCAGAATGCAAACCAGACCAGTCCTAAATACAGTAGAGACAGCCATTTATTGGAGGACAAAAACGAAGTCAACTCAGAATACTTCAACTGACTGAATCTGGAAATGCCAATTTCTTTTGAGTTTTAGAGTTCAAAAGTACACCAGGTGCTTGACGTACTGGTCCCATTGGTAGCAAGAAGAATAAGCAAAGAAGTCACAGACTAAAGAGAAGAATATAAAGACACACATGGTTAAAAAAAAAAACAAGAATATAAACATATTGGAATGACAAAAACAAAGTATTGCGGTATTTTTAAACAGAATAAAGTTAATTTCAACGGGTAACTCAGGCTGATATTTATACCTATGGACTTTCCTCAAAAGTACGAAGAATGCTCTCCGTAAAAAAAAAGTCCCAAACAATTCTATTCAAATTGTGGTTGTTTTGTTATTCCACATTGGAAAAACTATTTTAAAAAATACTGCACAGTATCTAAAACTAACTTCTCAATCCTAAGAAACATTAAAAGCAGACACTCCTTTTTTTATAATGCAGGAGTGTTACGCCCCCATCATGTAAAACGGACTGAAGAGTACACAGTAGATTTGTACTCTTTCTGCAAAGATAAAGAGCTTTCAAATGAAAGGATCAAGATTTAAACATTATGTTAAGAAATTCTAGAGAATGGTTATGAAAAGTATATATACAATTAAGAGGCCACAGAAGGCAGATATGTTTGAATACCATACAAAATATAACATTCTTTGTATATGTTAGTACAAAAACAAAACTTACAAAGACAAAATCAGTAATAAAAAGAAGGAAAAAGTCAGAGGTCAAAAACACCGATAAAGGAAACTAAATTTAGAGACGCCCGACAAAACAAAGTCTTGAAAATATCCAAGAGTCAACCTCTGAAAAAAGAATCCACAACCACTCTTCCAGCATTTCCACGACGCTGAACTTCCAAAGTATGGAAGCCAGAATTGACCAGATTTACCCAGTCTGTGTATGAGTCATAATCAAATATTGTATCTGCCTTGCAGTTTCCTGGAGTGAAACAAGAAAAATTACAAGACGGAGAAAGAAAAAGGGGTTAACGAAAGACAAAAAAGAGACTTCTATGTCCACTATATCTACCCAACACTTTGACCCAGTGTTGGGCACAATGTTTCATGTTTTCTGTGCATTCTTCTCCTTCAAGTGCCAGGTCTGACACAAACATTGACCAATCATGGTTCACCACTAATTTCTCTGTTCAGAAATTCTTTTTTTTAAAACTGTAATATCCTCTGTCCTTTTCCCATCGTTCATCTGTTAAAATTCTATGAGTTAATTATTCTTGATTTAACCCTACTTCTTTTGCCTTTCATTTTTCCAATGAAAGCAAGATATCAGAGCCTTTATATCAACTCAAATATTTAAGGATCTGCATTTGTCTCTTCTTTTTCATGACCACCCCATGCATTCTCAACTGAAAAATAATCAAGTCAGCCCCCATAACAGGTGTAGTTTTACAAAACAAGTCTTCGCTTTGCTATGACCTGTGTTTCAAAACATTTCATTCATCCTTTCACTTTGACTTACCAGGTGGTCAGATGAAATTAAAAATAACAAGCCTACCAAAGTGAAAGTAAATTAAAAACCCAGATATCTTCGAGCATCACTACAATCACATCCACTGCATCAAGTTCCAGTGAGACATATAAGTAAAACTCTAACCGCAAAGTGACCTCCACTCAACCCCGAATGTTGCACACCAGCTCAAACAGTTCAGATCGAGAGCTTTACTTCGCTTTTTCCCCTTTCAATACAGAAAAGACTGACTTAAGGAGCAAAAGTATTTAAACATCCTCTGATTATGTTGGTCAATTTTCTAAAACCGATGAAGACCAACAAAGAGGTTATGCTTTGGTGGCTGCTCCAACATAAGCAATGAAGCCCCTCCAGAACAAACACTTATTTGTCAAAAGGCACCTTGTATCACTCACATCCTCTGAAATTCACGTCAGAGTTCAAATATATTGCTAGTACTCTTCTTTTAGAAACAAAAGTGTGGTTCATTCTTATAAAGCAACATTTCATTCAGTATTTGACTGGTTACACATTACCAACATAAAACAAACAATGAAGGAAACTGACAAACAGACATGGTTTCATTCATATGACTTACATTTACATGATTGGCTCTTTAAAAAGGCCATCGGCACAATGTATCGCAGGTTTTATGTTTTTCTTTTGCAGAGTTAGAGGGAAAAACATTTTTCAATGAATCTATATAAAAAATTAACAAAGCAAAGACAGGTACAGCACAGAAAGAATAGAGGTGAAAGGATACTGGGCCAGTAATATTTGTCAATTCAAATTTTTGGAGAATTGTCTTCAAGCAACAAATACTGGGCCTACATACCTACATGTAGAGATTATACCTATTCTAAAACACAGACAAAAAATGCAGATGAAGTTAGAAATGAAAGATTTAGGCAGAAAATTCTTACCTTGGGTGTCAAATATAAACCTCGGACGTCCGTTTACAAACTGCACAGCAAGAAACTCCTCTTGGGTCACCGACGCAGTAAACAAAAGAAGTCCTGACCCTTTTTTAAGACGGAACCTGAAACGAATGCCTTTGAAAAAAAGACAAAATTAGATAATATGTCACCTAGGAAGACAGAATACATGAAAACAAGGAAGCTTATTCTATTTTCATATACCATTATACACTTGTACATATTGTATGATTAACCTGCACTTGTATTTGGGTCATCTCCCAAAGATTATTTTCTTCGCCTTGGGAAATATTTTCAAACGTTACAAGAATAAATTACTTTAAAAGATCTCTATCTCTCAAAGCACAAGGCCAAATCAATATCACCTCAGCAACAGATTCAAACCAGGCTGCTCCCACCAAAGTCAGTTGCCTTATTTGGAGATAAAATCGGAAAGTTTTAGCCACCCTCTGTGGCATCACTTACATACACTTAAAGTGGTGCATAAAAAGTTTCAGATTTAAAACCAAGCAGGCATAGCGTGACATATATTTTATCCTTCCTGGGATATTTACACTCAGTTTAGGATCCAGACCAGGTAATTAAGTCGGTTGAAATACTTACATCACATCAAGTAGGTCATCAATCTTTAACAAAAATAAGCTAAGTGCCTAACATCCCATACCTGTGAAGGCAACGTTCTGCGGGATCACTGTTGGGGGAAAGACGTAATAGCCACCACCGGTAAATCTGGTGCCCCTGACTACAGAAGCTGGGTAGCTGAGGGCAATGTTGGTCTTCTCCACAGAGTATTTCGGAGGTGGCCCATTAGGAAACAACGGCTCCTTCCACACAATCTCCATCACAGTGGTGTTGAAGCCATCAACCACCGGTTTCTCCACTCCCTTGGGGCCTGTTACACAGAATGCAGTATTAAGAAATATAAACAGGTAATTTAAGGATTTGCACATGGTAATAACATTTTGATAACCTGTTGGTACCTTTACAAAAACACAAGAAAGAGTTATGAATCCTCAAGAACTGGCAATCTTGTGGACAGGCTGCCAGACTCACAACTTTAAGGTCACAGATTTAAATCCTAGTCTCAGCTGAAAGGAGTGTCATTGGGAAAAACACATTTAACAGGTTTTCTTCACTTGACCCAGATGAGAAAAGGTAACAGACAAAGACAGAAAAAGACCATATCAACACATATGTTATTTACTGAACATCTGTAATAATTAAAAGCCTCCACTGAATGTTTCATAGGAAGCAGAAAACTTTTGGGAAAACTAAAAGGTTTGTCAGGGTAATAATTTAAAATGTAAAGCATATAAAGACTACTTTCCAGTAATAAAAATACTAAATAAAAATTTCAGCTGCCCACTACTATCATTACAAAGAAAACATTAACTACCAAAGAATGAAAAAAAACCCGCAAATAACGCCTCAGATTTTAACAAAACATAACTACCTTAGATTCAATCAAACTGCTAAAATGTGTAACTAAGTATACTTCACATTTTCTGTCACTCTGAATTATATTTTCAATAGAAGTTATGTACCTAAGTTATGCTCCGTTGATAGTCCACAGTTAGATGAAGACAATGCATCTATCAATTCCTTTCAACAAACACAAAAAATTAGATTTAAATATTTTAAATCCCAAAAACATAGATGCAGCTGTTTATTCAAACGATCCTTTTACCATCCTTGAAGAAAGGGCATCCGTGGCAGATCTCAGACATGCACATCATTCAAACAACAATGACACTGCTCAACAAAAATGATAGGCTAAATTAATAATCTTTAATCAAAACATTCAGTTGGAAATAACTTATTCCACCTACTTCAAAAATAACTAGTCGATTCCATTGTGAAAAATCATTCCCCTTGACTTGTGAAAAATGATTAAGACTTAGATAAGCCATGGTTCACCTGCCACAAGGGTCCGCCCAGTAACTGCAGTACTGTTCACACATCCTATGCTATTGCAAGCCTCCAAGATAAAACTGTGCTCCGAGTATGGTGTTAGTCCTGACACAGTGTGGCTTAGAACACTTCCATCACCTCTAAAAACCATCTGAAACAAATCAACACCACGGTTCTTATAAATCAAAAATAGCTTCTTTTTTTTTCATCTTCCCTGAGCCTTTAGATATACTTATTATCTTAGAAAGAGCATATCCATCAATGGTAGGCTATAAATATACTGAGGTTTTCTAGAAATCACTTACAGCACGGTTTTTAATTTGGGGTATAATTAAAATTTGAATGAGAACATCTTTAAAAAAGAAAAAGGTTTTTAAAAAGCTCAGTTCTCATGCTGCAGTCAGAACCACAGCCCATGGATGAGGTGAGCATTCATATCAAAGCTATAAATGTAGCTCATTGGTGGAATACGATTTGTTTAAAAACAACTACTTTATTCTACTATAAAGCCCTGACAACAGACACTGCTCTTCATGTGTGAGCGGACCTTTCATGTTCAATATTTCCTTGAAGCGACTGAAACAAACATAAGAAGAGTCATCACCGGGAATCAGATGTCATCTTTTGCACTTATCAATTCTCAACAGTATTTTTTTTTTTGTTCAGGTTGGAAAGTGATGGGACAATAGAATGATATTTATTTCTTGCTACCAGTCAAAACAAATTGTCCTAAACGCTGTCCCAACTGTCAAGATCTAGGACTGAACTTCTTACAATTTCAGGCCAAGGTTCACTTATTTTTACCAACACAATTCTCTGGATATGAAAGTCTGATGAATATTTTATAAATTTAAAAAAAGAAAATAACACCCATGCACCATGGCATGACCTATAATAACTTCTAACTTCACAGCTTTCTTCAAAATGCTTTGAAACCCACCAGTCAACACCGGTTAAGAATTCTAAATCAAGGACATAATAAGCAAAACAATGAACAACTGAACAATAACTGTAGGGATGAAGCCTGCATATGTTTTTCAGGGGTTTTTTTTAACACTACAAACATTAAAGGTCAAGGACAGTCATGACTTTTTAGGGGTTTTTTTTTACACTGAGTCTGTTTTCCTTTATATAGCAAAAATATTTATCTATCTAGGTCCTACTCATAGAAGAAGTCTAAGAAAGCGATAATAAGCGTTGCATGTATCATTACAGGTCTTCTAAACCCATGTTCTTTATCTCCAGATACATTTTAGACAAATAAGAAACCTGATTTCAAGTAAAAGCTTTTAAACTTTTAGTGTTGTAGACAGCAAGATATTTATATTACCAGCATTTAAAAGAAAGAAAAACTCACATTCCACACATATGGAGGGCCAAATGGATCCGAGGCTGAATCCAAGCGTACATTTTGATACAACTTGTAAATGATAATCAGTCCTTGTGCATCTTTTGCTGGTGGAGACTCCCAGCTAACAGTCAGGTCAGTGCTACTAGTTCCCTCTACTGTGGGTGGGGTTATGAAGGCAGGAACTGAAAAAAAGGGTTTGATGTTACATAAACATAACAATTTAAATGAAATAGAGCTTTGTGAGCCTGAAGGAAAGAAGCGTGCCTCTCACACCAGAGTGTTCTTCAAATGCCTGGTCTCAAACAGATATTGACAATTCCGGTTCACCACTAGTTTCTTTGCTTGGAGGGTCTCAGTAGAGGTTTGTTATCCAAGTCTTCTCCCATCATGTTCACATTCTCCAAGTAAGTTATTCTTAAGTTACCTCTACCTCTTTTGCCTTCTGTTTCCCCAGTTCAAAGCTTTCAATGTCAGTTTTACTAAGTGCTATTGGTGGATAATTTGGGGTTTGTTCACACTTAAGATGGACCATGCACGTTGTCTTCAGGGAAAAGAACAGAAAACTTGGAGGCCCAAGGTGCACATTACATTCTTTTATAAACACCTATGCAAGTAAAAGTTTTAAAAAGAACAGCTTGCCCATGCTAGAAAAATTCAAAATGAATTCCTTCCTACAATTGAAGATAATCTTTTGGAATGCGTTTGAAAACATTGTGGGTTGTAGAATCTACATTAATTGACTTTGAGACCTATCACTGAAACATAGAAGAAGGAAAGACTTCCTAAACCAAGTGTGCACGTCATCTCACGTGGACGTAGAAGAGGAAAAGGGGACGTTGAGGAGGACGAGGTGGAAGAGGAGGAAGAGGAAGGAGAGGGGTTGAAGGAAAGAAAGGTGGAGAAAAGGGAAAAGTAAATTCAGCAGACAGTGATGAAGATGAGACATACAGGCTGCAAGGAGAAGGAAAAAAGGTGATTACATTTTTTTTTTAAATCTTCCGACAGGTATTTTAAGTTAGGTGCTTTACTTGTGTTTGTAGAGGAAAAATAGGAGCACCTATAGATCTGTCCAGAGAACATCAAGGTGCTCCCTCTCACTATAGATAATGATATTCACATGATACCGGAGTCCATGAAGCACTCTTTAAAGGTCTTGATCATAATACCATTAGGACTATATCAAATTGATCATATTTTCAATACATTCCTTTTTTTCTTCAAAAATGTAACATAAAGTTATTTATAAAACACTTTTTCAAGATATGCCAATAATTTCACAAGCTGCAATTTGTTATTGTTGTCTCTTCACCGATATAAAGATATTACATTGATAACTTTTCAATATAAAAAAATAGCAGAAATGAAATATTGACTATCCACAAAAGTCTTTCACTCAATTTTGTATCTCTTTCCAATCATAGCCAAGACAGATCACAATGGGTAATTAGCCATTCAGACACTGCCTTCCCAGTGATAGAGGATGTGCGATGACATGAAAAACTGAGCAAAACTTACAAGCTTCAAGTGTTCGCCCCTGTGCCCAAACACTAGCAGCTTTCCCGGCATCATTCTGGGACAATATCTGGAACTCATAAGCTGTGAAAGCCATCAGTCCTGACACGTTGTATGATGTGTCCGGTGCGTTCAGAGGGTTTTCTGCTGTGGGGTTCAGAGGGTCATATCGTCCACTAGGATGAAATATTCTTGTCTGCGATGGAACATAGTCTCCTTCAGCATTTTTGGGTCCTCTGAACCAGAGCTCATAGAAGCTGATAATTCCTGCAAATGTATTAGATGTACAGTTGCAAGATACATTAGTTTAATAATCACTAGGCAAAGAAAATTTAAGGACTGTCCACTGTCTTTTCAGTTTTCTTATTTAGAGTAAAGACAACATAGATTTTTAATTTTTAAGTAAAAAAAATAATCTATACCAGAAAAAACCATGAATTCAGGGATTATCCTTTACTCATTGGCACCAAGCAAAACAGACTAAATAAGAATAATCCCTGGACAGTTAGCTTGTCTAACCCAGGTTTTACCCTCCGACAAATGCTGGGGAGGTTCAGACTCCCACACAGGCTGAGTAAAAAAAAATCAAGTAAAGCATCTTTCTAAAGAACACAACCTGATCAGACCTCGCTCTAGACAGGAATCCAACCAAATATAAATTATCATAAGATTGCAAGTCCAGTAGCCTAGTATCTGAATATATGGCCAAAAATACCAATTGTTGTCATAAGCATAAAAGAACCTTAAAAAAAACATACATCAAATCAAAAGACAAGATGAGATAAGAAAAGACAAGATGATAAGATGATTCTTTGATGTCCAAGTGGGAAATTGTGATCTCGGCTGTTCAGGACTGGTGAAAACACAATGCTTAATGAAATGATAATCCTCAAAACCCAAAGACGGTTAAAAGTAAAGATGATGGCTCACCATTAGGTAACACAGGAGGAAGCCATGACACCATGAGTTCGGAGCTGCTGATGGCTGTAATGTCAGGTGGTCTCTGACCCTCAGGGGGAGCTGACAAAGTAACAAACTCAACACCCTCATTGTCAGCACACCCACCGACAGTGCAAGCTCGAACCTGCAGCTTGTACTGGGTGTAAGGTAACAATGTGGTTACCATTGCCTGGGGAAATTTAAAGCAAGATAGAAAGTCTCTGTGAATTCATTGCCTTAACCCTTTCCATCATTAATGAGTCAAAAAGACAACAACACTAAACTTATCTTTCTCTTGTCAAAAAATTAGATCACATCTCAAAACTTCATTGGTTTCTCAGAACATATGTTGAGTATGTCCATTATGAATTGCACAGGCCTCAGATCAAATTATGACATAGAATTCAGCTGTTGAAAAATAAAGAAAATCTATAGAAGCCAAACTGTCGACTTATTCACACTGATGTTTTGATAGAGATAGAAGGAACACATTCTATCTTTTTTCATCATGTTAGGTATAAATTTAACAAGCATCTTTAAAATGTGGATAGAGACACATCTACAAGCAAAACAAATGCAAAAGAAAACAAACAAAATGAAATCTGCAGTTAAGTTATAAATTTCTCCAAGATACATGTTTAGATGAACATGAGCAGAACTGTTTCTTCTTAACACTAAAGCAGTGTTTCTATTCTACCCAAGAGGTAGCCAGCTTTAAATTCCTTGTCAAACCAAGACTGTTTAGAAATTTCCAAAAGCTGAAACAGCAAAGCTAATTTGAAGGCCCTGTCTCTTTTACAACCAAAAACTAAAATTATAAAATTGAGGTCACAGAAAAAAAACACAAACCGAGAGTTCAGTGCCCTCCCACTCCGCCACAGTATTATTATCATCTCCTGCCGTTGATACAATGACATATTTCAGCAGAGGACCATTCATAAAAGACGGCTGCGTCCAGGTACAATATGCACTGCGGGCTCTGATGTCTGTCACAGAGAGCACCATATCACTCGTCGGTTTCCCTGGCAATGTCTGAAAGACCACTGGTGTACTCATGGTGGACCCCACATCATTACTGGCTTCAACAACATAGCTGTAGTACGTGTACGGCTGGAGATTTTCATCCAAAAGCTCAAAAACTGAAATATAATGAAATTTATGAGATACACTGTGCAATGTCACCCTTTGAACCTAGCTAGACATTCAGAATTTAGGACACTGAAGCGAAGAAGTAAACTGTCGACACATCATTCACAAGTATTAGGTACACGATACACATGAATTATTATTTCTGTTACATAAACATAATTTTTTAAAAACCAACTACTATGGAACAAGACAGGCATTGAAGAATAAAAGACAGAAATTAATCAGTCAACTTTAGAATATCTTAAACAAATACTCTGTATCCAACTCTGTCAACTTGACTCCTTTTATTTCTTACCAACGAGTTTATTTACTTACTTAGCAAACCTCAGAGACAAAAATGTAAAAGATGCTGGTACATATCAACTGACAGCAAAGATGTTAGACCCTCAAGACCCTCGAGGGATAAAGATGGTAAATTCGAACAAGCAGTTTTTGTGAGATCATTGGGGACATAAAAACTACAATTCCCTAAATACACTTCAATCACTAACTTTAACATGAAATCTTTTTTTAACAATTTTACCATTTTTCAATAAAAGCAATATACCTGATTAGGATAATCAGGAGTGTCAACATAGATTCAAGCAGAAATTGATTTCTTAGTAAAAGTAAATAAACTCCATGATTTCAAACACTAAAATCATAAAAAGCCCATCAGTTAAAAAATGCGTACCTGTATAAACTGTTCTCATACAATACTATCAATTTGCTTTTGCTCTCCCTTGGAAAATCATTAAGAATTTTAGAAAGTACATCTGGAACCCCTAACATCAATGTTATTGATAACAGTTCATTTACTGAAATTTGGAGATCGGGGGGGGGAGGCCCTTTCACTTATCTGAGCTAAAAAACAAACAAAAAAACTCACCATCAGTAGATGTGTTTCCTACTTCTGAGTTGTTACGAAAAACTGTGTAGCCAATGATCACTCCATTTGGAAAATCAGGGGGACCCCACTTAAGTTTTATGAAAGTTGATCCTCTCTTTTTATCATCTATTTGAGGAGGAGGTTGCTGAAAAGGATCTGGGGGGGAAAAAGAAAACCACATTAACAGTGAGACACTAAAGTAATCAAATATAACAATTATTTAAATCAAAAGCGGTTACGCTCAAACCCAGTTGGACCATCTACTTCAAGACAGCTCATGGTACAAAGCAGGATTTGGCCACCGAGAATAAGCCAGACGAATATTGTATAGGCCTAGGGCGTACCCGTGCTTGAAAGAGGAAGCTCAGCGGACAAGCGGTTGGTAAACTAGTGCTGGGTGAACAAGTGAAGGGTGATGGTGAGCAAGTGGTGAGTGAAAACGTGGAGGGTGAAGGTGAACAAGAGGAAGGTGAACAAGTAAACAGTGAACAAAGTGGGGAGTGAACAAGTGGAAGGTGAACAGGTGGTGAGCGAACAAGTGTTGGGTGAACAAGTGGTTGGTGAACAAATGGTGGATGAACAAAGTGATGGGTGAACAAAGTGGAGGATGAACAAAGTGGAGAGTGAACAAAGTGGAGAGTGAACAAGTAGAAGGTGAACAGGTGGTGAGTGAACAAGTGTTGGGTGAACAAGTGGTGGGTGAATAAGTGAGGGGTGAACAAGTGATGAGTGAACAAGTGGTTGGAGAACAAGTGGAAGGTGAACAAAGTGGAGAGTGAACAAGTGGTGAGTGAACAAGCAGTAAGTGAACAAGTGGTGGGTGAGCAAGTGGAGGGTGAAGGTGAACAAGTGGAGAATGAGCAGGTAAGGGTGAACAAGTAGAGGGTGAACAGGTGAGGACGAACAAGTAGTTGGTGAGCAAAGTGGAGAGTGAACAAGGGGAGGGTGAATGTGAACAAGTGGAAGGTGAACAGGTGATGGTGAACAAAGTGGAGAGTGAACAAGGGGAGGGTGAACAAGCGGTACAAGGGGAGGGTGAGAAAGTGGTTAGTGAACAAAGTGAAGGGAAAACAAGTGCTGAGTGAACAAATGGTTGGTGAACAAATGGAAGGTGAACAATTGGTGAGTAAACAAATGGTGGGTGAACACAAGAAGGGTGAACTGTGGTGGGTGCAAAAGGGGTGGGTGAACAAGAGGTGAGTGAACAAGTAGTGGGTGAGCAAGTTGAGGGTGTATAAGTGGGGAAAGAACAAGTGAAAGGTGAACAAGTGGGAAAAGAACCCAGAGTAAAAAAAAACAGACATTCAAACAGTATCAGCATTTCAGCTTCCAAAAAGGTAGCAAACAGGAAGTGTTCAAAAACAATATTTTTTAAACCTTGTTCCAATGACGCAAAACTGCTTGAAAGTAGTCATCATGTTATGTGTGTAATCTTTTTCATTTAAACAAATTTTAATTTCTTTACAAGAATTTTTTTTAAATAGTCTTTACTTTTTTTCTTTCTTGAATGCGCATCATGATTCAGTACATTCCTAGAAAATAAGAGTTAAATGAAGGAGCTAGGACCAGAGGTTGCTCTGTTACTTCTATGAAACAAAGGTAAAATGTTTTAGGAAAAGGATTGACGGACTCAAAACTTTCTGAAAGACTTGTGACTTACCTGTGCTGCATCCAAATGGATTATCAGGATCCAAGCGGCTGGAGCCAGGCTTACACTCATCACAAGGCTTCCCTGTGACATACTCTTTGCATATGCACTGACCCGAGCTAGGATCACAAGTTTCATTCAAGCTGCCACCTTCCAAGCAGTTGCAAGGAGAACACCTGTACGCAGGAAATGAAAAACATGGGGAGAGTGACAGGTTAAGGAAAACATATTATTTTTAGAAAGATGAGCAGGAAAACTAATCAAGAGAGCCAAGAAGTAGATTAAAATGAGATAAAAAGATTAGAATAACATGTCTAGTATCTTGGTATCTTTCCCACAAAGACCAAGCTCACAACTCAATACACAACTAAGAAAGAATTTTTTACTTAACCATGACAAATAACTTTTTTTTTATAAGAGGCAGTTTATACTGACAAGAAAAAGAAAAAGAATTATCTGTTGATAAATGAAAGGAACACAAAGAAAGTCTAAGCAGCAGGTACAACAGTAGGTTACTCAAGCAGCTTTAAAACACAGCAGACAAGAAAACAAAACTAAAAATAGACATGTCAGGGCAAGCCAAATCAAAATGAGAGGGGTCTAAATTGACAAAGAAGTTGGACAATTTGCATTAGTGTAAAAGGCCACTTTCTGGCTACTTCTCTGGTAAGCACATCATGTTTAAAATTCTTTATAACTAGATTCTATGAGATGTTGTGCACCCTAATTTTGCTGTTCACATGTGAATGTTCACATGTGAACAGTTCTATGAATATTCTCTTTCAAAGGTCATTCCTTATTTTATAAAATAAACTTTTAAAGCAAGAAACTGAGGCACATAAAGGTTTTATAATAGTAAAGGTTAACAGTGTTCAATTAACCAATATGCCAACATGATAGAAAAGATATGTGCAAAAATATTTAGTTATTTCTGAACTATATGAGCAAAGCAGTCAAAACCAGACAAAAACTAAATCTTTAAACAGAAACAGAAAACAAAAAGGAATTTGTGGGGAGAGTGTGTACATTAGAAAAGAACTTACTTTCCATGTCGCTGTTGAAAACTATGGAAGGTCGGTAGACATTTATTGCAGTTGGCTCCACCAACGCCAAAGTCCCCTCCTTTACATTCACAATAGCCAGTGACGGAATCACAAAATGTGCCAGACTGAGTTCCCTTGGGATGACAAACACAGGGGAGACAGCCTCTTTCCGGGTTGATATAAAATCCTGCCAAACACAGAGAATAATAATAGACACATATGCAGTCAAACCTGCTCTAATGGCCACCTGTATAAGACAATCACCTGAACAAATGGCCACTTCCCATTTCCTCCCTTGCGCACCTTTTTTTACATTTTAGGCCTACTGACACTGTTTAAGATGGCCACCTGTCAATACGGTCACTTTTATCCTCAACAATGTAAGGCTGTATAACAGTTTAGACTGTACATTTCTTTAGGTTTGACTCAACTACAGATTCCAAAAATGGGGAATGAAAGCATTGTATTGTTTTTTAAGACAATAGCATGGTCAACATTTGGCAAAAGTCACCTGACTTACCAGCTTTCTGACCAAGGTCCATTTAAAAAAATAAAACAACAAATATAGACTGAACATAGTGGCAAAAAGAAAATTGCCTCCCTTGGCACTTACAATATTGTGTATTGATTTTAAATGCATGTGACCCAATATTCTAATCTGCCTGAACAGATCAAGATAGGGGCAAAAAGAGAGGGAGGGGATAGGGAGGAGATGGGAGCGTTTGAGAATGGAGATGGGAGCTAGATATCTATGTCATCAGTTTACTCTCAATTGGCTGGTGGCGACAGTAACATTCCCTTATGGCATCAACTGATCAATGTGATTTTAAACTGGGTTTACAAATTTTGACCAAAAAGAACATTTGTTATTATGCAAAGTGAAAAAAAAACATGTATAAAGATGTTCAACAATCTCCATGCCAGTGATATTGTACAAACTTTTACATTTCTTGAACATTCTCTTAAACTCACTTCAGAAAATGAGCACAAATTAATGAACATAGATGTCTACCTTGAGCACAGGAATCACATCGTCTGCCTTGTCTGTTTGTCAGACAGGAACACTGTCCATTGTTCTGATCACACACAGAAAGATCGAGTAACAAAGTCCCTGTAGAGTTGTTTTTTAAAAAGAAGAGTAGATGGCAAAACAGCAGACACATTTGACACAGAACAAAATGAAAAACATTACGAAGAATATGGTACCTAATAAGATACAAGGCAAATGCAAAAACTTCATGTTTTTCTGTATTATTATACAAGGTATTCTAAGAAATATTAGTTATAGATGCTTAGCTGTAGCATAATTGGCTTAATAGTATAATTGTGAGGCAGTGTGGTGGAATCAGGCTCTCGTCAATTTTTGGGCATGTAGAGTTATTGGTGACATTTTAAAGCTTGTTCACTTGTCTTTATTTGGATTAAAAAAATAACCCTTTATCTTGAATACAAGTCGAGATATTTGCGAATGAAGGAGGTGGGGGTCACCTGTTTCCAGACGTAAAATAAGTGAGAAAATGGCCGCCAAAGATTAGTTATTTCCTTAGCTCAAGAGTCCGTGGCAACTGAAACTTTACATCTATTGTACCTTTAATCAACGTTTTCCAGAAAAATCCACACAGAAATGAGTTCTTTAATGGGCATGAAAGGTGCTGAACCAAAAAACAAAAATTTGATTAAAAATTCACAAACCTGCAGAAAAATGCAAGTTTCTTCACTTTGATTATTTTTACCAGAGCCTGATTTCACCACGCTGCCTCACTTATCGATTTTTCTCTCAAAGGGAAAAAAGACAAAGAAGGTATTATGGAAAATTGTCCAGTTTAACACAATTACATTTCTGTCTTGTCCGTCTACTCCTTGACTCTATTAAAATGGTCCTCTTTTAGCAGTCACACATTAATCGACAAAGAGCAACCAGTTTTCTTATGGGACCCTAAAATATTCCATTACCTGTGGAGTCACAGCCACATGGCTGACAACCCAGAGGGTCTGTTCCATTGAGCCCCCATGTATTGGGTTTACACCGGTCACAGCCCTGACCCTCTACATTCTCTTTGCAGAAGCAACTTCCACTGGTCGCATTACAGGACCCAGAGCCATTCACTGTGCCATCCACAAAACATGGACAGTTCTCACAACCAAATGCGAGGGAGGCTCCAAAGTTGTAGGTTCCTTCCTTGCATACATCACAGTACAGACCTGAGACAGACAAGAGACAGTGATCATCTTTTTTTCTATTTTACAAAGACATTAAGAGTTCTCCAATACATTGCAATAAATGATGAAAAGACAAAATCGTTCCATCAGATTAAAGTGCAAAACACATAAATAATCATCAATCAGAAACTAGCAATCTATTTTAATATTCAATGTGGTTTTTAGGACTTAAAGATTTTTTCGCATCATCAAAAAATGTTAACTCAACAACGTCATAAAGGTGTACCTCAACTGACTTGAAGAAGCCTCAAATTCTTCATTACATTTCTACAAAAAAAATTCTAGAAACTTCCTGTAAAAAGAAACTCTTTTAAAATTTAGAGAGATGAGACAAAAAGACGACTTGACATGTCATTGTTACCTTCCACATTCCTTTTGCATGTGCACTGGCCTGAAGTTTTGTCACAACTTGCACTAGTGTCCGTGCCATTCACGTTACAATTGCAAGATTCACATCCAGCTGTGAAGTTGTAAAAACCATCCTTGCAGACATCACATTTGAGTCCTTGCACTTTGAACTTGCACGAACATTGACCATTATCAGGATCGCAGTATATGGTTGTGGAGCCACTAGGGTTACAGTCACAGGGAGTGCAACCTTCGGGATTATTCTCTGACAGGCCATAATAGCTGAATTCGCACTGATCACATCGAAGACCTGGCCACATAAAGAAAGAACATTTGTGAAGTGTGCTGACAAAATGAGTTGTTTCTCGCATTTGAGCCCTGTGGAAATAGATACATCACGCTTATAGGTTAAGCTTTTACAATTTATAAGTATGAAATAAGGAAAGGCATGTTATACTTAAAGAATATTGCATCAATAGAAAAACAATTAATTTGCCCATAGGGTTGATTTTTGGCCAATATCTCCATTTGTGGATTGGAAGAAGTAACTCATTTTGTCAGCATGCCTCACATTTGTTATACTAAGCAGCATAGAAGCTCAAGTGAAAATAAAACTGGTATTACTGCAAAGGCTATGAGGACAAAATAAAAGTATGTAGTAGCAGTACAAACAAGATAAGAGGGGAAAGAAGAGAAAAGTGGGTACATAATGATAATAATAGTTTTTATTATTATGATAATTATAATAATTTAATAAATGATTTTGATAGCATACTTTTAATTAATGGTCTCATTTAAAAGGGCGGGGGTGACTTTCTTTCTGTGTCATGCACATTTCAAGTCAATACTGTTCATTTCAATATTGTTTGAGGTCAGAAAAGACAACTGTGAATATACCCACTCATTGTTTTGAAACACTGACCCCCATTCATTACTACAACTTACACATTTTCATTTACACATAGGGTCTTGTTTGTAGAGCTTAATTTTTCTCTATGGATGACTTGTTATGTTAATAAAAATGTTAAGGTACTTGCGACACTGAAGATTAGAGGTATTGCAAGAGAATAACAAACACAAGAAAAAAGACTAGAGGAAATAAGGAGCACCAACACCACGCACCCGCCAAACACTCATAACCATGATTAGAACAGACATACCTCTAACATAGGCTTTACAGTTGCACTGTCCCGTAACTTGGTCACATGTCATATCCCCTCCTTCCACTCCCACAGAATCACAGTTGCACAGGGTACAGCCTTCCTCACTGTCTCCCCTCAGGCCGTAAAAGCCAGGCTTGCAGGCATTACACTGACGTCCATCTGTGTTTGCTTTACAGCTGCACTGACCATTTACCTTCGAAACATAAAGAAGCATCAATAAAATTATTGTTTATTAAGTCACCACAGAGAAAAAGATTGAAGTCAGATTGTAGAATTGTGTAACAGAATTATGAAACAGTACCAAAAGTATGCGTGACTAATGGTATTCTTCAATTGGAAGACTGTGTAATGTGAGGCAACATTTAATGAGAATATACAGGCCTATTAACCGGGCTTGGCAATCTTGAAAGTTTTGTAAAAGTCCTCTTGACCATGATGATGTGTATTACTAATGAACTTTGACAGTGTGCCAAACAGAAGGATAATGTTTGTGTTTAGCAATGATGAGCATCATTCATTTATTATTAGAGAGGTTGTTTTTGAATGAAACTCAACATGAATGTGCGTGAGAGTGTGCTTGTGTGTGTTAGGCTTTGTGTTTGTGAATATTTTACTACGAAAATTAAACAGACTGAATTTAATTGAATTGGTTTAAGATAGGAGCTTGTCGCGTGATTAAATGAACTGAAGGACATATAAAAGCAACTTAGAAGCTTACCCTATCAAGTTACAAATACTTTATTTAAAAAAGAAATCATTTAGACTTCAATGACAGAGTGGTCATTTTGGGAAAAAAAGTTTCCACATTTTTCTGCACAAGGATTACTTGCATCGAAAATGTCTTGATCATATTATGTATCTCATTTTACATTCATAAAGCAGGCAGGCTTTATCAAACAGAACATTCAAAATCATAATAGGTAAGCAAACACATCAATAAACTAAATTCTCGATGAAGGCACCAAGACTTCAACCGTACAATATCAAAATAATATAATGATTTTTTTAACATGCATGCATACTCACACCAACTGATGCCCACTCACACATACAAAAGCATACACACATTCCCATGAACACCAACACACAAACTAACATACACATTTAACGTACATCAAAAACAATATGAGTCGACTGAAAAAAAAAACCCAGCAGAGAGAGAGACAAAAGTATGTAACTTTACTCTAAGAAGCAAGGTCCAAATTAGCTCACTGATCTCTCACATTTCACATTTTAGAGCACCACACTGTGTGGCAATATGGTCAAAATTGTAATATTATCATGCTTAAAATCTCTTCAATTTTATAAAACATTGACAGACTATCAGGAGATACAAAAGCATCAAAGCACTATATGGCACAATGTTACATTCATGCCTGTATATATTTACAATTTTCTTCCTCACCTTTTCACAGTCTTGTTTTTCTCCAACAGTGCCATCAGGAAAGCAGTCACATGGCTGACACACATCAACATCGTACAAGCTTACACCGCTCGGTCGATAGTAATTTTCAACACATCCTTCACAAAATCTCCCAGAGGTAAAATGCTGACAGTCCACACAAACCCCTCCACCTCCTAGTTCATGACTTTCAGGGTTGGGATCCAAGCTGACATTATATTTGCAGCTATCAGCATGCCCATGACAATTACAAGGCTTACATGGATTTGCATCAAGGTCGTCACCTTTGAGGAAAAGCTTGTCGTTGAACAGAGGTTTGCACCTTTCACACTGAAAACAAAAAATACCATATAGGAAAGTCAAAAATTGTTCTTACCATAGTCTTCAAAAACAAGTTCATGCTTTAAATACCTCTATTATCTTTTCTAAGAGTTTCTTTAAGAGCACATACAATTCTAATAAACAACTATAATAACAAGTCAGACAAAACTATCCAATTTTCTTTTAATATTATATCAGTCAGAATCATATTCCCCTCCACCCTAGATAACTTTTGTCTTCCAAATTCATTACGTTTCAGAACGGAAATTTTGCAATTTTTTGTTCCTTTTCATATTGAACACATTATATTTCAAGGTTACATAACTTAATCGACATATGAATACATCCTCTGTCCAAAGAAATAGGCATGGGATTTTAACACGCATAATTGGTTGCTTTTAAGGACAAGCGGGCTGACCCAGATTTCGGGGTTTTTCAGAAATCTTGAACTACACCAAAAGTGGGCATTGCCCTACCTAAAAATAGAATTTTGGTTTCATTGGTGTGTATATTTGAATGGTTATAGAGAAAAATGTCCTTGTATTTTAAAGAAACTGAACAAGGGGCAAAAACTTTGCCTTCAATTTTCTCAAAACAGCATTTTTCGGGATAGCCCACTTGTGCTTAAAAGCGACCAATTGTTATTGAAAAATCACTGAATATTAAGCAAATTTCCAGTGAACATAACTAGAACCTTACCCGAACACCCTCTGTGTTGCTAGCTTCTAAACAGTTACAGATATATGGCAAGTTGTCCGTGTTACAGCTAGATGCATGCCCATTGCAGTCACACCTACACAAAATGCAAAGAACAGAATCGGGAGGACATACAGGAAACATAATTTACAAAGGCATATAAATAATAATAAACAAGAGTCATTTGAAATAACAAAAAATAAAAATATCATATATGTCAAATAGGCATCTCTTACAGTATTGTGCTTTATATCATGGTTTTCCATTAGTGCAATTAAACTGTAGCTATTGTGTTTTAACTCTCAAAATCAACAGTTTATTGCTTCTTAACAGTATACACTTGTTAACTGCAGCCTCACTTGAATAATGCTATTCTCAGAAGAAAAAAAATACAAGCATCGCTAGTATTTCATATTTCGGTTACCAAACTTCTCTATGCTGAATGTACCATAATGGACAACAATCAAAACTGAAAGTACTCAAATTGGGTGCCCTATTAAAGTAATTATGGTAAACTACTGAACACTGACTTTTCACTACGATTAATGGTAATTAATATGAAAATATTTATTGACGTTTATGTGTTAATACAAAGGCTACAATGATCATAAATGTGTCACTTATAACATTGAGATGGCATAATATAAGCTCTTTTTTAATGGTAATTAATATGAAAATTCACAAAACTCACCACGCAGTTACAATATATTCATACACAGCATAGTACTGGTGTCTGATGTGCTGTACATAGTAATGGTCATTAAAGATCACTTTCACTCTTCTGGCTCTCACAAAATCATGAAGTTCTGGAGTGTTGTAAAAGTCTCCACTTCCAGGTCTTGAGACAGGGTCCGGAGCCAACAGATTAAATGTGATGTTTCCAAGAGAGTATGGTGCAGGGGGGCCGTTGCTGGAGAAAATATAAAAGAATTAACCAGATTAACCGATAGTAATTTATTGACGTTGATGTGTTAATACAAAGGCTACAATGATCATAAATGTGTCACTTATAACATTGAGATGGCATAATATAAGCTCTTTTTTAAAGTTATGTTCACGTGCATGCTCTGTACTTTGAGCGCGAGTGCCATTACATAAAAACTATACAGGTCTCTTTGTCAAAATATTAATTGGATTGAAAAAAGGCAGCGAACCGTAACAACTTAAAAGCATCCAATGCTTTTCCTAAGCATCTAAGAATCTATTACCATGAAGAAGAAGAGTTGTGGTGTGGAGGAGTCATTTTAACCAAATTTAAAGCTCATCAACTTTGCAACATTCTAGACTAAAATCATGTCATCAAAAGACTTACTAATATTATTCAAAAACATTAGCAAAGTACGGTAGCACAGTATAACAATCGCAATAACTTGAACAGGGTATTTTGCAGGCCTATATACTATTTATCAAATAATTTGTAAGATAGACCAATTAGCTTACGTTCCAAACTGCAAGCAGTTCACACTATCAGGAGCTTCAAAACCTCCATTGTTTGGCATCCCAAAGCGAGAACAGTCATCTGCATAATATTGCCATGCTTCAAAGGGAGAGGAATCATCTTTCTGTCTAAGTATGGTCACTCCCTTTGGGAAGGAGCTGTAGAACTGTAGCACCACATAAAATACCTGAAAAAACGGGGACACACGTATTTCAATGTTCTAACGCCCAGAGCATAAGACATGTCTTCACGTAAAATACTGGTTCTAAGCTGGAAACTGTGAATGCTGAGTCTGATCCTGAACAGCGTTTTTCACTTATTTATTATATTATGGTTAGTTTTTCATCAAATATTCGACAATAAGTGAAGGGCTAAAAAAATGTATTACGCCCTTTTAAAAAGTTTTGTTAAAAATTATTTCAAAAATGAATTCCCATTAATTCCCAAAAGAAGAGAAAAGAAAACATTTTTAGCAAGCAGTTTGATTCCACAATAAGTGGACAGATAGCCACATTATATCAAAATAAGAGCTGGTTCACTTGGTACAAAGATATGCATGCCAGCAAAATGTGTATTTAAAAGGGCTGTAGCTTCTTACATATAGTTTGTTGAAAACTTTAACTTTCGAAGAAGAAATTAAGCAATAAGGAAATTGTGTGTTTTTCAACTGCAAGCAGTCTGCCACACTGTACTCAATGAGTCCTCGTGGTTTTCATCTTACGGACATAACAGCGTCAGCTGTCCTGACCCCTGCCTCTTCCTTCGTCCCCCTTTATCATTCCTGTACAAACGACTGCTTTCCATTCCCGCGTTTTATCTTTTGTTCATAATAGCATGGTGCAGTGTAAAATGATAACTGTCCAAAGCGGCTACTTCCATTATTATGTGTTATGACACCGGAAAATCAAGCACTCGTCAATTTTTGGGCAAGTAGAGTTATTGGTATAATCTGAAAGTCTTTATTCATTTACCTTGCAGGTAAAATTAGCGAGAAAATGGCCGCCAAAGTTTGATAACCTTAATAGCTTTGGAGTCCTTGTGAAAACTGAAAAATTACATACGAGGGGCATACCAAAAGTTTTTTTTACCTGACCATGAACGAATGAAGGTAGAAAGCTGAAATTTGGGGTGAAAGCCAACAATCATCTTCCTAGAATATATTTAAATTTTGGGGGATTTCCTATCTCTGGTTTTAACACCAGCGCACTGTAAGTGAATGGGAGTATGTTGTTCTCCAGTTTAAATATAAAAATTGAGAAAATTGAGCACAGGACAGTAATGAAGTTTTTGCTCTGCAAGGCAAGCAACTACAGGGTATTTTTGCGGAGATGCATGCCGTATATGGAACTGATCCTGAGTCAAAATCTACATCAACGCAGAGGAATTCGCCCTCGTTTCTTACACTAAGTAAGGCACTGGTGCAGCCATCAAGTGGAAAAGTGATGCTACCGGTAGGCCTATCAGGGTGTTGTTTTTGGGGGGTTTTTTTTGTTTTTTGGTTGTTGTTGTTTGTTGTTGGGCTTTTTTTTT